ATCGGATATACAGATGTGTCCTCCCCTGAGAAGCGTTTCACCTAGAGAACTCAGAAGAGAAATTCGTAATCTTCGGGATAATAAAGCACCGGGATATGATCAAATAGATGCAACACTTTTAAAGAAATTACCAGCGAAAGGGATACTACTTCTCGTTTCAATTCTTAATGCTTGTCTGAGATTACTAACATTTCCCAGCCAGTGGAAGATCGCACAGGTTGTTATGGTTTTGAAACCAGGGAAAACTGCTCAAGAAGTGTCTTCATACAGACCGATAAGCCTATTACCTATCGTTGGTAAACTATTTGAAAAGATAATATTAAATCGGATGCATCAACACCTAGACAAAAACCTACCGAAACACCAGTTTGGTTTTAGGGAGGGACACAGTACGATCGAACAAGTCCATCGTTTAGTTGACACCATAAACAGAGCTCTAGAAAACAAAAAATACTGCTCTGCTATATTTCTGGATATCAGCCAGGCATTTGATAAAGTCTGGCATGACGGGCTTCTATTCAAAATTAAACAGGCGCTTCCTCACTCTTTCTTTCAAATAATAAAATCGTATTTAAATAAAAGATGCTTTGAAGTAAAACATAATGGCGAACTTTCTAAAATGTATGAAATACTATCTGGAGTGCCACAGGGCAGCATTTTGGGTCCAGTCCTGTACCTGATTTTCACTGCTGATTTGCCAACACTCGAGGATGTCACCACCACTGCCACATATGCGGACGACACAGCTTTCCTGTCTGTCCACAAAGACCCAAAAATAGCATCGGAAAATCTCCAAAGGCATCTTAATATGGTTGAACAATGGTTTGAAAAATGGCGAATTAAAGTTAACAAATACAAATCTGTTCATGTAACCTTCACACTGAGAAGAAAAACATGTCCACCTGTCCTGTTACACAATGAACAAGTACCTCAGGCAGATGATGTTAAGTACCTGGGTATGCACTTAGACCGCCGACTTACCTGGCAAAAGCATATATGGACCAAACGTAAACAACTAGACACAAAAATCCGTAGCTTGTACTGGCTTATAGGACGACAATCCCGACTGACACATGATTGCAAAATGACCATATACAAAACCATCATCAAACCTATTTGGACATATGGCATACAGCTTTGGGGCTCAGCTAGTAACAGCAATATAGAAATACTGGAAAGGTTTCAAAATAAGACAATAAGAAACATGCTTAATATACCACAATACATAAGTAATAAATTTATGTATATGGACATCAAACTAAAAACGATAAAACAGGAAATCGAGACATTCAGCAAAAACTATCAGTCCAGATTGAACAGCCATAGAAACGAATTGGCCGCTCAATTACAGGGATCGGGAAGCATTAGTTTCTCTCGATTAAAAAGACACAGTATCCAAGGACTGGTAGAAAGATTTACAGGCAGAGACTGAGAGCTGATTAATGGATTGGCCTCATCATTTATTAAAATTTAAACCTGACATCCAAACAGCAGATTGGATTATTGTTCTATAAGGAACAGATTGCCAATTAGCAGACTAGAAAAAGAAAAAAAAAAAAAAAAAAAAAAAAATGAAATTTAATATGTACTTTCATAGCATGGAGAAGAACATATGTATCTATTTATTTATTTATTCTTTGACTACATTACAAAAAAATATTAATACAAAAGGCGGACTTGATGCTATACAGCATTCTCTCCTAGTCAACCTTTGGCAAATGTATATTTGCTACCTTTCTATCCTGGTCAGTGAACACAATTAGGTCACGCGTACAAAGTCGTAGATAAAGGCTAGTTTTCAATATTTTTCAATAGAAAATATTATCTATGTAACACCTCATCGTTTATCTATGTCTTTACGATGGATTTTTTTTTAGAGAATTTTTTATTTGGAGATTCATTAAGTAAGGACTTATACGTTCTACGAGAGTCGACACTTCATACAATTAAGGGATCGAACAGTATCTAGTCATTACGCCTCATCGATCCTTACAAAACATACAAGTTTTTGAGTTGGGTCAATACCTGTTGAACGCTTTCATCCTTAACTATCTACCATCGCTAATACGCCGCCAGCGGCAGGTGGGGATACCATTCCATTACCATCCATAAAAAAAAATACTTGTTGAAATCCATACATATTTTCTCGTAATGAGATTACAAACAAAGAGACTGATATTTACAGTCCTTACGGTTTATTTATAACTTACATTTACGGCAGTACTAACTTACTAACTTTACACGCGACTTTGTTCGCGTGACTGGCATGTGTTTACTGACCGGGGTAAAAATTAGATTATATCTTTTTCTATTTCATATAGTACCCTATGTTCTTCTCTATCCCATATAGTACTATATACTAAATTTCATAGTGATTGGTTAAGCCGTTAAGGCGCTATAAGGTATCAAACAAACAAACTCACTTTCACATTTTTAATATTAGAAAGGAGGGGGGAAAGGGATTGTTAGTAATGGAGACTGAGAATCCCAATAATAGCAATATACCCAACCAGGTCGACCTCCTCGGTTCCCCTTGGAAACTATCATGGTTAATTCCTGATGAATTCATGATGGGCTAACTGGCCTGTTTTCATTCTTATCTATCACCCTTCACTGGTGCTCCGTATCCCGTTAGCGTAGGCGAGGGTACCATACTATTTTCACCCATCAAAAAAAAAAAATATTAGAAAGGATAGTATTAAACAAAGTCTGTCTATTTCACTGCTTACTCCTTGTAAACCATGCAAATATTTTGATATATATTTTACTGTAATTTATATACTTTTTGGGGAAGGTTTGTAATTACAATTTGTAGGCATGCGAAGCCAGAGCGGGTCGCTAGTAATATATAAAACTTATGGATTACTGATGAATATTAGGACATGGATGCGCAGAAAGGATACTGCTAAATCTCGATTAAAAATCTAGTCCCATGGATAAGAATAAGGCCGAATATTTGTGATTTAGATGCAAGCTTTTTGACAATGGAATAATTTACCTACCAGTGGGGGGAAAGGGATTGTTACTAAAGGGGTCTAATAAATCTATTGCTAGCAATACACCTTATCAGGACGACCTCCACGTGGTTCCCCCTGGAAACCATAGTGATTTATCCTTGTTGAATTCGTCACGATGGGCTAACTGACCTGCTTCATCCTCACCTATCATCTCTCACTGGTGCCCCGCCAGTGTATACCAATAGCGCGGGCGGGGTTACCATTCCATTATCACCCATTAAAAATAAAAAAAATTACCTACCAGTCTCTATACGAAATATATAATACCTACAAAGTTTTAAACCAAAGGGACTTTTATATAAGAAAGTTATCATCTTTATAATTCGTGTCTGGTTAGCATACATACTTGTTTTTTTTTTATATTTATACCTATGTATTGTACATGAATCGGAATATATATTTAGTATTTGTATATTCACAATATATAAATACTAAACACACGCACACGCACACGCAAACGCCCGCGCACGCGAACACGCACACGCACACGCACACACACATACGCACAAGCACAAGCACATATATTATCATAAATAGACACTTTTTCTTTTTTATGATATGTAATTTTTTTAGTATTATTGTATAAAAGTAAAACAAAAAAAAAATAATGCTGATTAAAAAAACAAAAAAGTAAATCGTAATGATTATGAAATTGAATTATTGTTATGAAAGAGCGGTTTCTCCTAACACAAGCAATCTTTGCTTAACAGGAGATATCAAACCCTGTAATGTAACTAACTACCTTTGCATAAAGAAATTATTATTATTATAATATTGTATGTATTATATCTCTGTACATTTATTTACACTATATTGCATCATTAAAAAAAATAAATACTACAGTAAATATTAATGAGAAATGATACAAAAAGCCGCCTATATATATATATATATATATATAATATTTAAAAACGAGCAGAGTTTTATCATGCCTAACTCTCTAACTATATGTAATAATATTTATGTATTAATGTATTTAAAATAACAGACTCATGTATTTGATTAGTTTATACTTAAAAATGTAAATTACTAAAAACTACTAACATGTACTGAGACAAAATTTGCATGCATTTAGATAAGTCGAAATGTGTCATCTAAAACTATTTGTAAAAACCATATTTCGAGCAAACATTATTATTATTATGCCCCTAAACAAACTATCTATAATTACTCTTCTCATTTCAAAGGTTGCCTGGAAGAGATCGCTCTTAGCGATAAGGCCGTCCATTGTTTTCTTAGTGTAACATTTCTTGTAATTGTTTGTATTTACAATAAGTTTACTACTGTAATCTGTTAAAAGTAACTTATAAAGAGACTATCTATAAAAAATATGTTAAATTTTAAAGTAAAGAAAACCAAAAAATGAACAACACTTGTTACACATACAGTAATGGAGGCATCGATTATGAACCCATGACCCTTCAGACATCGCGATGGCATGGTTACGCCCACAAGGAAATCGATGTGGCAACAAAATATATTGAAGATCAATACATGCTTTTTAAGACTCCAAAAAGGTTGACTGTATGTTTGTGGCTAAATCTTCACCATTTATAAATAGGTTTTAGTGATTAAAATTTAAATAAACGGGTAATTTAAAATTAAAACAAACGGGTTCAGATACTTTAAGGATTTTCTTATTTATTATTTCTATATCAGCAGTTAAGTTTTAGTGATGTTTTAAGAGAGACACTGCTGCCCATCCCTCGACCATTAAGCTCGCTTAGTCGTCTCTTATGACACCCACATACTTGTGGGGTGGTCCTTTCTATCCTGGGACCGCACGGCTTACTTTCAGAATTATCTCAAACATGTTTTTGCGCATAGCTGAAAGCTCCGCACGTATCTCGGGGTGAGCACTAGACAATTCTGGGGTGGGCGTTATGGGGGCGGGAGGGGGAGGGGATCAAATGCTTGTCCAGGGGCATCAAGTAGGCTAAGACCGGGCCTGTATAAACACTGACAAACAAAAGGCTGACTCACCTTTCCCGCACTCTGAACACGGTTGCTCCTTTCTGTTATGGGTTGCAATGTGTAACTTCAAATGGTCCTTCCTCTTGTAAGTCTTGCCACACAGATGGCAACCAAACGGTCTGTCGTCCTCTATTTTGCTTTCTATCGCTACTATAGGTTCTAGGGTTTCGTTAAAATTAAACGAATCTTCGAGCTAAAACAAATGTTATCGTATTTACGTTGTGAACAATTGATTTCGTAGTAGTTGCCGTGAGCTTCACTACATAGTATAAAACAAAGTCGCTGTCGCTGTCTGTCCGTCCCTATGTATGCTTAAATCTTTAAAACTACGCAAGCGGTTTTTTTTAATAGATAGATTGATTCAAGAGGAACGTTTATATACATAATACATGCGTAATATTGTAGAGAAACACTGATAATTTTAGAGGTTTCTAATGTGATGTGTGCATCCGTGCGAAGTCGGGGCGAGTCGCTAGTAGCTAAATAAGACAAAATGTGTAAGCATTATTACTTTTAAGACCATTGGGTACAGACCACAGTTCAAGCAAACAAATTATTATTATTCACTATGATACGCCTTATAAAAATATCATAAGCTTTTGGTGTATATTCTATTTTTTTTTTTTTGGTACTGTAATAGATAGCAGGGGACCCAACTTCTGAGAACCTACCATGAAATATTTTCTGAAATATCGGGGCCAAAAGAAACACAAATTTGATGTTAAAACTACATAATACACATATGGTATAAAAATATTAAAAAGGTTAAAACATAGTTCCTTTGCACTATTACTATAGGATTTATGACGAATGAAATATTAAGTTTTATTTACTGGGCCGATTTCGGTACGAACAAAAACACGGAACTGAGTCTAAAAATTGGGAACTTTAGTTCATGGCAGACCCACTAACGCAGAAGAGGGCAAGTTAGTAGTGCTTGGCTTTACTGCGTCATTTTTTTTTTTTTCAAAAGTTAACGTACAATATATTGTAAGACATATATATTTGAAATGCTCCAAAGATTCCCTGTCGGATAGAACATTTATAATGGTCATCTTTTAGATATCTACTACAGCTATAATAATTTTGACTTTATCTTAATTGTAATAAGGTATTAATTTTCATCTACGATTGTTAAGTACTGTCACAGATAATATAATACTATACTGTACATTCAATCCAAGCTTGGATAAATTAATATATTTATTTATATATATTTATATATATATATATATATATATATATATATATATATATATATATATATATATATATATAAGATGTATAAATAATAATCATGTATACGACTCCTACATACATTTATTTTAGAAATGTTTAAGGAAATCCTTTTATCAATTCTAAGAAATGACTCACTGAATTGCCGATTGAAATTTTAAACTATTAGGGCCCGGGAAATACCGCAATACAAAATCTATATAGGCACATAGGAAATATTTAAGAAATTTTAACATGAGGGGTCTTAATAAGATCAATAGACACTAAAAAAGTATTTTTTACTACTTGTGCCTGTATCAAAAACTACTGCAGTAAATTGAATGTGAACTTCACAGTTGCGCTTCTGAAGATCTTAATTAAAATCTAATTTATCTTAATACATCAACTAGAAGTGGTTACCTATTTCTAAAGTACACACCTACGGATATGCGGACAAGCACTATATATATTCCTGGGGTAACAAACCTGTAAGTTTAAGTTTAAAAACCGAAACAAACATTTCGAAAATAAACACAAAATAATAACAAACACATGTAAAAAAAAAAAAAAAAACTTCCATTGTGAGAAAGAAAACCTATTATTTTGATTTAAAAATTACTGAAACGATTTTGATAAAATTCCAACGAGATCAATCTGTAAATATCTCCTTTCAAATAAAAAAAAACTTTCCAAATTGGTTTATGACTGACAAGTATGAGAATAAACATTAAAAAACAAAACCAAGAACCTCCTTCTTTTTGAAGTTGGTTAAAAATGTGATGACACTCACCTCCTCATATTCCATATCACCATTCATATTGATAAATGGCATCATGTAATCATCAGTCATTTCTTGCTTGATATCCATTAGTGATTCATCGTTCCCAATCTGCAAGTTTTGTTCAACAAACGTCTTGCTGTGGGTCTGTAGGTGCTTTTGTAAGTGGTCCTTTCGGTAAAACGCTGGAATTAAATTAATTGTTCACGAATTTGGGAATAATAACGGGAATTTACAAGCTTTGTGAGATATTTTTTTAAGGATTCTTACAATACCAAACGAGTTGGCGTAATGGGGACCGGTGTCCCCATTACTAACAATACCAAACTCCCTCCGTACTTCCCACCAGGTGGGCCATCAGCCTAGTTTTTTTTTGCAATTGTAAAACAAGATTGTGTTCCAAAAAAATTGGTTTCAATTTTGATTTATAAACTAAATTACTAACCTACCAAACTAATTTAGATAAGATTTCTATGGGGCCAATCTGTAGGTATATCTTTTGAAATAAAAAAAGAATTTTCCAAAACAGATTATAACTGACACAGTCATGAGGTATTATATAAGTATCATAACTGTGTCATATAATCTAACATGTGTCTCAAAAAAAATACAACCAAATTATGAACTTTCTTTTTTTGAAGTTGGTTAAACAAAGGTACATGATAGTAGTTACCAAGTTACAATACTTACATCTGCCACATATTGTACAAGCGAGATTCTTGTCCCCGCTGTGTATGGCCTTGTGAATGTTTAGATGTTCTTTCCGTTTGAAAGCTTTACCGCACTGTGGACACACATGCGGCCTGAACTCCTGGTGTTCCAGTGTGTGTCTATCTAAGTGTTCTTTACGTTTTAACCTGAGCCATAGAGATTATATATGTATAATTTTTTTTTAATAAAACTCTTTGCTTTCCTTTATTTTCAGAGAACAAAACATCCTTGTTACATCTACTATACAATATAGTGGAATATTATTTACATGCAATTATAAAAACTGTCAATAAATTATATATGTGAATTATATTTAAAACACGAGAATAAAATAAATATAGTCTATATTTAAATAGACTAGTTTACAAGTTTTTTTTTTTTATCTTCACTTCTTTATGATTTCTCCATTAAGTTCAGAAGTTTATTTGTTGAGAAGAACTTGGAAGAAATCCAGCAATAACTGTTTTACACTGTGCTACAATTGGTATATTTTGAACAAAGGGCATTTCTGTTTGTAAACAAAATATCCATATTTGGATTGACTTTAATGATCACTGGCTTTGCAATATTTTTTTATTTATTTCACAAAGTAAATACAACTATTAATTGCATACTATTCTTCAAATTAACACAATTTATTGATGAATGACACACACCTAAATTACTAAGATTTTCAATTTACATTAGACACATTATTTAGATTAAATGGTTAGCACAAATAACATTTTAGCCAAATAGTAATAGATTTAAAAAACTCACCCCGTTCCACAGATTCCACATATATGTTTGTACTGCTTAGTATGCACACATAAGTGTAACTCTAATTTTTCCTTTTCCGTATATTTCTTAGGGCATGTAACACAACAGTACTGTGTCATACCATCTTGATCTTTTAATATGATAGCCAGTTTGTTCTTTGATGGATAGCTACTCTTGATAGCCTGTAGTATAGAATCTAAAAGATAAATTACCTGAATAATATTATGAAAAATATTATAATAATTATTAGACATAATGTAAACAACATAGACATGCACATAAATATCTAAAATAAATGCAAAAATTTTAAAAAGTGAAAGGAAAGATTTTTATGTAATCTTAAAAAGGGATAAGTACTTATTAAATTAATAAGAAAATAAAAATACTAAATAAATATAATAATGATTATATTAATTTACCTTCAAAATCATCCTCCATTATGTATTTATAATAGTTCTTGAATGTAAAAACCTAAAAAATATTTTAAACAATATAGAAGTATTAATAAAGGTAAAAAAAATAAGTAAAAAAATTCTTTCAGACTTTATAAGTACCTGTCTACTTACAAAACTTGTGCTTACGCCGTCGTCTGTGAATTGAATAGGGGGTGAAAAAAACCCAAACTTGAAATAGTGATCCCTACCCCTACCCATGGAGTTCGCCCAAGGCCCGAGCTCCCCTCTGTATAGGGGTGACTACCCTTTGTCTACCCTAACATCCCCTACAGGAGGGGAGGGGACCCCACTTCGGACCGTTAGGAGGGGTGGCTTTACCTTACTCCACATTGATTCAAAATTCTCTACCTGAATTCCAAATATAGTCTACAACACTTAAATAACTTTATCATATTAAAAAATTCTATTGGTACTAAAAACTAAAAAACAATGGTGCTCATAAAGTTGTAAATTATTAAATTGTTACGCGCCAAAACTTTCGAAATATTGAGAAAGTAAAAAATAATTAAATAATGTCAATAACAAATACTCACATCAAATGCAATTCTTTAAAAATTCATTTGAAAATATATATTACAGTAGTATGTCTAAAGAGATAATTAATCGCAAAAATAGGAAAAAAAACTAAAAACAAGACCAATCTAATACAAGGCGCACACACGAATGATAAATGAATGAATGAAATGACGTAATTGAATAATGAATGAAAATAAACGAAAGAGCGAGTGACGACTCAACTTGTTCAGATTGGTTTTAGCTAAGAACAAGAATTACATAGTAGTGATAAAATTGTCAATTTATAGCAGGCTAGTGTATAGAAAATGCTAAAAACAAGGAATTACATAGAAGGAATGATAAAATAAAAACTGTAAATCATATAGTTGCCACTTTTCTTCTTATACAAATATAATTAGTAGAAAGAGGACGAAAGATACGCCATCAGTTGCTACTTTTCTCAATTCATAGTAGGTTAGTGTATAGAAAATATTTGATATGTCAATTACTTGTCAATGAAAAATTTTACATTTCTAAATTATATATTCGACACAGTTTATATAGAAAATATGTAAGCAGGTTGTATTTGAATTTGGTAGGGTTATACAGCCCTACACTTCTACATTCTATCTGCTGTTCTTCTGTATGTTCTTTTAATAGTTTAAATTACAAAAATGTCTCAACTTCTTGATAAGCACTTTTTAAAATGGATTTTATATTTACAAGTTCATTTTTCAAATCCTCATACCATTTGTATGTATAGTCGAAATATCAGAAAGACTTTAAGCTAAAAATAATAACCTACACAATTTTTATGCAATATTAACTTATATTAAATTATTGCAATATTAAATAGAATAATAAAAAAAAGAAATGCAAACAACAATATAAAACCTATCCTACATTTTTTGTATATTAGCTAGCTTATAAATCATACTACAATTATTTAAATATTGGTAGTCTGGACAGTTCGCACATACCTTGTACTGAAGGTACGTACGTAGGATAGCGTTAGAGTTAGAGCTAGCCAGGACCTTACGCATCAGAGATGTACACAGTTTTTGCATAGTAGAGTAAAAACTATCACGCGTTACGGCGATCATTCTTGACGCACTTTAAAACCAGGACATTCCCAACAGCACCCTAAATGCATTATTGTACTGGACTCGTAGGGCGCTGAACTGTTTCTAATTATAAAAAGCCCACAGACTATTTGTTTAAGAGGACATACAAAATGCTCTATAAAGTGATTTTGATGTCCCTCGAGCAACGTGAAAATTTGCGAGCTATCATGTTTGCTCTCACAGACAACGCCCTACTCTCTCTCTCTCTATTTCCATATCATGCCTCAGGTTAGAGGTTAACATAAGACTGAGGTATTTAAAGTGTTCCACCTTATGTAATGGGATGTTGTTTAATTTAATGGATGGTATATGATTTTAACACTTACCTCTGACCTGAAAGACCATACACACAGTTTTCCTTACATTGTGAAGCAGACTGTGAGTGCGGGCATATTTTTCACATATATTTTTTTTTATACAACTTAGAATGGCAAACAAGCTGATGGCCCACCTGATGGAAAGTGGTAACCGTCGCCTATAGACATGAGCAGTACCATGGACTTAACAGAGTATACTGTTTCGCCCATGATACCCCCCATGCGTTGCCATTCCTGAGGACTCAGATGTTATTCCTCCGTACCCAGTAAATTCACGCCATATCCCACACCCTTCAAACCGAAACACAGCCATGCAAACACAACTGCTTCACAGTAGAGACACGAATTGGACAGAGGTACCCAAGCAATCGACTTTTGTACAGTCTCCCTCTGGTATAAATATATGTATAATATATATATATATATATATATATATATATATATATATATATATATGCCACATTGAGCTGATTTTTATACTAGTACTTAAATATATCTACAGTTCATTGAGCATTCTAGTATTATTTAGTTTTTGCCATAAAATATCATAACATACCAGATTAAATGCTCTCGATAAGTTGAAGAAACAGGCAACGGATGTTTTACGATCAGTGTAATACTTGACAGTTTCCTTAACACACAATACAGCTGTTTCTGTTGAAAGTCTAGTTTTAAAAGCAAACTGGTTGTCATGGATTTCTATATATTTATTAAGCTGTGTGTTAAGCAAACTATCAAGTACATTTGATACAACAGTTGCTAGCGACACCGTTTATAGTTGCTTTTATCACTTATATTACCAATTTTGCTTTTCACAATTGGTACCACCAAAGTCTTTATCATCTCCGCAAAAAAGTACGAGTATCCTATACATAACGTGTAGAACATCGCTAAAACCCCAGGGAGCTGATAATCTTGGAGCCTATTCGTTACAAATGGAAAAAAAGTGTTTCCTCTTTATAATATTAGTGTAGATTATAGCGACCCACCCCGGCTTCGCACGGGTGCAATGCTAAGTGCAAAAAATGTGTTAATTTACGACATAGCATTAGAAATGTCTGAAATTATCAGTGTATCTCTGCTATATTATGCATAGTGGACCCGCCCTCGCTTCGCTTCAGGTACCATTTTTACCCCCGTAAAGTTACTTTTTAAAACACCTATGTCCTAAAAGTTAAAACTTACCTACCTATACCATGCTGGTGCGGTGAGAATTTTGAAGTTTTATTTAATACGCCTCGCGCGCTAGACCTCTAAAATTATCAGTGTTTCTCTATAATATTATGCATGTATTATACACATAAATCTTCCTCTTGAATCACTCTATCTGATAAAAAAAACCGAATGAAAATCGGTTGCGTAATTTTAAAGATTTAAGCATCTGAGCCGCGCGGGTACCTCACTCATAGATCTAAACTCCCCTCCGCACGCACACTCTGCCTTGGTGACGCTCACTTCGCAACGGGCCGTGCATTGCTTGGGTACCTCTGTCCCATTCGTGTTTCTACCGTGAAGCAGTTGTATTTGCATGGCTGCGTTTCGGTTTGAAGGGTGGGATATGGCGTGAATTTACTGGGTACAGAGGAATAACACCTGAGTCCTCAGGAATGGTAACGCATGGGGGGTATCATGGGCGAAACAGTAGTAGTAACTCTGTTATGTCCATGGTACTGCTCATGTCTATAGGCGACAATTACCACTTTCCATCAGGTGGGCCGTTAGCTTGTTTGCCATTCTAAGTTGTATAAAAAAAATCGTAATATTTTAATTTCGCCATAACTGCAAAACAAAACGTCCAATTTTAATTATTCAAAAATCAAATATTATCTACATAAACTGTACTTAGTGATGAAGTAATTTATTTTGATATGGATTAATAGCATGAGTAAAATAAATGCGTTTAAATTTAGTCCAAAAAAATTCAAGGTTTTCAAATAAAAAAATGGTTGTTGTGCCTCACTCGACATAGATAGGTATAGTGTGTCGCGGAATTTTTTGTAGATATTTATAAGATCTACAATTAATTAGAACATTTTATGGTTCTATCTTTTATAGTTTAGCAGCGTACATACTTTTTTGGTTGATTTTTTACACCTTGTGTCCGAAAAATCCAAATATCTTACGGAACCCTATTTTTTTCCAAAATAAAATATAGCCTATGTTACTCGTGGATAATGTAGCTTTCGAATGGTGAAAGAATTTTTAAAAACGGTCCAGTAGTTTTTGAGCCTATTCATTACAACCAAACAAAGTTTTTTTCTTTATAATATTAGTGTAGATAAGATCATAGTAGCACATTTATGCAACTGCAGATTTTATGGCTTCAAGCACTGTTTTAGGATATAAAAAGTCTCACAAACACTGTCAGTCAATATTTACATTCAATTTTTTGTATTTAGTTATATTTTCGAGCTTTTTGTACGTTAAAAATATTTTTATTAAATGTTAAATCACAGACACAATGTTTACTTAGCAGTGGCACCACTTAACTTCCCATTGTACTGTATAATTTGACTAACCTAATAAAAATAGACACAGGTCGTATTTGTAATTGGGGGAGAGTTTTTGTAGTCCTATAAATAATAAATTATTATTAATCATTATGTAATAATACATATAAATAACAAACAGTATAAACATTCAACTATCGATTGCAAGAATAGATTCTTTACCGATTACACAACACTACTCCATTTCTACTGTGGTTGTCAAAATTATCGCACTAAATTTGACAGACCATAAACACGGGAAGTATAATACTAACTCCTGCGCACATGTGAGATAGGTATTAGAAATTTCTGAATTGATTTTGTATAAATAATTTAATACCTAAAAATGGACAATAATAAGCTAGAAGGAGTAGCATTGAAACTTTTTGACATAAATGCTGTAAAATTCGGGGAGTTTATGACTAAGAGTGGAATTGAAACACCTGTTTATTTTGATTTAAGGGTTATAGTTAGTTATCCACGTGTAATGGTATGTAAAAAATATCTTTATAATAACTTTTTATGTTATATCTACGTATTTATTCAAATATAAGTCCTATTTTTATTAATAATCTCAAATAATTGAGTGGATATATTAAACATTAATTCAGCAAGTGGTTATTTAATAAGTTGAGCAGTTCCATTAATCTGTATTATATTTTGTTATTCTCATTCGTTACAATATTGTATAATATATTTTTTTTTTGTTTTACTCGACACTTTTTTCACGCCGTAATGTGTGAATTTAATTATAAATATTGTTAATATACATATGTAAAGGAAACCATCAGTGAGTATTCTTAGAAATAAAAAAAGAGTCAAAAACGAGTAGGGTTACTTGTTGGTAAAGTAAAATGTCGCCGTACCTATCATGATATGTATAGTGTCTATATTACACAATCTGTAAAGACAAATTTATAATGTATATGGATCATAATATAGAAATAATCCATATATTTGTTAAAACATGATAAAAATATTTCTTCCATATTGACTAGGCATGTATCTACCTCGATAATTTGATTTGTTGAACACAAGACTCAAAATTATGCAGAATAGGAGTTTCAACTGGTGTTTCTCTTTAAAATGCTCAGTTTCACTGATAGGAATCTGCCATATAAGTACCTAAATCCCAGTAGTCTCTTAAATTTTTATTTAGGAATCTACCTGCCTAGAAAGTAAAGGTTTTCCTTTATAATTTGAAAAAAGAATATTTTTTATAACAATCATGTTTGATTAAGTGATATTTTGTGCTTTTAGGAATTAATAACATCTCTACTCTGCGATATTGTAGCCACAAAAGTTAAAAAATATGATCATATATGTGGAGTGCCATACACAGCTTTGCCAATAGCTACATTGATGAGTGTTCAGGCAAAGAAACCAATGCTATTACGGAGAAAAGAAGCTAAAGCATATGGTACAAAGAAAATGATAGAAGGTCATTACAATGTTGGTGAAACTTGTCTTATAGTTGAAGATGTTATAACATCAGGTTCTAGTGTTTTAGAAACAGTAAAGGAGTTGAATAAAGAAGGTTTAGTGGTTAATAATGCAGTAATTATCTTGGATAGAGAACAAGGTGGCAGAAAGAATCTTGAAACAAATAATGTAAATGTTGATGCATTATTTACTATGACTGAGTTGATTGGTATTTTAGAAAAACATAAAAAAATTACAAAAGAAATGTCTATGAAAGTTAGAAACTACTTAACAGAAGTTAAAGCTCCAGTAACTGGTAAGCTGTGTATGACTATTTTTTATGGATATTATTCTGGTTTATATTTCAATGACACAATTTCACATTGTTATTTACAGGTTCATCAGAAGAGAGAATGCTATTATCATATGAAAAAAGAGCAGAGTTAACTTCGAATCCTGTAGCAAAGCAGCTGTTTAACATAATGTCGATTAAAAAGACGAACCTGTGTTTGTCTGTTGATTTGACATCATCTATAAAAATACTGGAACTTCTAGAAAAAGTTGGAGAGTATATTTGCTTAGTGAAAACCCATGTTGATATTATAGAAGATTTTAGTTTAGATTTTATCACACGACTTAAACAATTAGCACAGAGATTTAACTTTTTGATTCTTGAAGATAGAAAGTTTGCAGATATCGGGAATACTGTGTTGTTACAGTATCAGAAAGGATTATATAAGATTTCTGAATGGGCTGATTGTGTGACATCGCATTCTTTACCTGGAGAAGGTATATTGAAATCTTTAAGCACTCCCTGCAATGGTTTAGAAAATCGTGGCGTATTTCTTTTAGCTGAAATGAGTAGTGAGGTATGAACATATTATTTTTATGCACTGTGCACCATCTACTTTCGTATCACATTATTTGACCATAATAAGCTCTCTTTGACCATAAGGTATATAAATAATCTTTCCATCAACTATACAAATTGCAATAATGCTGTGCTTGTTAGGTACCTGTTCAATAGCATACTAATGTTATCATTTTCGAATATGTGATCTTTTTGTATTTTAGAGGCACTAAATTCACTTCTTAGTGACTCGTCTGCAAATATATTAACATTCAATTGCATTTTTTTTATAAAATATATTAACATTTTTACAGGGAAATCTAATATCACCAGAATACCGAGAAGTAACAGTAAACATGGCTTCGAAATATCCTAATATAATTACTGGATTTGTATGTCAAAATAAGGATACATTTAAAGATCCCGGTCTTATACAATTGACTCCTGGCGTACAACTCGAGAGTGCTAAAGATGATCTTGGTCAAGTATACAATAGTCCAGATAAAGTTATTTTAGATAACGGAGCTGATATAATTGTTGTCGGCCGTGGTATAATTGCTGCGAAGAGTCCAGAAGCTCAAGCGGTTATTTACAGAGATACTTTATGGAAGTGTTATTTAAAAAGAGTCTCAGGTAAATTAGAGTAAGTGTTCAAGTATTGTTTATATCGTTAAAATATTTTGTTGTCTCAATTGCTGATTTTAGTAATAATAGAGAAGTATGCATTTAATTTATTCCTGGTTATGTAATAATAAGTTGTAATTCATAGTATTGTAATCTAAATAACTGTACATTTTGTATTAAGCGAATTGTTATTGTATATTAATTTGTATTAATTGTATTTCTACTCATAATGTTACTATGAGCTATATTAAAAAAAAGATGCATTTAAAAAAATCTTTTTAAAGGGACCATTTAATATAAAATGTTGAAGAAAAATAGAGCTAATTTAGCATTTTTTGAAGGATATGTTCTACCAGCAAAACTGAACATTAACATTAACAAACATAGTTTTACCATAGATTATATCATCATTATTATCATATCAGCCGTTAACTATCCATTGCTTAACACAGGCCTTAATGTTTTATTTCTAAAAACTAAAACATTCTACAAACATATTTTTATTAGAGTGTTTTGTCCCTGTCTTTCAAATTGAGAATATAGTGTAAAAGAAAAGGATAAAGTACTTCTATAACTAAAATAATTTTAAGAGAATTGACGTTTTTATTAATAAAAGAAAGTGTGGGTTTTATGTATAACTTGCATTTCCGATTTCTTTCTGTATATAAGTTACTATTTATGTATGTTATATATGTTTTCTAATCAATATGTAAGACATTCCATTACCTTTTAACTATATTTAATTGTATTGGATTTTTGTCTGAAAAGATCCTATAGAAATGTAGTAATTTATTTTCGTAGTAAAAATAATTGATTTTACCATACGCAGAAATTATACCACGTCTAATTTCATCTTTTTATATTTTATGTCACATAAAATTATAGAAAACATATAACGTAAAGAGAATTGGTGTCAGTGACAGCCATATTTAAAGTAGGTTTATATTTGTGGAACACAATTTTAAATTATTTTCGAAAATTCTGGCTACCCGTACAAAGCCGGGCTGGATTTTCTAGTAAGTGATATAATATAGTTTCAAAAAGAAGTCACAGTTTTTCAGTTTACATTTTAGCAGTTTTTTGTAAGTGATGTGTCTTCTAGGCAATATAGAAGGCTCAACATAGTTAATGGCCCTGTCCACATATTACTTAATAATTAAGTAAATTGTATACTACGATAAAGAAAAAGATATTTTAAAGTATAATTACTATACTTATGCTATAATAAATAAAGAATATCAAGAAAAAAGGTTTTATCATTTTTATATCTATAGTACCTATACATATGACATTGACAACAATGGAATGGTAACAACATCTGTGCCATCTGTATAAGCTGGCAGGGAACCAGTAACTGAATAGCTGAGTATACAATTAAGTCGGCCTATTGTAAATAATTATAACTGAAAAATTTGCTATACTCGTAGTAATATAGAAGTGCCTGTTAGGTAATGGTCCTCAGTATGATCTAATCAAATTCAGTATAATAAAACGCAATTCAATTCGAAGGAACACTAGAATAGTCCCTCCGGAAATAAACTATTAGATTTATCATTTATTGTTTAAAATATCGATAATGCTTTTGTGTGTACAAAAGTACAACACTATCAGATGAATGACTTATGAATGAAATATGTCAGTACTGTCAATCAAATATTCGTTCCCACTTTTCATTTATTCAGTTCAGTTCACTGCTCACGGTTGCTTCTTTCTTCTGCCAAACATCCAAAACAACAAAATAATTGTAAATTGTTTTTAGAGAAATGGAATATATTGTTAAAGAATTAGGCATTAAAAGTGATAACATATTTTCTACTGTTTCGCCTGATCTTTTTGCTATAGTTGTGCACAATAGTTGGTTGAAGAAATGGTTGAAGAATCTAGATGTTGATAATACAGTGAATAATATAGATTTTACTTTACAAGCAGGAGAAAGTGTACCTTATCCTTGGCGTAAAATATTTGTCAGGGTATGTATATTTATTTTTTAGTTGAAAATTATATTTTTTATTTATGGGGTAGATGAAAAAAAATTGGTATTCACATAACTTGTGTTTTTTATTGTTTTTAAATGTATTTTCAATTATTTGCCGAAATTTGGATTAATTTAATGGTAGACAAAAAATATTTATTGAGATTATTTTAATTTTTATAGGTATTAAACAAGAGGGTATCTAAAGTCTTGCCCCTACCACGTTATAAATTAAATGAAAACAACACTGAATGTGCACTTACATTCTCACAGTTACTACAGTATGCTTCTTTAAACAATCAGAGAAATCTATGGAAGGAGTCCTATAAGAAATATTGCCAGAATAGTGATAACTCAAAAGAGAGTACAATTGTCAATCTTCTAGAACATGATCAACTCCTTTCCGAGGTAGTCTTAAGATTATATGGCTGTAACATTATTAGAATTAAGTGCGATGGAGGAAAACTTATTGAGTACAAAGAAATAATACCCAACAAATATGTGTCTAAGTCATATGAAACACATGTCAATTTATTAGCAGCTATGTTTATATTGGAGACTGACAATAACTTCTACGTAATGTACCATGGTCATTACGAGAACAATCTCTTAGATTGCCTTAACTTTAGTCCGAGCCTGATAGACAAGAATTATTCTCGTGGCATGTTCATTATATACCAGTTGCTGAATGTGTCCAAGGCCATGTCTGACAGAGGGTTGAGTCTAGGCATGTTGACATTGCAAGATATTTATTTAACCGAGAATCTCTGGCTTCAGATATTGCCCATAGTTACGAATAATGTGCATTGTTTGGATGCATCACTAATTTATGAGCAGAATAAAAGTAAACAGAGTACACCGGCTGTCAGCAGCTGTCAAGGCACCCAGGCAAACAAAGGAGAAGAATGGTGTTGGAGGAATGAAGCTGTCCAATTAGAGAAATTGTGCATGCTCTGGGTCAGGGGTAGAATTTCAAACCTTGATTACCTACTGCACCTCAACACACTAGCAGGCAGGCATGCTAATGATCTCCAGGCCCATTTTATGGTTCCTTGGGTAACTGACTTTCATTCAAGATGTGGTTAGTATGTGTGTAAATTTTTTGTAATAAGTATAAATAACCAGAAAAGTTGGTGGCCAATAGGTGTTTTTTTTTTTTTATATATATTACAGAGGTAGATTGATACCCTTAAAATATTCTAAATCATTAACCTTATATTTTTTTACTATCATTATGTTTTTTTATTCTATTTGGTTATTAAATAAACATTTACTTTTGATTTTGCCTGGGATATGTTTACTGACCGGTAAATAAAGTAGCCTATATCCTTGTCCATCCTATATAGCATTTGCACACAAAATTTTATAGTGATTACTTACGCCGTTAAGGCACTATACACAATGAGGAATAAATGTAGCAGAGCATAGTTTGTAGCTGTAGCCTACTTGTACATAACCAATATATCTCCTCTAGAAAATACTCTATATAAAAACATAAAATAATCTAAAAACACTCTTAAAATTCCTATCATTAGGAATTAGTAGCAAACATATTAAAAAAGGACAAGCACAAAAAATAATAGAGGTAGCAGATTTTTCTGCTTGAAAAAGCCTATCTCTCAATAATAATAAGGCGCTATAAGGTAACAAACAAACTCACTTTGACCATTATAATATTAATAAGGATTATTATGGTTTACTTGAAAAAATATCAGATCAGTAATATCTATATTAATATAATAAAAAGGAAAGATTTAATTATTTGTATGTTTGTAAAGGATAAACTAAAAAAACCCCCAATCGATTAAAAAAAAAATTACATATACAAAGCTACATACATCTACGCATGTGAAGCCACTAGTAATTATAATATATAAATTAACTAAAAACTTTTATTATAAAAAACTAAAAATTTATTACAAAAAATTATATTGCATTCAGGTAAGAATTGGCGGGACTTAACCAAGTCGAAATATCGCCTCAACAAAGGCGATAGGCAGCTAGATATGACATACGAAGTGAACTGTTCAGATCAGATACCTCACCATGTGTCCGATGCGCTTACCGACATCACCTGTTATGTGTACTTGGCTCGCAGGTATGTCGCTATCTCCTTTTGTAGTTTGTTTTCAAACTAATCTAATGCATTTCGCCGCAAATAGTCCTTATAGATTCTCCGGAGATAACGAGGCGAGTGCAGATGACACTCCAAACTTTTAGAGCAGCATTTTGCTGTTTCTTGCTTACCGAATACGATATTTTAGTCAGAAGACTGCAGAGTGATTCGAACCTCTATTCAGGCTGTGTCGACGCGCATACGCATAGAGACGACAAGCGTTCGCGGCCCGCGCAATGATGCGGATGTTAATAAATTTACTACTGTAATCTTTTAGAGGAAAAGTAAAGAGTATCCTTCTATTTATTTTGCAGAACACCAAAGGAGGTATTGTGCAAGTACGTGCGCAATAAATGGGTGCCGGCAGAGTATCCCGCGTCCATCCAGCGCATGCAGGAGTGGACGCCAGACGAGTGCATACCAGAGTTCTACACCGACCCTACCGTCTTCAAGAGTATACACGAAGATTTGCCGGTAAATATTTGTCAATGCATCATTAGATATTGACGTATATAATTTGCTACCCGAGGATTTACCCGCGTCAATATAACCTATGCATGTGTCAAATTTCATTCGAATCCATTTAATAGTTTTTGCGTAAAAGAGTAAATAGATAGATAGACATATAATTTATTTGCATTACTTACACCACACGAGTAACAACAGATATAGATACATATGCAAAAAAAAAAAAATAGGAATAAAAAAAATACATAAAAGAGGTAACATAATTTTTCATTTCGAGAGTGTGCCATAGTGATACAGAATTTTCACAACTCAGTTTTACAGCTTTGCCCTCAAAAGAGTAATATCAATCTATCTATTTTTAAAGACTTATATTTACCATATACTTACGAGGTCTGTCCGGAAAGTTCGTATAAAAGTGTTCTGGAATGCGAGAAAGAGGAGTGGGGAGGCCAGGTAAGCGCAGGACCCCTTCCTTATGTCCCTAACAATGCTTCAGTTCTGGTCTGACCGCCGTGCGGTGCGAACTGGCTTGTCACGCCATCTGTGAAGTTACCTCTTAACGAAACCCCGTCGGCATGGAGCCCGCTTCCGTTGAAGAGCAGCGCGTCGTAATCAAGTTTCTCTCGAAACTCGGCAAGAATGGCCGTGAAATTTTTGCCGATCTCAGAACAGTTTATGGGGATGATGCTGTGAAGGAACCAACCGTCCACAAGTGGCTAAAAAGATTCAGAGAGGGCCGAGAAAGCGTTCAAGATGACCCACGTTCAGGACGTCCTTCCACTTCACATTCCGACGAACACAGGCCAGACAGTTGATGGAAAATTCTACGTCGATGTGCTCAGACGCCTCAAAGCTCGTGTGGCACGAGTTCGTCCAGAATTGGCGCGAGAGGGGCGTTGGATTCTTCACCACGACAATGCCCCTGCCCACACCTCTCTTGTTGTCCGTGAGTTTTTGAGTAAAAATTCCATTACGGTGACCGAACACCCCCTATTCGCCGGATTTGGCCCCGTGTGACTTCTTCTTGTTCCCAAAAACCAAATTGGTACTTCGGGGGCGGCATTTGGGGGACATAAATGAGATAAAAAAAGCTACGACGGGGCAGCTGAGAAACCTACAACCAGAGGACTTTCAAGGAGCCTTCTCACAGTGGAAACGGCGTTGGCACAAGTGCATTATGTCACAGGGGGAGTACTTTGAAGGGGATAAAATTGATTTACCTGAATAATTGTAAAATAAAATTTTTAAAAAACTTTTATACGTACTTTCCGGACAAACCTCGTATTAGTAGGGCTAGTAGGATTATTTCCCAGGGTATGTTTGACCCTTAAAAAAAAAACTTAAGTACCTTAAAGCTTCGCTTGCATCCTGGACTGGATATGAGACAATTTTAAGGCTTGGTTTTTTTTGTATATTAAATTATTTTAATAACTTTTAACAGGATTTGGGGATACCATCGTGGGCGACGTGCGCTGAAGACTTCATAACGAAACATAGGGAAGCGCTAGAGAGCACGCATGTATCGGAAAATTTACACCATTGGATTGATATCACCTTCGGATATAAGTAAGTCATCGTGTTAACTTTTTACATAACTGCTGAAAAAAAGGAGTGTAATTTTTTTAATGAATGATAAGGAAATGGTTACCTCTCCTGCGCTATCGGTATACACTGAAAAAGTACCAGTGAGGGATAACAGGCAAGAATGAAACAGGTCCATCGTGACGAATTCAAGAATAAATTAATCACGATTGGTTTCCTCATGGAGGTCGACCTAATAGGGTATATTGCTAGCATTGGGGTTGCTAATCCCATTACTAACAATCTCTTCTCATCCTAGAGTGTAATGTTTTATAGGCTTATGTATATTATGTAAGTGAATTTGTTCATGATAATATATAAATGCCTTAACAGAGGGCCTACCATGAAATGTTTTTCGAAATTTCGGAGCCAAACGAAACCGTTTGGAAATATTAAAAATGTTAAAATATTGTTCCTTTGGACATTTATGATAGGATGTATGACGAACGAAATGTTAAACTCCATTTATTGGTCCGATTTTGGTATACACAAAAACACGAAAGTGAGACCGAAATTTCGGAATTTCATTTCAAGGTAGACCCGCAGATAAAACGTATGGGGTATTGTTTAAAACCTTATATCGTTTGCCAGGGTAGTTGGGTTTTTTAAATTGTTGAAAAAAAAATTACTTATTACTTACTATTATATAATATAATTTATTTAAATGTGTATTTTTAAGTATTTATGCAATAGATTAAAGCACTGAAATATTATTGTAAAAATGAAGACGTAAAGATGAAAGTCTTATATCTCAATTTCAGTTTTTCGCTTTTTTATGAATGTATAGAAGTGGTAAGAGGTGTTATGTGTATACTAACAGGCCTTATACTTACACTCGATTACTATAACTTATAATTGTTAGGACGACTTATAATAACCTATCTATATTAACCATATCTTATGTGTACATACATTTTTGAGTCCATCTCCCATATTTCAAGCTGACCCATCGCCCGTATACAATAGCGAGGACGCATCGCTCAGTTATTTACGCGACTCTAAACTATAAAAAAAATATACGCACGTAATATTTTTATTCATTTATAGAATAAAATCGTCGAATGTAACGCTAACGAGTTGAATTTGTCTATGTAAACGGTAGACTGTCCGGCGGCGCGTCAGTGAAGGCGAAAAATGTGTGCCTGTCGTTGGTGGATGGGCACACGGCGGCGCGGCGCGGCGCCACCGTGCAGCTGCTGGCCGCGCCTCACCCGCCGCGGGCGCCACGCCCACCCGCGCCTCTCCCGCCGCGGTTGCACTGGACGGCACCGCGCGAGCGCGACCGCGACCGCGACAGCAGTAAGTATAGGCAGCTATAGTTTCAGTCTCAGACCTTATTAATATCCTATTTTTTTTTTAATGGATGATTAATGGAATGGTAACCCCGCCTGCGCTATCGGTATACGCTGGCGGGGCACCAGCGAGGGGTGATAGGTGAATAATGAAAAAAGGCAGATCAGTCAGCCCATCGTGATGAATACACATGGAACTCAGCACGATGGTTTCCAGGGGGAACCGCGTGGAGGTCGACCTGACAGGGTATATTGCTAGCAATGGGACTGGTAGTCCGCATTACAAACGATCCCTTCCCCCCTAATATCCTATTAAGAGCGTTCACAATAATGTATGCCAACGTTGCAATTATTTTACTGATTTAGGCGTTTTTTTTGTGGAAGTCTCACTGCTTAGTTGATTAGAAGTGAAACACGTGCCGCCGGAATGTACGTGGACCGTATAACAGTTTTCCAATGTTGGCAGTTGCACGCATACTAATAGTAGCGGAATTAAACGAAATAATTTTAATTGAGCAATCAATGCTGCAATTATCTGTAAATTTTCAAAAACAATTGTATATTTTTCAATGTTACTGATCGATTATTTAAAAGTATTCTGACCTAAAATTTTAATCGTGCAATCGTGTATTACTTTATGGTATTAAATAAAAAAATATATTTTAAAATAATATATAATCATAATAACAATAAAACTTATAAGCGCATGCTAAAATAACGTCACCATTAATCTTTATAAAATTATCTGTGTCTCCGTTTATTGATTCTCGTTTGATCCAAATATTTATATTTCAACAGAAAAGTCAGTCAGAGCTGATACTCACAGTTCAGAGGAGGTGTCCGATGAAGAAGAAGAATCTGCTTCTCTCCCGCAGCACGTCTCGCGGCTCAATATTCCCCAGCGAGTGCGATCGCGACAGAAGAGCAGCTCCAGAACTCGTTCTCTCTCCAAGGGCCAGGGTCTGGATGATTCTGTAATATCCAACGAGAGCCGAGCATCATCCCACTCTAGACACTACAAGGTCCAACGATCTGAACTCGGTAAAGGAGTCATATACCTTCCCAAAGAGTTTAACCCGGTTTCTTCAATACAAGCTATGGAATCTCTTGATAATTTCCGGACAAAATGCTTTTTCAGTAAGGCAGAAGAGAATGAGAGATGCAAAGAAAATATGATGGCATTAAACCTTTTCCCGATGCAGGAGGAGACGAAGAAAAGTGGCAATACCAGTACAAAGAACAGTTCAGATGATACGGCATTCACCAACCACATGTTTCTGGCATCGTACGATCAGAGTTATTTAAAAAAATTCAGCCAGGATGCTCATTTAGAAAGTGTCTTCAAAGAAAGGAAGAGCAGAACATTGAGTACCAGGTATACTACGGATGCTGCAGTGTACAAGCAGTTCGTAGCTGAAACTCGCCGGCAGGACATGTTAGTGATCGGGTGCCTCATTGTAGAAATATTCCTTCACCACTATATGCGTCCACTGAGAACGAACACTAACAATTTTATGGACAGATATAACAGTTGCAGGACAGTGTTGAAGTATAACTTCAACTCGCTTCCCAAAAGTGTCAGTTACGTCGCGTCTCTCCTCCTCAATGTAACACCTCCAAGTTTGAGCTACAAAAATGAATTGTGTCCTAAAATAGACGAGCCCTTGAAGAAAATTGTAGTGACTGATAAAGGCCTGCCTCCTCCGACGCCGACGCAGTTGCTTCAACCGCTTTTGATGCAGCATTTGATACCTTTCCCGCCAACCTATCAAATTCTATTCAAGTTGCTCAGCACACTACACGAGTACGAACTGACGAGTAACGAATTGAGTATCTTATACACATACGAGTGTGATGGTGTTCAGTGTGAGAAGTACCAGAACGTCGACAAAACAAAGTTGTATTTTAGCCAAAAGATTGCTGAAGGCAAAATTCAAGCTTGTGCCACACATTTAGATATGCTATTGGAGCAAATCAACCATTATAGTCAATTCGACGTGCTCGATATTTTCGTTGATCATTACATAGAACTGTTAAGAAATAAAGACACGTCAGTCTTAGCTGCTTGGTATCTGTTTGACACGGTGAGCAAAGCGTTAGGACCAGCTGAGACGAAGAAAAAGCTTTTGAAGCATATACTGAACCTTTACGAGGATGATGATACGATACTGGATAAGTCAGAGGATAAGGTCGCAGGTGAAGATGCTGTGACAGTGTCTAATAGCACTACGAGTAAACAAAAATTCGTAAAGTTGTACCACAATATATTCTTGCTACAACTGATGGTTAGACTTGGGCTGCAATGTTTCTTAGATACCTTCACTCAGCATCTTGTCGAAGCCGTAGGAGGTTATAAAGACGACAACTCCGAGGCTAGCACTCCGGGACACTTGTGTCATAGTCGCTCGATGGCCAATAAGAAACCTAGATACTCAGATGATAATGTTAAAAATGCATTGTCCACTACTGCAGACATATTTTCACCGGACACTTCGTACGGATCCGAGCAAATAGCCACGCCAATTGTTGAAAAGAGCGCGATGGAAATAATCGAACCAATAAAAGAAAAGGAGAGCGACAGTAGAAGTGAAACTGAATTGTTTCATTTTGAGAGTGACAAAGATAGAATTCCGTCCAACAGGAGTAGAAGTAAATCTCCTTCAAATTCGATAGATTCTGTTAATTCTAATCAAGAATTGGCCGTGAAGACGCCATCGCCGTCGGCCGATTTTATTTCACCTACAAGTGGAAAGAGTTTCACACCTGTTCCTGGCCCGTCCGGTGTAAAAGACCTTAATGTCGTTGTGACTAAGGATGAAAGTCCGGAAGCAGCGGAAACATCCAAGGAACGCGTGTCGCCGCCAATAGACGTTCCTACGAAACCTATGTTCACGAGCTATTTGCATTTTGGAGAAGAAGATGCTACTCCTGATGAAGTGGAATCGCAAAAGAAATCTCATACGGGGGTAGTAAAAGGTCTCGAATTCAGTAAAATTTTAGAAAATATGCCGCCCTGTAGAAGTTTAAATGAGGATGAATTACAAGTGTTTAAGGAATCTAATTATTGTAAAATATCAGATATGAGTTCAGAGAGTCTTATATGGTTAGCTCACAGGCTCGGTCCAGTACTTACTTGTAGATATATAACAAGAAATTTGCTCAAAATGTTGACATTATGTTATATTGGCAAAGACAACCTGTCCCCGTGGGATAGTGACGACAGAGACGAGTTTGATGAGATATCAGTCGTGAACAGTCGAGTGATAGGCGATAAGAACGCAATGAAAGTTATAAAGTGCCTCACTTCTATTGTAGGTAAGTATTTTTGATTTGTATAAAACTAAATATTAAAATTATAATCAACTAGGAATGCATCCTCGGTGTTGCACGTACAAATAGATAAAAAAATTAATATTTTATATTAGCTTCAATATACAAGTTTTTAAGACCTTATTCATTTATTTCATCATCATCATCATATTAGCCGTTAACTGTCCAGTACTGAACATAGGCTTTCCCCTTGGGGGATTTTGCCAAAATAGTTGCTACACTTGGCAGGTGGGATGGCAACCACAGTTAGACTTTGGTGATGTTTTAAGATGGACGCTACTATCCATCGCCCGACCATTAAGTTTCCTTAGTCGCCTCTTACGACATCTACAGGCAAGGCAAGGGTGACCCGTTCTATGCCGGGACCACACAGTATTTATTTATTATTTATTCGATACACAGTACAATTATGCGTTATACCCAAAAACCTCGCAGGAGTTAGTTTTATTATTGTAAGTAATGTATAGAAATTTAACATTCTTGTATTATGTATGTGTAGCAATGTACGGCGAGCAGCTGATAATCTTCCAATACCTGCCGCACATGGTCGAGCTGATCGCGTCGTGCCGGCGGCGGCTATCAGCGCCGCTAGAGGGCGGCGTGGTCGCGTGCCTGCACCTCGTCAAGTACCTCGTGCCTTATATGTCCGATGTCAAAGTTATGGAACAGTTGCAGGTGAGTCTCATATTTCAAGTTTGATTTAATAAATAAGCTTCCACAGTGAAATCTCATTTTCGTAGATGTTTCATATACATTGCCGTATTTAAAAATTTTTTTTAAACATGCTTGGATATGTGAGCATTATTGTGATAATCTTCTTAGAGATAAATCAAAATTGCCGTACTGGCCAGATACATGCGAGCAGCGGCTGGCAAAAGTTGTATGAAAATCCATATCTGTCGTGTTTTGCGACCAGATAAATTACTATGTAAACTCATATCTGTCCTGTGTCGAGTGCTCACGACCACTCGAAGCATCTCGATCGGCCTTCCCTCGAGAAATCTCGGAATCGATATACCCAGAATAACGTAACTTGAGAAATCTCGAAATCGACATACCCATAATAACGTAACTTGATTTTCGTTCGAGAAATGTTCGAATTCGAACTTTTTCTCGAATTCGTGATTGATTCGAATGCACGAGAATCGGCCCCCAGGTGAGTCAGGCCATCGTGCCCACTTGTAAGAGTCCCCGTCCCCGTGTTGCAGGACACGTTCCCGAAGAGCATAATCCAGCCGGCGCTGCGGCTGGCGGCGACGAGCCGCAGCGCGTACCCGAGCGGCGCGGCGGCGCGCGGCGCGCTGGCCCGCAAGCTGCTGGGCGCGCTGCACGTGCTGGCGCTGCGCGTCGGGCCCGCCATGACGCGCCGCCACCTCGCCGCGCCCGCGCTGCAGAGGTAGCTGCTCCTCCGTCTCCCTAACAATATAATGCAGCCGGCGCTGCGGCTGGCGGCTGGCGCCTGCGCTGCAGAGGTAGCTGCTCCTCCGTCTCCCTAACAATATAGCATGCAGCCGGCGCTGCGGCTGGCGGCTGGCGCCTGCGCTGCAGAGGTAGCTGCTCCTCCGTCTCCCTAACAATATAATGCAGCCGGCGCTGCGGCTGGCGGCTGGCGGCTGGCGCCCGCGCTGCAGAGGTAGCGCTCAACACGCCCATCAAATGCTAACCCCATGCTCAAAAACGTGCCTGCAGACATCTCTCGTGTTGCAGGCTTTCATGGGTGATGGTAGCTGCTTATCATTAAGTGGACCGTCTGCTCGTTTGCCTCCCTAACAATAAAAAAAAAACTTTATTCAATTATTAACTAGACTTGTTTATAAGCACTTTTGCCGTATAGTCCCAATATAGAATGGGTGATTCTTCCTTTCCTGTGGGTGTCGTGAGAGGTGACTGAGGGAACTCTTAATAGTCGAGGGATGGACAACAGCGTCCCTCTTAAAACTTCACCAAAGGGCTAACTGCGGTTGCCAATCCGTTCGCCAAACGTGACAACTATTGACAAACTATTGTTTCTTCAGAGTCAGCAGCGCGCATGTAATATCCCTAGTGTCATAAGCGTCTATAGGCTTCAGTCAGCGTTTGCCATTAAACGAGCTGTCATTGTGATATAAAAAAAAAAAAATAAATAAAATAATAAAAATGTGACATTTATCAATTTGTCATTTTCAGATTTTTCTTGGCGTTCGACAAGGCTACGGGTAAAATTGACAACTGGCCAAAACAAGAGGAGGTCACTGTCGATAAGGTATGCCCTCATAATTGAATTACTACTTTTTAGTATATTACTACAAGATTTCTCGTATAGAGTAAACTAAAGCCGGAAGTCAGTGATTGTTCATAAAACTAGAACAATTTTCGCCTAAGAAACGTGACCGATTTAGTGTGAGAGGTTGAAATAATATTTTCATTTTTGATATTTATTTTTGACGACTATTGCATATTTTGAATGTGTTAATTTTCACATAATACTTTCAGACGTCAGAACAGGAGACCCTCGATCCAAAGAAGGAGGGATTCCTGGAGATCCGGCGAGACGGCACAACAGCGGAATGGACGGTTCGCGATGGCCGGGCCGTCCGCGCCGACCTGCCCGATCTGTCGTGCACGCCGCCTGACGTGTCTGATCGCCCGCCCGACCCTACTACGCTCACGGTCAGTTATTATTCGCTTAGCCTTTATTTATTTATTTAAACTTCAAATGTACAATTATATAATATAAGTAAGTATATATATTGCGGATTTAACACCTGATGGCATTCTCTACCCGTTAACCATGAGTCAACCAAAACAAGAGTGAAGTTATAAATGTCAAAAAAATAATTAATACAATTCTATAATTAAATAATTAAAAAATATGTCATATATAGTACATTACTGCAGCGGCCAGCAACTGAGGCATTGATGGACGAACGTGCAAATGTGGGCCGAGCACACATACGTGAGTCCATCAATGCCTAGTTGTGGCCAAGGCTTGTATAGTACTTTTCTCAAACAATGCGCGGAAATCAAAAACACAACTTTACTTTTTAAGTTCAATGACGAATAACGAACAATAATAATTTTTCACGCGCCGTAATGTTCCTTTGTTTTTTTTTTTATTAATAAACATTTTTCTATTTGCAAGCCAGTTCGAAATTTAAATAAAACCTTGTATTAGTTACCTCCTTGGTAGCCATGTTTCGAAGTAAAAGGTCATTCCATTTTTAAATTACAGGACAGATATGAGTTTACATAGTAATTTATCTGGCGGCAAAACACGACAGATATGGATTTTCATACAACTTTTGCTGGCCGCTGCCCGCATGTATCTGGACAGTACGGCAATTTTGATTTATCTCGAAGAAGATTGTCAAAATAATGCTCACATTTCCAAGCATGTTTGAGAAAAGATACTTATATATACTATTTTGATGTCATCGATTTCTAATAGATTTTTTTGATAAACGTGGAAGTAAGTGTGGATTATTTTTTTCAAATAATGATATTTCTAATATATTATATAAAGGGACGGAAGAGTAAGAATATTATATTTAATGAACTATGACTTACAGCTGTCAGTTACTTTAAGTGTAAAAACAGCTTCTAACCAGCATTTTTGCATTTTACATGCCATGTATTTATTTGTTGCTGTTTTTTTTTTTTCAAAATATAATTCCATAGTATAGTGACTAAGGATATCTATTGTATTCAGTTACTAATCTAGCTTGCAGAAAGATTCTAATAAATCTTGCAGTTAAAAGACAGAAGGAAACCAGTAAACAGCAAATAATATTTAAACAGTATTTAATATTTTACATTAAGTAGGATTCGTAAAGACAGAAAGATAGATGTAAGATAAACTAAAACTCAAACGTCACAATGTTTCTAAATTATGCAAACGAAAAAGAGTCTTAATATTACATTGACGTAAAAATTGTTGGCGCGGTTAAAAGGAGGTAGCGGAATGAGTCTACACAAATATGTTATGAGTAAAATTTTGCTGAAGTTTATTTGTAACACTGTTATAGGCTCAGGAGGAGTTACTGATGGTATTCAACGAGGAGTTAGCTTACAAAGCATACAAGATGTTCGCGAAATTCATCGGCGCGGACGCCTTGGAGAAGTGTCTTAAGAACATTGATACAATACACGCTCTATGCAGAAGTTATAAAAGGAATATTTCCTTAGGGTAAGTTATTTTCTTATAATTCCAATGAAATTTAATGAAAATGTAAAGAAAAAAAAATAGTAATAGTTGTGTTACGGTTTAAACGGTGGGATCATCATCATCATCGCCATCATCACAGGCATTATCCGTCCACTGCTGGACATATAGGCCTTCCCCATAGAATGCCATAAAGAACGGTTCTCAGCTACCTGTATTTACTGAATCGCTGCAAGGCATTTTAGGTCGTCACTCCATTTAGTGCGGGGTTGTCTTACATTCCGTTTATCCGTACGGGATCTAAATCTAAACTAAAGAACTTTTCTTCCCCATCGGTTGTCGATTCTAATGGTCGATTTAAACGGTGGGATATGGCAGTGAATTTACAGGTAAAACGGAACGGTCAGTTTTATTAACCCATTCAATACGGCGGCCATATTGAGATCCCTATGCAGTATACGGCTTAGTTTTTCATAAACGGCCGTCACTGACGGCACAACTTTTTCTACGTATATGGCTTAGTTAATTGTTAGGAGTGACTGCCAGTAAATAACGGGCTTCCACAAGTGACTGGAACGGTCTAAAGCACGTTTGAAACTAAAGGAAACCGAGCGCCTCGGAGCGCTCGCCGTCATTGGGTGAGGGTGGGGAGAGCGCCTCGAGGCGCTTGCCGTCACAAGGTGTAACATTGGAGAGCGCCCTGGCGCGCTCTTCGTATTGAATGGGTTAATAGACATTACCAGAGGGAGACTTTGTACAAAAGTCTTGGGTACCTCTTTCCCATTCGAGTTTCAACCTTGAAGCACCTGTGTTTGCATGGCTGTTTCGGTTTGAAATGTGGGATATGGCGTGAATTTACTGGGTACAGAGGAATAACACATGAGTCCTCAGGAATGGCAACGCATGGGGGGGTATCATGGGCGAAATAGTATACTCTGTTATGTCCATGGTACTGCTCATGTCTATAGGCGACTGTTACCACTTTCCATCAGGTGGACCGTCAGCTTGTTTGCCATTCTAAGTCGTATAAAAAAATAATAATAATAGTGCTTCTGCCAGGGGTTAGTTTGCCATCTCCTCTCCTTAAGAGAGGAGAGATGTGAATTTGTGTAAAAATAAATAAGAAAATCTTTTTATTTCGCATAATAGAGATGTATACATATTAATCAAATATTTCAGCTCTCCTCACCACGTAGAGCGAACGGACAAACGCGTTCAAACCTCACTCAGTGATGAGCCAATCAGTCGCAAGACAATCGACATCGCAGCCCCAAAGCCCGATACTGCAACGGACCATATATCCAGTTCGAACAGTTTCGGCTCGAACGTGTTCTTAGTGGGCAACAGGATAGACGTCGCCAGTAATGTATACGAGACCGCCGAGTATCAAGGCGACGTGTTCGATGTAGTGCGCTACAAGATGGATAATGGTGTTAAAATTACGTGAGTACGACTTGTTGGTTTGTTTACATAATATAGTTTTAAAGTAAAAAATAATAATAATATAAAATAATAGCTGAATATCTTGAAGGAGATATTGCTATATATGTGGGACTGAAAAGGTAAATGACTTTGCAAAGACTGTCTGAGTTCCGAGTTTTATAATTGATGAATGAATGAATGAATGAGTATACTTTATTTGCATTATACAATATAGGAAATAAGCAAGACAATTTACAAACACAACGATACAATTGTATAAGTACAGTAAGGCGGTCTTATTGCTGAGAGCAATCTATCTACACACTATGAACGTATAGATTTGCTACGTTAATATGGCACGCCCCTTCCAATTTTTACTTCGATGTGTGTGTCTATATACAGACGTGGTGCACTGGTTTCGTTTGTGAGGGTACATTTTTTAAAGGGATCTGGCTAGAGGAGTATTATATTCCTTGGTCGAAAGCTTGTTATTATTTTTACTTATACTTTTTTTATTCTTTGGATTTAGAGAGGCGGCGTATCATGTTATTTAAGACAATATATAGTTGTGGGGGGGGGGGGGAAGGGATTGTTAGCAATGGAGTTTGACAGCCTCATTGCTAGCAATATTAGGTCGACCTCCATGTGGTTCTCCCTGGAAACCATCGTGAACAATTTTTGTTGAATTCGTCACGATGGGCCAACTGACCTGCTTTATCCTCACCTATTATCCTTCACTGGTGCCCCGCCAGCGTATCCCGATAGCGCAGACGGGGTTACCATTCCATTATCACCCATTAAAAACAAATATAGTTGTGTACATAAATTATATACTGATAGACACATATAATAAATTGTGTTAAAACGGCGAGAACTAAATTGTATTACCGTAAATCAAAATAATATAATAATCAATAATTATCATTAATAAATGTCCCTTATTTAAATAAACATTTCTAGTTAAATATCCTTCTATCTTCTATATACTTCTACTATCACTTACCATCAGGTGAGCCGCATGCTCGTTTGCCCCTGTGTTGTAAAAAAAAATATCCAGTAAGAAAGTTCTTGGTACACTCTTCTGTCTGCCTCTACTACATTCAATAGATATGTCATAAATATAGATCCTATATAAATAAAAATAAATCGCTAAATATGTTGCATAGTGTATAATTAAAGAATGCCTAAAACGAATTTCGTAGTAGTTCGAATTTCGTAGTTTTACCAGAGGGAGACTTTGTACAAAAGTTGATTGCTTGGGTACCTCTGTCCCATTCGTGTTTCAACCGTGAAGCAGTTGTGTTTGCATGGCTGTGTTTCGGTTTGAAGGGTGGGATATGGCGTGAATTTACTGGGTACAGAGGAATAACATCTGAGTCCTCAGGAATGGCAACGCATGGGGGGTATCATGGGCGAAACAGTATATTCTGTTATGTCCATAGTACTGCTCATGTCTATAGGCGACGGTTACCACTTTCCATCAGGTGGGCCGTCAGCTTGTTTGCCATTCTAAGTTGTATAAAAAAAAAAAAAAGGTCGAGGAAGGTTTATACGAATAAAGAGAATAATTGGAAAATTGCCGGGAAAATATAAAGACTCCAGTTTTATCTTTTTTTTATATATAAATTGTTCCTAGCTGATTCAAATATTTGGCTATTGTCAGAACGTCTGTCGAGTAAAATATATATCAGTTACGACAGACACCTACGCGGCGACTGGCTGATATACTGGGAGCATGAGATCGGCCGGGCGGACAAGGACACGCGGTTCAACCTGAAGCAGATCAAGCTGCAGACATTCGTGGGACACACGCAGGCAGTCAAGTCTATATACTGCCTCGACAACGAGCACAGCTTCATGAGCGCTTCCAAGGACAAGACGGTCAGACTCTGGTCACTGAGGAACCAGGTGAGGTTTATTTATTTTTTTGTTGGAAATGGTGACCACGTATGCGCTAACGGTATACGCTGGCGGAGCACCAATGAGTATTTACTGGGTAAAGAGGAATAACAACTGAGTTCTCAGAAATGGCAATGCATGGGGGTATCATGGGCAAAATAGTATACTCTGTTATGTCCATGGTACTGCTTATGTCTATAGGCGAGGGTTACTACTTTCTATTAGGTTGGCCGTCAGCTTGTTTGCCATTCTAAGTTGTATAAAAAAAACTCTTTTAGCCAAAGATATGGAAAAAATATTTTTAGTCACAATACAATATTTTTACTTAAATTCAAATTTAAAATGTGTAGTGCATATCCGATAATATTATTTTTAATTTATTTATTACAAGAATTAACCGCGATGGTTTCCAGAGGGAACCGGGTAGAGGTCGACTTGATAGGGTATATTGCTAGCAATAGGGCTCTTTTTTTTTGTAAATGCTCCCCTTAATTGGAGGTGCGCCCTGACCGGATATTAAGTTCCAGTTTGGAATTCTAGTGTAATTGTTAATGCAAAATTGTTTGTGTTTTTCTTTCCATCCACTTTCTCCTATCTCATACATTATTCCACTTTCATTCATCATCTTTTTCTCTGCGTGATTATTTTATTTTCCTTATCTATTTTAAGTTCTTGTGGATTTGGCTCTTATTTTATATTCTTTGGAGAATACTGTACTTTGGACAATAATGGGGCTATGTTAGAACCCATTACTAATAATCCCTTTCCCCCAAATGGATGATAGGTTATATCCTAACACTTGCCTTATACTCTGATTCACGCGAGAAACATATAGCTATGTATGTTTGTGTGTGTGTGTGCAGGGCGACGGCAACGCGACCACGTCCTGCAACTGGGCGTACACGGGCCACAAGAAGGGCGTGGTGTCGCTGTCGTTCGTCCCGGCCCTGCGGCTCGCAGTCTCCACCGACTCCGTGCTACACGTCTGGGATCCCTTCATGGAGGCAGTCGTCACGCAGGTAATAAAAACCGGCCAAGTGAGTCGGATTTCCACAACGGGGATTGCTTACAAATTGTAGTATTTTTGTAATGCCACTACAAATTTACTGTATTTAGATTTTCCCTTTACTTGTGCTGTATAACATTGCTTCTTGCTAAATTTCATGATTCTATATCATCAAGAAGAAGTACTCTTATAGGTTTTGATTTTTTTGCAAATGTTAAATTATTTCTTCTACAAATTATATTTTTGGGTTTGATCGTGTCTCTAGTGTGTGTGCGACGTGCGCGTATGCGTATGCGCGTGCGTGTGCGTGTGTGGGTGTGCGTGGGGTATCCGGGTATACGTGTCCCGGATGTGGGTATTAGGGCGTGCGTGTCTAAGCGTGAATGTATACGTGTGTAGGTGTGCGTGTATGGGTGTGCGAGTGTGCGTGTTCGTGCTTGTTCGCGTTTACGTATGTAGTTACGTTTGAAGATTTATGTTAATATTGTTTCGTGCTGTTGCAAACGGCGTGCGCTCGGGCAGGTGGACAACATAAAGTGTGCGGTGAGCTGCGTGCGGGCGGTGGGCGGCGCGTCGGCGGGCGTGCTGGCCGCCACCACCGACGGCGCGCTGCGGCTCGTCGACGTCCGCGCCGCGCTGCGCTCGCACGAGCTCAAGGTACCGCCGCGCCGCGCCGCGCCACAACCTCTCATGACTAGCTTCTTGCCCACATTCGTGGCACGAACTTTTGAAATCTACGAACTAATGGATTCGATCGTTCCTAGATGGCGTATTAATATAAAATCTTAGATTATATAGAAAGAGCCTTGAACCTCTCAAAAATGAGCCATCTTTTTGTCAGCTAATTGTTACATTAGCTTTTTATCAGTGTTCTATAAACTTCCGCATAAAATGTATATATGTATGTATTATTTAACAGATAAAATGAGTGTTTACGCATTAAAAAGATGCAGAAGTTATAAGACAAAATAAATATAGAAGTTATATATATTAGGGATCACTCATAACTATTTATCACGAAAAATTGTATGAAAAAGTTGACCTGCTTTTTTCGAAGCATTTATATGGATATACATTCTATCTGTATAATCTAAGTATAAAATATACACCAGTTTTTAAGCTAGATCTTCAGAAATACAACTGTGGGAATCATATCCAATTTGGTGCAGTAGTTTTTATGTGATGCCGATATAAATATATAGACAAACAGACACAATTTCTAAATAATTAAAGATTGCGTCCCTCAAAAAAAAATTCACATTAGTTATTTTAATTTAAAAATTAGTACTGGTAGTTTGCTACTGAACCGATTTTGATAAAAAAAATAATGGGATCTATTTGTAAGTATATCCTTTCAGATAAAAAAAAAAGAGCTTCCAAATCGGTTTACAACTAACGAAGTTAAGAGGTAACACAAAAAAAAGAATGCAACCGAATTGAGAAGCTCCTACTTTTTGTAATGGATTGAAAATGTTGTTTGTGTGTCGCGCGCAGGTGCCGAGCAGCGCGACGACGTTCGCGCGGTGCGTGTGCGTGGGCGGCGGCGGGCGCTGGGCGGCGGCCGGGCTCGCCGGCGGACACGTGGCCGTGCTCGACCTGCGCACCGGCCTGCCGCTCGCGCACTGGCGCGCGCACGACGGCGAGGTACCGCACTCGCAACCCGGATTTTTTTTTTTTTAAATCGGTGATAATGGAATGGTAACCCCGCCTGCGCTATAGGTATACGCTGCCCGGGCACCAGTGAGGGATGATAGGTGACGATGGAAAGGCAGGTCAGTTAGGCCATAGTGACAAATTCCACTAGAATTAATCACGATGAGTTCCAGGAGGAACCGCGTGGAGGTCGACCTGGTGTTGCTAGCAATGGGTGAAGGTAAACTATTAACAATCCCTTTCCCCCATCCTGCAGGTTTTTTTTTTATGGGTGAAAATGGTATGGTAACCCCGCCTGCGCTAATGGGATACGCTGACGGAGCACCAGTGAAAGATGATAAATGAGAATGAAAACAGGCCAGTTGGCCTATCATGACGAATTCATCAGGAATTAACCATGATAGTTTCCAGGGGGTATCGCAAGGAGGTCGACCTGGTTGGGTATATTGTTAGCAATGGGATTCTCAGTCTCCATTACTAACAATCCCTTTCCCCCCATCCTGCAGGTTTTTATAACAACCATAACCTCTTATCGAAATTTGGTAATTTAAAAAATCGGTGACGCAATGGGTGTAGCGAGCTAGCCTAGGGCCGACCACTCCACGGGTTAATGGATAATAAAGGAATGGTCACCCCGTCTGCACTAACGGTATACGCTGGTGGGGATGATAAGTAGACGATAGGTGCATAATGTAAAAATAGGTCAGTTAGATCATCGTGATGAATATATCTGGAATTCAGCACGATGGTTTTCAGGGGGAACCGCGTGGAGATAGACATGATGGGATACATCGATAGCAACTACAACTAACCTCCCTGTTACTAACAATCCATTCCCCCCAATGCAGGTACTTAGGCTGGCTGCTGTGGACGACCACAGGCTGCTGAGCTCTGGTTTGGATCAAGTGACCGCGCTGTGGAGGGTCGATGATGGCGAGCTGATTGCGCATCTGAAGTGAGTTATAGGTTTACTATTTATTACTAATATTACACTAACTGTTCGTTGCGTGTGATCCCGTGATTCCTTTTTCGTGGGTGTCATAAAAGGCAATTAAGGGAACCTAATGACCGAAGGTTGGTCAGCAGCGTCACTCTTTAAAGATCACCAAAAGTCAGACCAGAGGGAGACTTTGTACAAAAGTCGATTGCTTGGGTACCTCTGTCCCATTCGTGTTTCAACCGTGAAGCAGTTGTGTTTGCATGGCTGTGTTTCGGTTTGAAGGGTGGGATATGATGTGAATATACTGGGTACAGAGGAATAACACCTGAGTCCTCAGGAATGGCAACGCATGGGAGGTATCATGGCCGAAACAGTATACTCTGTTATGTGTATGGTACTGCTCATGTCTATAGGTTACCACTTTACATCAGGTGGGCCGTCAGCTTGTTTGCCGTTTTAAGTTGTATAAAAAAAAGAAAAAAGTAATTACAAGCATGGCAATTACTGGCATATCCCTGCCTTATTTAAGAGGCCTATATACAGCAGTGGATAGTTAACGACTGGTATGACGATAATGATTTTATATCTCCTAAAGCAATACACTCGTAGCAAGTTTTTTTTGATAGGTGAAAATGGTATGGTAACCCCGCCTGCGCTAACGGGATACGCTGGCGGAGTACCAGTGAAGGGTGATACATGAGAATGAAAACAGGCCAGTTAGCCCATCACGATGAATCCCTCAGGAATTAACCATGATAGTTTCAAAGGGGAACCGCGAGGAGGTCACCTGGTTGGGTATATTGCTAGCAACGGGTTCTCAGTCTCCATTACTAAAAATCCCTTTCTCCCCTTTCGTAGCAAGTAAAACACATTTGCAAAATGTAATTATTTGTCGAGTGGTTTCGAAAATAGCAATAAATCTTGCTAATATAATAAAATTGTGACTAGACGATGTCTGTACATGGGCAATTTGATATGAGTGGTCTACATAGGACTAATAGATGCTAAAACAATATTTTGTAGAAAATTTGTTTGTCTGTCTGTGGGTATGTTTGTTCCGGCATTACGCAAAAGTTATTGCATCAAATTGAATGCTGTTTTCACAGTTTTATTCCTGATGATCCAACTTAAAAAATGTTGTATCACTGGTGAGTTATTAGATTTACTTTAATTCCGCTACAATTAGTATGCTTGCGACTGCCAACACTCGAAGATTGACTACTATCCAGTAGTTCTACAACCTTCTATAAGCCATTAATCTCCGACCGCCATTCCGTCCATGCACGTTTTACGATACGTGTTTCACCTATAAACTGGTATACATCATATGGCATATAAAGATAAACCATACGTTTTATCGTGATATGCCATACAAAAGAGGTCTAATTCGATGGTGTCATATTTTTAAAATACACGTTTACGAAGTTCCTAATAGCTATTTTATTTATTTATTTACTCTTATTTAGTTGTTAAATATATAAACGTCACTATATTATTTCCAGGGGCAGCACAGAGCCCGTCCACTGCCTCTCCGTCTACTACAACGAACTCATATCGGGCACTACCAACAACCGTATCGGCGTGCACACGTCGCTCGACCAGGACGCCTCGTTTTCCAGCACCAAACTGCGCTCGGACACGTTCAAGGGCGTACTAACATGCATGGCAGTGTTGCCACTCAATAGGTTGTTGTTATTGGGAAGTGACAATGGCACTATTAGTCTGCTTTGCTGATTTATAATGTTTCTATGTCGGTTATATTACATTGTGCTTTTTAATGCTATGGAATATCTGTATAGATCGAAAAAAATATGTAAAATGTTTTAGACATCAATGGCCTTCAAACTGACATTTATGACATAGTTGTGGACATTTTTAAAAACTTACCTATCTCCTTCACTACTATAAATAAAGAAACAATTTTTACCTCAAAATGTTGAGAATTTATATTAAAATAAATAAATTTATTTTTTTGTTTCATCATATTGGAAATAAATTCAGAACAATTGCAAGATAGTAAGGTAAAGACTGTCAATTTTCACTGAAATTTACAAATTTTAGGATAAAAATATTTGACACTATTTAATATTTAATTATAATACAAAATTTTTTACTCGAAATATTTTTTATGTATAATTTTTCTGTAAATAATCTTTCACTGTATATAAAAAATTTCAATTTTTGTTAAAAACTGTTCATTTATTATATTTGATTTGGTAACACTGACATTACTCGTCTTGTTATATGAATGATCTTAAAATATAAAATCTCAAAAATGAAATCTAATATAACCGACTAGGAAATTAAAACAAATAATACGTTATATAATGGCAAAATGTCTATGATCTCAATTTATTCAAATACACTTTAATTGGAGATAATCTGTTATTAGTGCAATGAACATGATTTTCCTAAAATGGCCACTTCTATTTAACCTGAAGGAACAATTTAGTTTAGGATTATTTTATAAAGCATAACATTAATCTATGTTTACACCCCAAAAATCTATGGTTGCTGTGAAAAAAAAAAAGAAAAAGCTGTTCCTAAGCTTGTATCAACATTATTATTTAAATTAATCGTAGCAATAGTTTTTCCAAAATTAAAATTGCTACTGTCTTAAAATATAGAAGAATTTAAACATATATTACTACTTATTATTCGTATTTGTTTCATATGTAATTTAAACACGAAATACTTACAGGTGTTAAAAGAGTGCGCCATTTTGCGAAATTCATTTTTATAGAAGTCCGTAGGTATTGAAGCGGCTTGATTCAAGCATGCATACTTTGTTACTTGTAAGACAAATACTTTATAGGTAGCAAGAATAGTAAATTTTATTAAGCATCTTGACCGTCTACGAAACTCATAAGATAGATTCTAAGATTACATTAATGTTACTGTATTCATTTCACAAGGTTTAAGACTAAGTAAGTATAGTATTTTAATTTTTTTTTTATTTTAAATCAATCTATATATCACAAAGTGTAATCATAGTATTTACATCACCAAATAATTGTTATGTAGATATATTACTATAGACTGAATATCACTATTTTTATTCCACTAACTTTTTTTTTGTATTTGAATATTATAAATGCATGTGATGTATGTCGATCGTGGCGAATCTATGAATATTGTATAATGCATGAATGTATTTGTTACCACTAATTGTACGTAAAATAGTTTAAATGAAATTGATCTACCCAAATCAGCTGATAATGGCAGCGTAACAGATTATATAGTTGTTGTCTAGATTTATGTATTTATGTCAGATTCCTTATGGTGTCGAGGTGAAGAATGAATCGAATGTACAATGCGCTTTATTTAAAAATTACCCTATATAAAGGACAAAGCATTTGTTATTGTAAAGGCACTATCTGTATAAAATGTTTAGATATTACGTTGGATTGTCTACACAAGGGGCACATGAGCCTGTTGACAGGTAGTTCTTTGTTGCTGCATAAGATAGTACGGTACAGCAATATCGGGCATCTCATTCTATCTCATTCATTCGTTCATGAACACCTCTCGTGTACAAGGAATATTATTTTGTCGATGTTGTTAAATGAAAATAGGGAAATTATTTAATAATCTACAAGATAAGGCTCTCGGAAATGCCTATACGTTTTGCATGTTATTCTATAGGCCCAGATAATGTATTAAATCATAATTATTCTTCGTTTATACAAAATCAACGGCTGCAAATTAGTTTTAATATTTTATTACCTTTGTTTTTTTTTTTAATTAATATTTTATGGTTCGAATCTTTTGCCACATTAGTAAATCTCATATTATTAGCTCGCGTCATAATATACCGCAATGTGGCTAATGTTGCATAATACTTGTTTTTATATAATTTTTTTTTTAAGTACAAAAATATTATTACCAAAGACATTCCAGTGTAAGAATTCAATGCAATGTAAATTATTAGATTAGATACAGTTTTTATTTTTCGTAAAACGAACAAAATTTTCGATTTATTATTTATTTATTTAAGAGAAATGAAACTAATTATTATGTACGTTAATCATAAGTCCGTAATGCATGCATAAATAAAACATGGATTTAATTTAAATATTATTTATTATTATTATTATATTTTATGAAAATATTATTAATTTAAAATTTTAAAATGTAGTTTTTTTTTTAATAAAAACTTTAGCCCTCCTTATTTATATAGATGACAAGTTTCTAATAAACTTATTTTCCGAGTAGCTATTGACTTTTTCTTTTGTACTAATATCTCACTAAACACTCTAACAGTTAGATTAGCTTAGTAGGAAGTGTAAATATATAAATATTTATACTTCCTACGACTATAACTCTTAATTCTATTCTAAATTCTATTCTCTTGTTAATCTTCTTTATTTGAAACTTCTTTATTTGGAACTTCTTTATTTTACTAATAATTCATTCGTTAAGAAACATTGTTTACAATACTAATGAAAGACAATGATATCCATAGAAATATAAAACTGTGGTGTGAATACCGACGCCCTCTTTACAAGTTCCCAAAATAAACTAAGATGTAGGATTTAGGTATAGGATGTAAAGAAATGTAAAGAATTTCCGTCTCACGTCACACTGTTGGCAACAGATTGCTTTCCGTAAGAGGTGCCGAACCTGCATAGTATAACCCTTTCAGACCCTAGATTTTTTTTCTTTCAGATTAAATATATTTTCGTGTTTTGGAGCCAAGCCATCTTGCCGTCACGCACGAGACCACTGCACCACCTAACCGCTAAAATAATTTCTTATTGGCTGGTTTAGAATTTCACTATCATGTTATTTCAGCTTCGTGCGTAAAAATGAATTGCGCGCGGTTTTAGAATTGTTTAAAGTTACAACTCACGTCCGTATCGTTCAGGTCTGAAAGGGATAGTGGGTTTTATTTTCGAGTTTTTTTAATTGTACACATTGTTCCTTTATTAAGAGTAGAGTTTGATTCATAATAAAATTATATTTGTCGAATATTTAAGGAATTCTTTAAGAAATATGAATAGAAGAAATATTGTAGCATGTAATGCAAACATAAATAAACATAGCATCTTAGATACCTGTATAAATATTTTATTGTATTTTCTATTTTTATTTTTATCATATTTTTCTCGTCATTAATGAAATATTTACAGTATATATATATAAATAAATTATGATTAAACACAATAATCAGGTGAAACTTTATTGAGCTTTTGTTAGTTCCTATTTCTAATCTGATGTATTTGCAGTAATGTATATAAAACATAACTTTTAAATAATCACATTTGTAAGTTGAATATATTAAAAATATCACATGTTTTACTCTATATTTTATTTATTTTTAAACCGCTCAAGTATAATATAGAATTTGTATATAGGGATCAAGAGTATAAAATAGTATTAAGAAGTTTAAAGAGGCTAACTAGTGTGTGTTGTACAAAGATTGTTGCTACCTGCATTCACATTACGTCCATAAGTTATAAAGGTTTACTACACCTTCCGTGGAGGGTAAATGTAGAAGCCATGTGTATGGAAATCTAAGATTCCGAAACTATCCATTAGAGGCGCATCTAGAATTTTTAGTCAATCACTTAAATTTATGTAAAACTCACACTAGAGAATATATATCCTTGTAAAGTATTCAGAACTTATTAATTATGATATGAGACCTCGTTTATGTTTGTAGATTATATGTAATGTATTAGATTAGATTTTATGTGAATAAAAAAAAAAAAGAAATCTTAATTTAATATTGTATTGATGTAGTAAATTAAATATAATTTTATTGACCGTTCATCGTTTTAATTAGTGCCAAAGAGCCTATCTTTAAATGTTTACTGCCGGACTCCATTTAAAACATACAGTTATGTCGACTTTATTCAAACTGAACTGCATTGGATTTAAAACTAGCCAACCAAAGTAGCAATTAATATTTCAAATGGAGTTCATCTATATACACATATATTAAATACAGTGTATATGAGTGACTTTTGTCATCTTGACAATTTCCTCATACTTACCAAGTGTTGTATTCGTTTCATTACATCGTATCGTTCGCATGCCCACATACATAACTATGGACTTGAGTAACAAAATTGTCAACTGAGACAAAAAAGCTTCAACCGTGATAGCGTATATCTATATGTGTTAGCATGCATAAGTGATATTTGTCATCATGACAATTTCGTCATTTTTTTTATCAAATTTGTACATGTTGGTTATCAACGTGTACGTAACGTAGGCAACGTAGTTGTATTCATGTACACCTATTATAAACTGGATAAGAATGACGAAATTGTCACAGTGACAAATTTCGCTCATGCCTTTCTTGATAAAAAAAGCACCTTAAGTAAATAAATTTTTATGATGAATTTTTAAATGTAGACACTTTACTGTTGTTGATATTTAAAAATCTTACAATTATATAAAAATATAAAGCGACCTAATGCTAGGGATGAATTTGATTGGCAGTTTGTAATAGAATAAATTTTCGCCGGCGCATCATAATTGCATAAAATGATAGAGTAAATTTGTGTATTTTTAAATAAACAAAAAAAAGAAACTATTAAATACTTAATTTAGTGTTCATAATCTAATTATTACATACAAATACATTATAGTTAAGCTCTTATATCGTGTACGCATGCGACAGATACAATTAAAAGAGATCTCATACATTATAAATATCGGATATATGGCTAATTTTATAAGAGAGAGTGTGCGGATTGGTTCAGAATGTAATATTTGTATTTAATGTTGTTCATAACTATTTGTAGCTAAGGTGTAAGAAATTACATAAGTTTCGCCTTGATCGTTTAACAAACTGTTGTATATGTAATACCGGTGTAATGACTGAACGGAATTCTCTTACATTCTTTTGAATTTTCCTTTATTTCCTTGAATTTTGAACAATGCTATGTATGACATGAAATTTGTTTAACACACCATATCTTTTTAAATGGGCGATAATGGAATGGTAACACCTCCTGCGCTATCGGTTACGCTGGCGGGGCACCAGTGAGAGATGCTAGGTGAGAACGAAAGCAGGTGAGGAATTCCACTAAAATTGATCACAATGGTTTTCAGGTGGAGGTCGCGCTGATTACTAATAATCGATTCCTCCCAAACACACCATATCAGCCAATAATTGTCCACTGCTGAACATAGGTCTCTCTCTCTATGTGGGTGTTTGGTCTGTAGTTGCCACGCTTGGTAGGTGGGTTGACAACCGCAGTTTTTTTTTGTTTGATGGGTGAAAATGGTATGGTAACCCCGTCTGCGCTAACGAGATACGCTGGCGGAGCACCAGTGAAGGGTGATAGATGAGAATGAAAACAGGTCAGTTAGCCCATCGTGACGAATTCATCAGGAATTAATTATGATAGTTTCCAGGGAGAATCGCGAGGAGATCGATCTGGTTGGGTATATTGCTAGCAATGGGATTCTCAGTCTCCATTACTAACAATCCCTTTCGTCCCTGACAACGGCAGTTAGGCATTCGAGATGTTTTAAGAGGGATGCTGCTGCCCATCCCTCTGACCATTAATACTTCAACATATTAATGCTGATTTAGTTTTATTTATTATGTAATATTATGTAAGTATTTACGCCCCTTACAAAGTGCAAGCTACGTGTTACAGTCATGAGATATCTCTGTTCAGTCAGTATGCGGCATACACTAATATATTATGTAACTGAAAGGTATTTTTTGTAATAAAAGTATTTTTAGAGTTTATATTGTTTAGTTTCATTTAAAAAAAAATAGGGCGAAATAGAATATGCTTACTGATGATGGTAATCGATCGATGGACGAGATCGTTTATGAATGATGATGAAATGTGGATTACGCTTCCATTTATGTTAGTGGTACAAAATAGTAATATTAATAATAATAGTCAGATTATTAATGAAATAGGTTATATATTTATTCTGAAAGATAACTTTCAAGAAGTATTTAAAGAAATAAATTGTTCATGACATATTTAAAAATGTCATTAAGAAATTGTCTTTTGATAATCAATTTCTAAGATTAAATACCTACAAAATACAATGCCGCACCCTACATACCGTCGTTCCAGCACTTCCCTTGTAGGTCCGCGACGGCCCAGCCTCTTGGCTCATGGTAGTGTAGACATCTCGGAGCTCAACCTCCTCAAAGAAGAAACTCATACTGGAGACCACTTCCTAACGGCAGCGCAATTGGAAACTGTCTACCGTACAAACATTCAGACTGGTCTCACCGATAACTTTGCTAAGGAACTTCTAGTGACCTACGGTCCGAATGCTCTTAAAGAATTAAGAGGAAACAGTTATTGGAAAATATTTAGGCATAATCTATTCGGCTGGTTTCAGTGCGTATTATGGGTAGGTGCAATACTCAATTTCATTGCATTTTTTTTCGCAAGTAAAATTGACGCAGGCTCTGATAGTGGAGGGCATTCCGATAAAGAATACCTTTATTTGGGGTGCGTCATTATAGCTACTATAGTGGGTACTGGAGTATTCGGATTTTACCAAGAAGCGAAAAATATGGCTGTCATGAGCGGTTTCGAAAAGTTGGTGCCTCCAAATGCAGTCGTTATACGAAATGGCGTTAAGAAAATAATACCTAACATCAATGTCGTAATTGGTGACATAGTAGAGATGACGGGAGGAGAAGTAGTCCCAGCAGATGTACGTATATTATCTTGCAGTAATTTCAAAACTGATATGTCTTCACTGACTGGAGAATCTGAACTCGTACAACACAGGCCTGAATGTACTCATGCAAATCCTTTAGAATCTAAAAATATGGCTTACTTTGGGTGTCCTATCGTTGAGGGTTCAGCTAAAGGAGTGGTAGTTGCTATTGGGGAAATGACACAGATAGGAAAAATCGCAGGACTTGTAACGGGATTAGAAAAAGAAGAGACACCTATTGCAAAAGAAATAACGCATTTTATTAAGTTAATTTGCGGAGTAGCATTTGTTTTCGGTATAACATTTTTCTTAATGGTGTATTTTATACAAAAGCATTGGCTATCAGCATTACAATATATGCTTGGTATAATTCTCGCCAATGTACCTGAAGGTTTGATTGTTACATTAACTGTCTGTATGACGTTGTCTGCTAAACAATTGAAAAAGAAGAATTGTTTAGCCAAAACCTTACAAGCAGTTGAGACTTTGGGATCAACTTCATGTATATGTTCTGATAAAACTGGGACGCTGACGGAGAATCAAATGAGCGTATCGCATTTATTCTGTGACTTTAAAATTTATGATAAAAGCGATCATAGTCATGTATCCGATCCTTCTTATTCATCTTTATGTTTGGCAGCGTCTCTCAATCTCAAGGCTGTGTTTGTATATGATAATATGAATTTACCTGTCGAAAAAAGGAAAATATTAGGCGATGCTTCAGAATCAGCAATATTAAGATATATGGAGATAAACCGGTCAGCAACTCAAACTCGTGAAGAGAATCCTAAAGAGGCAGAGATACCATTTAGCTCTGCATATAAATATCAAGTAACGATCCATCTTATGCAAGCCACTCAAAGCTATTATTTAATTATGAAAGGCGCTCCCGAAATCATAATAGAATACTGTACTCGAGTTCACTCTGATGAGAAAGAACAACCATTGACTCCTCAGATTAAAAAGGAATTAAAAGCCAATTTTATTAAATTAGCGAACATGGGTGAACGAGTTATAGGTTATTGTGATCTGAAATTGCCGCTAAGTGCATATCCTATTGGATATAAATTTGATACGCAACAGAAGAATTTTCCTCTTGAAGACCTTGCTTTTATTGGTGCGATTTCTATGATTGATCCTCCGAGACAGGACATTGAAAAATCTATAGCGCTCTGTAGGCAAGCTGGCATTAAGGTAATTATGGTAACGGGGGATCATCCTGTTACTGCATTAGCTATATCTCGCAAATGTGGTACTATTACTCAGCCGACAGCATATGATTATGCTTTTGAACATCACATTGAGCTTGCAGATGTACCACCTCATATTAAAAGCCAATTCAAAGCTACTGTTATAACGGGAGATGAACTTCGCAAAATGAGCGTAAATGATCTTAAAGCGGCACAAACTAAATATACTGAAATCACTTTTGCCAGAACCAGTCCGCAACAAAAATTATTCATAGTTGAAACTTATCAATCTTTAAAACATGTAGTAGCTGTTACCGGTGACGGTGTTAATGATTCACCAGCTTTGAAGAAAGCAGATATTGGAATAGCTATGGGTATAAATGGAACGGAAGTCTCAAAACAAGCTGCTGATATGATACTTCTCGATGATAACTTTGCATCTATAGTGTTAGGCATTAAAGAAGGTAGGAGAATCTTTGATAACCTGAAGAAAACAATCGCTTACACTCTTACTTCAAACACGCCTGAAATGATGCCTTTCGTTCTGTATGCTTGCTTGGGCATGCCTTTACCGTTGACATTAATGTTGATCCTAGTTATAAACGTTGGCACAGACTTGTTACCTGCGATGAGCCTCGCCTACGAGGATCCCGAAGAAGATGTTATGTCGATACCACCACGCAAACCAACTGACCACCTCGTTAATAGAGTTCTTATTTTCATGGCATACTTCCAAGTAGGACTAATTCAGTTTTTTGCCGGAATGTACGCTTATTTTATAGTGTACGCACAGGATGGCTTTTTTCCTTCTAGCTTGATATTTGTTCGTAGTGAATGGGAATCTAAAACAAAAGTGGTTAAAGATACGCTCGGTCGAGCATGGTATTATGATGACAGGAAACGAGTGGAGAAGAAGGCGCAGACTGCTTATTTCGTGTCTGTGTGCTGGACTCAGATATCTGACGTTATAATATGTAAGACTAGAAGAATATCGCTTCTGAAGAAGGGTATGCGAAACCATGTATTGAATGTAAGTATTGTCATAGATTTGATCGCAGCTGTGGTCGCAACATACTTGCCATTTTGCCACGAAGTTTTTAATACAGAACCGTTGTCATGGCACGACTTCTTCCTTGCTGTTCCATTCATGGTTCTTATGATAGTTGGTGACGAGATTAGGCGTTATTTGATTAGAAACAATATTTCAAAGTGGGTCGAGCAAGAGACTTATTATTAAATTATGACTGTTTGATATGTTTCTTAATTAGGGTTTCTTATATAAGTTTTAAGTTGAATTCTTGGTTATAGAAGGGAATTGTTTAGTTTTAATTAAAGTGATGTTATTTTTAAATGCTTTTGTTTAATTTTAATATAGTGGCTACTTAATGTAAAAGTTTATTGAAATAAAATTATAACTACCTATTACAGATCAGATAAGCTAATATATACCTAATTTTGGGTTTATAATTCTCTTCTTACTAATATATCTCTAGTTATGATAAGTTATAAATTCCAATTAATCCATGATGAATAAATAAAAAATAAACTGTCCTGTACTTTATGTAAGAACAAACATGGCCTTGCAACATTCTCGCTTGCATATTTTATAGCCTTTCGCACGTTGTAGCTATGTACTTGTACTTGCTACAAAATATTGTAAAATATGTGGACATTACCCTTTTTTTCTATAAATAAAAATGACATAGTAACTCAAGATTTTTTACTTTTTTCATTTAATAACGGTACTAACAGTACTTATTGTTAACTAGATTAAACAATCTAAGTGTGGTCGCACCAAAAAATTAAAAATAATTACTAAATAAAATCTCTAAAGAATTATCAAAATTTAAATTTAGAATATCGTGTAATATATAATTAAAAAAAAAAATAGCGTGAAATATATTGAAATAATATCACTATGTTGAATGTTATTATGTTGGAAATGAATGTCATAACGTTCAAATTGATACGCAAGAAACAAGCAAACATGGTAAGTGCATCCCCAAGTCGACTCATAAAGCTGAGAGACATGGGTTTGAATCTCGGCCGATTTTTCAATCTAAATAATGTTGAAAATCTCAAATACTGTTTTTCATTTATAAAATGTTATCTGTGTTGTTAACATAGTACCGTTGATTGACAAATAGACAAATGCAAAGATCGAATCATAATTATCGCTTCCTTCAGTACCTACATCTTTCTGTACATCAATAGTTTCTTGGAAACGACGTTATTTAAAAGACTATGAGTTATTTAAAAAGGCCGCCTTGAATGTAGGTATACCTGATCATAATATCTTTCAGTAGTTATAAATATTTGTATTTTATATAATAAAACTCATAAACGTGCGAAATATCCCTGCTATCTAAAGCACTAGTTACTCGAATTATGTTCTAACACAGACGGGTGGGCGCGGCCCTGCCAATATGAATTTTAAACCAGCTTGCACATACGCAGTACCTTACCGGAATAACAGCGAACGAATGTGACCTACATTGCGCCAAAATACTGCCCTGCAATCAACCTAAACTAATGCCAGTGACATACGGATAAGCATTAAATAAGTTATACTTTATTACATTTTTTAATTCGTCAAAATTTATATACTACTTGTATATTTATTGTGTGTGTTCCGGCGTAGAATGGGCCACCCCTTCCTTTCCCGTAGGTGTTGTAAGAGGCGACTAAGGGAGACCGTGGGATGGCCAGTAGCGCCCCTCTTAAAACTTCTCTAAAAGCCTAACCTGCCAAGTGTGGCAACTACTGGCAAAACTCACCTTATGGGGGGTTCACTATTGAAAATAGTAGTTCCTCCTTTAAATTAAATGCAAGATTACAAGTAACGGTTTTCAACCATATTAATTTATTAACAACTATACATTTACTAAGGGTCACCTTACATTATACTTGCTTGCAGTTTTAAAAAAAATCTAATTATTTATTTATTCAAATTGTGATACATAGGTAACAATGGATGGTAAAACAAGATAAGTCCTCTATGCTCAACCCCATATATCGAGGTATACAAATTTGTAATTATATAAGACAAAACAAATTCTAAGTTAAAGCAATCAAAAGATACGGCCGATAATGGCATATATTTTAACATTTTTAAAGGAAAACATTTAGGATACTTTCCGTTAATCTAGAATCATAGAATTTAGTAAGAAGTAATGTCGTATGGCATAGTGAAGGGAAAGATGAAGAAATTTATTTTTAGGTACGGTTTTCATTAATTTTAGCAACTATGATTTTTGGGGTGAAACTAATGATCTGTTTCATATTGTTTCACTAAAAATGTAAAACAACAACATATGGAAGAGGGCACTAACTCCTGAAACACAGGTTTTTTCATACCTACCTCGGGAGTTAGGGACTTTAAACTATATTGTAATAAAGAGTGAAATAAAGATTTTTATTATTATTAAAAAATGATGTTTTACAATTAATGAAAAATAATAATTTTAGATTTTCTACCATCAAAGAAAAAACTTTATTTATTGAATGAATACCATAATAGAAGTAAACCCTATCAAATGTAAAAAAAAAAAATATCAGAATAGATTTTGAATTACATTCGAATACATTTTTCAATAAACGAAAAAAAAAGTACATGCGTATCGAGTGCTTTCTCATTTTTTAAGTCATAAAAGTGATCTATATTTAGTATCTTTAGAAAATTATTTTATTTTTGGATCCAATAGTAATCTCTTAAAGCACAATTTCAAAATCTTCTTTCAAACATACAATTTCAAAAGCTTTCGGGCCGTATGTATGAAAGTCGCAATCGGCTCGATACGTATTCTAACGGTATATCACGTAGGTCTCCATTACAAAGGCATAGTTGTGTTTGTAGTTTATTATCCCCCATTGCCACACATGGCATCGTGTGTATTATGTCAAATATGTATGTATAGAATCAATGGTATATTTTAGAGGTATACTTGTAAATAAAGAATAAAAACAAATACTGCTCTGTTAGACAAAGTACAAAGGATAAAATCATGATGAGATAGAATAATATGGCAACTTGGGCCATCTTGTTCTTTTTCATGTGAGCGTTACGGAAGCGATTCCATCGATAGATTTGTTTCTAGTTTGCCTAAGAGGGCTGATCTCACTATGCTATTGCCATGCTGTACAAAAAAATATGATAAAACTATGGTAACTTCCATAAAATAATATTATTAAATACTAATATTATTTATATGTTGCTTAATTACGATTAAACAATTAAACGGATTTGAAAATTAATTTTGTATCAACTCCATTTTTATTAATTCATTTTAGCTGTTATAGTCCACTGCTGAACATACGCTTTTTGCAAGGATTACTATAACGAACGTTCCTGAGCCATTTGTATCTATCGACTCCTGCAATGCATTTGAGATTGTCGCTCTATCTAGTGGCGGTCGTCTGACGCTGTGTTTGCCTGTATACAATCGTCACTCAAAAATTTTCTTCCGGCATCAATGTCCAGAGATACCCAATATATAAAATTCGGATCCGTATCTATATTACCCATGCCTAATGAGGAGTAAAATGGACGTCGTAGTGTACATATATCGTGATGTTCTTGCCTATGCCTATAGTTACAGTTAAAGTAATAGACGGCTAGCGTAATGCGCAATAATAGTGCGCCACCTACCCTTTGTCTTTTTCTCAATGTCCTCTACCCAAAGGTTGTCTGGAAGAGATTGCTTAGCAATAAGACCGACTTTTGTATCTCTTCTCATTAATATTTACTGTATTTGTTATTTCTCTTTTTATTTGGTGCAATAAAGTGTAAATAAATAAATAATGAGCTTTTGGCGTGTGGTTCCCGTAAAAATAGGCTTTTCTCGTAGGTATCGCAAAAGGCGACTAAGGATAATTAATGGGAGAAGGATGGGGAGCAGCGTTCCTCTTAAAACATCACTAAAAGAGTAACTGCGGTTACCAGAGTGAGACTGTACAAAAGTCGTTTGCTTGAGCACCTATGTCCCATTTGTGTTTCTACCGTGAAATAGTTGTGTTTGTATGGCTGTGTTTCAATTTAAAGGGTGGAGTATGGCAGTGAATTTACAGAGTACAGAGGAATAACACCTGAGTCCTCAGGAATGGCAACGCATGGGGGGTATCATGGGCGAAACAGTATACTCTGTTATGTCCATGATACTGTTCATGTTTATAGGCGACGGATACCACTTTCCATCAGGTGGGCCGTTGGCTTGTTTGTCATTTTAAGTTGCATTTAAAAAAACAACTAGCAAAACTTCCCTTATTGAGAAGATTCATGTTCAGCAGTGGACAGTTAAAGGCTGACATGATGATGATGATAATGAGCTTTATTGCTAAAGCAAACTATTAGTGCCAGCTACTTTTTCTTCTATATTTTAATAATTTATTTTCTTATTGTTTTTCTTGTCCATGACATGTTAAGAAACAAATATGTACTTGTGAAATGAGATTTTTCCTGTAGCCGTACATTATTAAATAGAGCTACTTATGCAGATAACAGCCTCTCCTTTGATCTCTTCCCTCATCCCAGGTAATGTGACTTTTCAACCGATTTCAAAATAGGACGAGGTTCTCAATCTTGTTGTATTTTTTTTATGTTTATAACAAACTTATTCTTCAGTCCTTTGAATAATTCTTTTTTTTTATCAGACAGAATATATTTTCAGATTCGTCCCATAGAAGTTTTATCAAATTCATTAGTTTAGCTTTTAAATCAATATAACTGGTTTTAACGTAATTTTTTTAGGTTTGGAACATAATTTTAAGCAAGCGTAGTATTGGAAAAGATTACAAGAGACTACAGCAGGAAGTTCTTTCAAAAAAGAATAAAAAGGTATTGCTGGCGTTCATAGGCTACGGTAACCGCTTACCATTTGGTGGGCCGCATGCTTGCTACGCTATGCTAGGCAACTCAGTGGTATAAAAAAAAAGGGTCGATCTGGGGCTAGGTAGAGTGACGACATATGTAGGGTTGCTGGTTGTAACTGGTAGGGAAGAGTCGAAGATCGTGTCCGGTCTATGTCCAACAGTGGACTGCAGACTAGCCTTCATGCTAATGGTAAAATATTGTCAATAAATTCTACTCTTTTAGAATTTTAGCTTTCGTACTTTAATTAGTATGTTTTATCACAGTTCTATCTTACAAATTTACCTAACTCTAATGAACTTAATCGAGCCTTACACGATCGCAAACCACATTTTGTGATAAGAAAACCTGACCCACAAATGAACCTAGCCTCTAATCCATTCGTTACATATTAAATTCTATTAGTTCATAGGGACATACGAGTTGAATATATCGGTTACGAAATGTGTATCAAGTGTGAGGTGGTCGTGGAGCGTGGACATTTATATACTGCGCGCGCGCAGGGTTCGTCACACGTGCTCTTACCATTCGACGTGCGCACGCGACAGTCATGATCGCTAAGGTACCTTGACAGTTGTATATAGTCCGTTTCAATAGAATTTAATGCAAATATAATTTTATATAAAAATATAATAGAAAGATAATAACGAATTTTGTTGAAATTGTCACAGAAATACTTTTAATGAAATCAGCGATAAATTTAAATTCAATTCATTCAATCAATTAATCGATTAAAAATATTGATTTTCTCTAATTAATTTATGTGATAAAAATTTAAAAATTGTATTAAATTGTATAAATATTCTTAAGTACCGAGAGATATGGCTGCAAATCCTGACGAAACAAATTTTTGACAGGATTTGCAACCATATCTCATTTAATATTACTCTTAATAAGATCTGCGAATGCAATGTTGTGATTATTAAATGTATTAAAAAAAATCACTAATTTGGTAAACTGAAATTTATATATTTATAAGTATTATATTGTATTATAGTATTATTTATAAATATTTTATTTTGTCTAAGGCCTGCAAAAAACGCTAATATTTATTTGTATTTTTATATACTTGTTTTTTTTTGCAGTTATTTATGTTATGCTGCGCGTGCGCCGCCGCGGTGGCTGCGCCCGGCATCTACGGAGGCGTCGGCATTGCGTCGCCCTACGCACCCGCCATTGCCGCGCCGGCCTACGCAGCGTCGTATGCCCCAGCCATCGCCGCCCCAGCCATTGCGCACGCGGTGGCCGCACCAGCGTACGCAGCTCCATTTGTCAAAGCAGTCGCTGCTCCCGTAAGTGTCTTTTCAATTACACTTCATTAATTTTTTTTTTTTAAATTAGTAATGCCCTTGGGTGACCCTGTCAATTATTCTATATTTTATAAGTCGTTAACTGTCCACGGCTTTTCCCAAAAGGGGAGTTTTGCCAGTAGTTGCCACGCTTGGGAAGCAGATTGGCAACTGCAGTTGAACTTTAATAATGTTTTCGAAATCTTTACTGTATATTTTCCAAATTTTACAAAAAAAGAAATCCGATTTCAATCTTAATAAAAAATAGGAATAATAGAATAGCGTTCATGGTTCCCAACCATGAACACTTGATTACATCTTTTATCTTTTAAATTAAAGAAAGTACAAAATGAATGATTCGCCTATAATAAAAATACAAATAATGCAGTTGAATTAAGATAAATTTCTTTTACAATAATGTCTCTGTACGTCTAATGCAATGTACAATGTATACACTGAGAGCGTTGTAGCTTTTATAGGTAACCCAAAGATCGTGAGTTTGAACCTGGGTGACATAAAAAACTTTTCGTGTAATTTTGAATTTTCGACTAAATCTTTGGTGATGGAAAACACCGATTCAAGTGACGTCGGTAGATTCGCCGTGAAATGTTTAAAATTGACTATTTCCCTCTTATAAATAGGTGGTACGAGCTGAACCAGTGGACCCCAACCCGGCCTATAGTTTCTCGTACGGCGTATCAGATCCTGCCACGGGTGACCAAAAGGACGCCTCCGAGACCTTGCAGAATGGTGTTGTGCAGGGTTCGTACAGCTTAGTGGAGCCTGATGGCCACCTGAGGAGGGTGACGTACACTGCTGACAAGATTAACGGCTTCAACGCCGTCGTGGAGAGGACCGGAGGTGCTCATGGAGTAAGTACTTAATATATATTAATATAATATATATTTCAACGCGTTAATTCTGATCTGGAATTACTAGTCCTATTTGAAAAACTTGAGAAATCTATATATTGAGGAATATTATAAGCTTTTCAACACAACGATATGAACAATATAACTACATACAACTAGTAAAATGTAATTTAAAAATGTTATATATTTGTAGTATACATTTGTATTTAGTATATATTTATCATATTTCGAGATATAGTGTTATTATCATTATTATCATCGCCTTAACCTTTCCCCATAGACTACTGTAAGAAATTATATTGAGCCATCTGCATCCATTGACTCTCTGTAATGCATTTGAGGTCGTCACTCCATCTAGTGGGGGTGGGGCGGTTATCCTATACTTCGTTTGCCCATACGGGGTCGCCACTCAAGAACCTTTCCAGCCTATTGCCACTTCAGCACTTCAGCGCTACTTATACTTCGGGCTACATGTGTTACTTTGTTTCTTATGAGGATATTCTCATTTCGGATTTTGTAGCGTAACGCTATAGTGTTATATCTACCGTAGAGATAAAGAATCGCTTGTGAAATTATGTATTATAAGTTAGGTTTTTCAAATATCAACGAGAGCATAAATTGTTCCCACTATAGATAAGGTTTCTACTTGGGTACCTACAAATATTTTTTTATTAAAATTTAACTACTATCTCAACTAATCTTGAATGACAATTATGTTCTAAGATGTTGTTACATACAATGTTAAATAATATCTATTCACTCTAGCTTTAAAGGACTCCATGTGAAAGTGATCTGGAATTACAGACGTTGTAAAAAGCTCCCTAATTGGAAGCAATTATAGAGGATAATGATGCCTTCGTATATTAAATAAGTATAAAATAATAACTAATGATAATCATGAATTATCACTTATAACTCTCCAGTAGAAGATAGGTTTGTCATCAACATGCTGAAGGATAAAAAAATGGCGTGGTTTTATTACTACACCTATGTTACAACACAACATAGTACTGCACCTCTAATTATTAGGTACATGCCATAACGGTCCATTGAACATAACGTCCTAATTATGTGCACTGCTCTCTCTCTCTCTAAGAAGGATGAAAATAGAATGGTAAACTCGTCTGCGGTATACACTGGCGAGGCTGAATATACACTCAAGGTATATACTGAACCGCCTTCATGCTTACTTATCATTCCTTATTGGTCACTGTCACCGGTGAAGTGATTTGCGTTAACGGTCCATCGTGATATCAGCAGTTAACCATGATGATTTTCAGCAGGGACCGTGTGGAGATCAATTTGACGGGGTATATTAATTAGTTAGAAATGGGAGAGAGAGAGAGAGAGAGAGAGAGAGAGAGAGAGAGAGGAGGATACTAGTTTACTATTGTCACATTAGCTAGGCAAATTAAGTGATATATCGCAAATGTCTTCTTTTGCTCTGGAGTATTGTTTTGTTCCTTTAGTCGCCTTTTATGACATTCTAGATAGGAAAGAGTAGTGTTATGCGACTGCGTTAGGTTGACTGGAAGAGATAAGTTCACCTTTGCTAACATTGTCATTAACTTATTGTTGTTACTGTATGTTTTAGTGCAATAAAGAATATATATAATCTTTGATTTTGACCAACAGGTGGCAGCACCGGTAGCGGTAGCAGCTCCCATAGCTAAGGTGGTAGCGCCGGCACCAGTGGCAGTCGCCGCGCCTGTTGCAAGATACACGCTACCAGCCGTCGGCGTTGCACACCCCTGGGGTTAGCCCCAACAATGACCTTTAGCTTGCTGTATTAATGACCGGGGTAAATTCTACGGACGACTGTACGCTTTGTGAAAGATACAGTGCTAGGTTAAGCAAAATTATGAAATAGTCAATTGTTTGCATCTATTTTCTTGATGTCAGATTAATTTCCTATGTTATATATGAATAACCTGGCGCTGATAGAGGCATGGTTTTAATATTGTTCCTTTTGACCAGTCGTTATGATTTATTTTAGGACAATGTGCCTTTCGGAACAGTATTTAAAGCTATAATAAAGAATGGCCAAGTATGTATTAACATTTAGTTTTGGTTAATGCTATTTATATCGTTAACTATAACTTCTCGAAGTGTTTAATAGTTTAGAATTTGTTTTGTAGCGAGGAAATGTTTCGGACAGTTAGTTAGTTGGGGTGGTTTTTGTTGAGTATTATAAAAATATGTTTTGATATTTACCTCGTTTGTCAATACAGCTCTATACTGAAACTAGCCTGGATCAGATTGATGAATATAAAATGTTTATTTAAATAAATACTTAGTACTACTTTGACTGTTGCCTACGGACTTGATCTTGACGTATTTACTTATGTACCTATATGTAAATATAATGTGTAGTTGTTAACAAATAAAACCAATAAATGCAAGTTTTGCGGTATATTTCTTTATGTTTTTATTTTCAATCCGTATATTTATATATTAAGTAAAATTAATTGGGCCAACATTTTGGCTATAGTGCTGAATGGTAATGCTTGAGGTATTCTATGATATCCATGGTGCTGTTCATGATTATTGGCAGCGGTTACAATTTTTGCATCAGGTAGGCTGTTAGCTTGTCAGCCATTCACTTACTAGGCATCATAATAAATTAATATTAAATTTACGAATGATATAATACATATATGAATGGTAAAAAGTCTACCAGAGCTTTAGGACAAAAGTGGTCTTTGACTACGTCTGTATCCTGCACTTGTTTCTATTGCCAAATAGAAGAAAATGGAATAGAAATAATTATTATTCAAAGAGACTTGTTAACAAGCTCTTTTAAATTGTCATTTCTTTCTACTGCTGGGTTCGGAATATTGTTATCTGCTAAGAAGTACTCGCAAGAAACTCAACAGTTATTCTTTTCAATTTATTTATACATACATACATATCTGTCACGCCTGTCTCCCATTAGGGTAGGCAGAAACAATGGAACGCCAAATGCTTCGATTCAAACAAACCTCTTTCGCTTCTTCCACATTCATCAATCTTTTCATATACGCTCGCCGGTTACGGGTACATGGTACAATTTATTTATATACAAGATAATTTTACATTTATATAGATACTGTGATTAACAAACACTGAGTTCTATTTATATGTATTCTTTAATGTAAAATAAACAAGCAAACATAAGCAGACCAGTTCCCCATAAGTGGAAGGGTTTGATATAGCAGAAAAAACTGGGTATGTAGGCATAATATCTGAGTTATTATATTATAGTATTACTATACTGATGTGGGAACCATAGGCATTTTGTTATTATTAATCATAATAATACCTTGAGTCAGGCTCGCGCTCCCTTCACAGTAGCTCAAGACTCAGTAGATTAAGACTCATGAATTGATTCTAAAACTAGTTAAGCTTTTTCTATTATTACACGTAAGTTAAACCGGTAGATATTATATTAAAATATAACATTTAACAATAATACCTATTGCACAGACCATAAGGTCTGTTCATGTCTGTAGGTGACTGTTACCAATTATCGTAGTGATGGATTGTCAGTTTATTTAACTTTAAAAAAGTGATCACCTTACTATACAGAATGTTACAATCTAACCCCAAGAAAAACGGTCTGAATGTAAATTTAATGTCGCACCTTTTATACTAATTAATTAATCATTGTTTTACTCAACTTCAAAAAAGATAGTTCTGTTCAAATACTAACTCACATGATTTATATTTCTGCTGAGTGCCTATTCATCCATATCCTGTTTTATCACTCCCTTCAAACGAAGACATAGCATTAACATGTCGTGTAACTTAATAAATTCGCAAACTGCAAATCAATATAATAATTACGATTCAATCTAAACAATAAAGACCATCAGAAAGAGAATTTATATCTTTTTAAAAGGATGACAACGCATTGGCGTCTACCCTGATAACGTTAGTTTCCATGGGCTGCGGTGATCACTTATCATCAAGTGAACTGCACGCTGGTTTGTTCCCTTTTCACATAAAAAAAATGTTAAGATTTTCTTCTTATTTAATGAATTTAATTAATTTTTGTATGATTAATATGATAATGCAAATTTTTGTTAATTTATTAAATGTAAATCAAAATTGTTGCATGATAAATCTATTTAAAAACGAGTAATTATTAAGTAATTAAATATAATGTAACATCTAAATTGACATTAATTCTTCTACATTAGCTACCTATTCATTAAATTTAGTTTCACCCAAAGAGGATTCATGTACTTACTCTTCATAAGAACATTGTAACATATTGTAACTATATTATATACATGAACGCATTATAATAAATTTAAAAAAAAATATAAAGAAAAATAAATTATGTTTTAAGATAAGGAAAAACCATTTTTCCTGCATCTGTATTGTGAAATGTAATCTAAAATGTTATTTTTAACAAACACCTTTAATGGAATCTAATTAATTGTCACCTGTCCGACGGTTTATAAACGAATATCATGTGTTCGAAACGGGATTCCGTCGAAGTGTACGGAAAAACTAGTTTCATTTCTATGACCTGCTCTTTTAGATCGGATTGGGTAACGTCCGGAGAAGTATGAGCTTATATGGTCGTTTGTAGGTCTATATTAGTATGCCTTAATTATAAAGGTCAGTATAAAGTCTAACCTAGTTACAGCAGTAGGTAAACGGTCTAAACTCTCCACACTGATCAGTGACGTAAGTATTTAGTATATTTCCTAATAAACCACTTTCAAATAACAATATTACATATATGTCACGCAATAAAAAAATATATATACTTAATCATAAAATAATATTATTATTTTATAATTAAGTTATCTTATAATATTTTTAATTCGATCAAACTTAATTATAAGTATTTTTGAGTAGTTATTTTTAATAGTTTTCCATAACTAACTTAACAGCTAGAGGCACTGTCTTAGTACGACTATGGGTTGTTAAACATTTTTTGTCATTTATCGAGCTAATTTGTTTTTTTTACATATACATATATCCATTTTTAAACGTAGAACATTCTCTTAACTTTTTAAGGGAGTGTTTTATCAAAGTATCTAAATAATTTCAAACTTACTCCGTATATACTCTAAGCATGGGTAATATGGATACCGAGGGGGAAAAGGGATTGTTAGTAATGGAAACTGAGAATCCCATTGCTAGCAATATACCCAACCAGGTCGAGCTCCTCGCGGTTCCCCCTGGAAACTATCATGGTTAATTCCTGATGAATTCATCATGATGGGCTAACTGGTCTGTTTTCATTCTCATCTATCACCCTTCACTGGTGCTCCGCCAGCGTATCCTGTTAGCGCAGGCGGGATTACCATATCATTTTCACCCATAAAAAAAAATATGGATACCGATTTGATACCTGTATATTGGATTCCTCTGGATATTGATGGCAGAAAAAAGGTCATCACCCTTTTAGATATCGTCTATATCGGTCGGATATCTATTTTCAAATATGTTAAAAGTCTGTTATCTAATATTATTTTTTGGATAATAGAGTTAACATATTCGTTATTGGACCAATATATAGATATTGTAACTGAAATATATAGATATTGCTATATATTACTCATCCCTAATATACGGACTCTAATTCCAAATGTAATAAACAGAGGTATTAGTCGTCATTCATTCAACATGGGGTCTTTTACAGCTAGATTAAATAGCATTATTTGAGTTTGCGTGTAACTCCTTAGACCTTTATATCACTTAAGATCATGTTTTTTTATGCAACTTAAAATGGCAAACAAGCTGACGGTCCACCTGATGGAAAGTGGTAACCGTCGCCTATAGATATGAGCAGTACCATGGACATAACAGAAAACACTGTTTCGTCTATGATACCCTCCCATGCGTTGCCATTTCTAAGGACTCGGGTGTTATTCCTCTGTACCCTGTAAATTTACTGCCATATTCCACTCTTCAAATCGAAACACAGAGTGATTTTAGTCAAAGGCGTTCAAATTTAGTATAAAAAATCTAACATTACAATATCGGGGGGAAAGGGATTGTTAGTATTGGGGTCAAAATAGCCCTATTACTAGCAAATATACCCTGTCAGATCGACCTTCACGTGGTTCCCCCTGGAAACCATCGTGACTAATTCTAGTTTAATTCGTCAGGATGGGCGAACTGACCTACTTTCATCTTCATCTGTCATCCCTCACTGGTGCCCCGCCAGTGTATACCAATAGCGCAGACGGGGTTACCATACCATTATCACCCATTAAAAAAAAGAACATTACAATATCCATCAAGAATTACATACACACATCTTTTTTTCTGATATAAATAAAAACCTACTAACTACTATTATACGTTTCCTTCTTGTGGTGGACACCTTATTAGACTTTTAATTACCAACATTACGTTCTCATTCAATTTTGCAATCATAAACAGTTTCTCTGTACAAATCAAATATTAAAAATGCCCGCCAATCAAGTAAATAGCTGTATTTTATTGAGCCCATACTTATTTAGCAGGTATCTAGTGTTGATCACATATGGTGTTCGGATGGCAATCAATCACTTGACAAATTGACCACACGAATAAATTATCCTCGTAATTTGTCACAAAGTTACAGTCTGTTAAAGAAACTGTTATTTTCAATGAAATCTTTATTTGGCAAGTGATTGGGAGGATCTAAATCTATCTTACGATTCAAGTAATATTTATTTGCTTTTGTACATTCAATATAATATAACAGATACAGTTTTTTTTTATAAAACTGTTTATCCTGATTGACTATCTATCAACACACAGGCATAACTATTGTCTAGATCATTGAAAATTGAAACATAAGATTGTTTTATATCGTAAGCATTTGCTAAGAAAGGCTATTTGAAAAGTGAAGGGGGATGGAAGTTAGCGCGATATCACGCGTGCATATCTGCGGGCAATAGCTAGGATAATATAATTAGCACATTGTAAGTAATAGTACTAAAGTACTTATAGTATAAAATACTGGTACTATTCCTTATTTGTATGTACTTGTATGTACATAAATTTTTTATAGTCCAAACTTCTGTGCAATGCACACAAGGTTGTGATTATAGAACGGTAACACAGGGGTAATTAATAAATATAGAATAGTAAAAGGGTTTACCATGGCGTGGCACCAGTGGGAAATGAGAGATAAGGATGAAAGCAGATCAGATCTGCCTATCGTGACGAATTCCACAAGAATTAGGCACGATGGTTTCCAGAGGAAACCGTTTGGACATCGATCTGATATACCGTCGGCGAATACGAATAGTGTCGGCGGAGTTACCATTGTATATTTATCTATTAAAAAAAATACTTCAAATAAAACAAAATAATCTATTTTTAAAACTTTATTACAAAAAATAATCCTAAGTTGTTGTGTGTTATGTCTATAACTGACTCTAGAGATTGACATCATAGAATACCTTGAAATCAGATAGGTATCCGATTTTGCTGTGCCCACTTCACTATCGGCCGGACTATGTGATCCGCCCTCGGATGAGCTCGGGGACCTGCGACAAAATTCTTATAATAAAAACATTGCTACATTTTAAGTATTTTTTATAATAAAGTTCAAGCAACCAAGCCCACCCTTTTTACTATTCCCTCTGGTGAAGACGTGTAAAGATTATACTAATTTGCATATAAACTGGGGAATTCCCAAATTCTTTCTTTTATCTCACATAGAAAGAATAATTCGAATATTTTGAAACTTAGAAGGTCAAAGAAGTTGATGGCCCATTTGATGTTGTTGTTGTCCATAGAAAGTCATAAACAGTATATCTATTAATAATATATATATATATAACAGTATATCTATTAATAATATGTTTTTTTCTACTTACAATATACACTTCTTCTATATATAGAGTAATAACTATATATTACCATTGTTTTTTTTTTGGATAAGTGAAAATGGTATGGTACCCCGCCTGCGCTAACGGGATACGCTGGCGGAGCACCAGTGAAGGGTGATAGATGAGAATGAAAACAGGCCAGTTAGCCCATCATGATGAATTCATCAGGAATTTACCATGATAGTTTCCAGGGGGAACCGCGTGGAGGTCGACCTGGTTGGGTATATTGCTAGCAATGAGATTTTAGTCTCCATTACTAACAATCCCTTTCCCCCCTGGTATCACTATTCACACATTACTAAAAAAGTCGTCTGTTTTTGGCAAAGTATTTGTTTTTTTTCAAAGGAAACTCAAGTTCCCTTAAAATGGAGCCTAATATTCGTTGCTTATGGGATACATCGCACATTGGTGGATATTTGTTTGTTTTAATTGTTATAGTGTTAATAGATTGAGTTTATTTTGTTTGTGTTGAGACATTCTATTTGGAAGTAAGTATATAACCTAAGCGAAGATAGCATATCAAAAATCACAAAAGTGCTACAAGGAACCAGGCAACGAGCGTCAAGTTTTTTTTTTCTACCAGTATCAATAGATATAATTTTCATATCGTTCTCAGTGGAGCAGGAGGATGGGATTAGAGCAATTATAGGTTTAATGAGGATAGCGCTTCCGCGCTTTTCATGTGGTATTTCTTCCACTGGAGACATTCCGGCAATTTTCGGTCTGAGTGCCTGTTTATCTCTATATGTCTCTTGTACACACGAGATGTTACATTGCGTTGTTCGGCATAGATCGGCTAGAAGTGTGGATTTATTTTAAGAGAATCCATCGATATCGATATTGTTTCTTTCAATAGAACTTGATGAAAAGGCAACTAAGTTTTGTTGAAATTATCACGGAAACACTCTACTTATAAATACGAATCCTAACAAATTTAAACATTCAATCTAGTTATTATAAACATAAGTATTGTTGGTAATTCTTTTGGATATTCGAGTAGCTATAATATTTCTTGCCTCTTGAACATAGGCGTGGCACAACTCAGAACGCGAGACCCGAGCGAATACAGAAAACTTTGACTCCTAACAGTCCGACCGGGAATCGAATTCGGGATTTCATTTACGTAAAGCAATATGCCATTTATGTCACAGTGGTCGTCAATTATGTGTTTTAAACAGACCTTTGAGCAGCGCAAGCGCATCGGCGAGGTCGGCGGCGGCGCGCGGCTTTCCTGCTGCAGCCGCTTGGGCACACCCGCAAGCTGCGCCGCGTAGGCCCTCCCACATCTCCGGCCCACCGTCAAGTCTGCCGGCTCACAATTATTATTTAACTGATCTGGAGGGCCACTATTGGAATGTTTCCAGGGAGACCAAGTGCATGTCAACCTGGCAGGGCGGGAGGGAGGAAGGATTGTTATTAATGCGGACTACCAGTACTATTGCTAGCAATATACCCCGTCAGGTCGACCTCCACGTGGTCCCAGTGGAAATCATCGTGTTGAATTCCAGGTGTATTTATCACGATGGGCTAACTGACCTGCTTTTTTATTTTCATTCATCATCCCTCATTGGTGCCCCGACGATGTATACTGATAGCGCAGGCAGGATTATTTCATTATCATCCTAGTATTAAAGTGTTACATTTCACAGTCATGTTTTATCCTTTATCTTTAGTCAGCTACTCGAAGGCAAAAACAAGAGCAGGACTGAAGTATCCATGACATTACCTGTCTAACATGTGAAACGCCTTAGCAGCCACCAGGAACTGTCCCATGCGGTAGCTGTCATTCGCCACTAGTTGCAGCAACGCGAAGCTGTCCGGAGTACCGGCCGTCTGCGTTTAAATTACAAAGATATTACACCTCACTGTAGAGCTTGCGGTTAGGAATATGCAATCAAAAGCATTAACATCCTTTTACTGTATGAAAGAAATAGAATTTTTTCGCACACATACAATAGAGTCTCCCATATAAATTTGTATATATATAAGCTTCCTTTTATAGATACTAAGGCTCTAGGATAAAGTTTCTCAATATTGTAGCGTCCCCAAGAGCAGAATGGGATTACCAAAAAAAGTTGCGATATGGCTTTTTTATAGTCGGTATGTATTATATATTATGTCTATGCAACGGGGGAAAGGGATTATTAGAAAATGGGTTTTAACAGGTGGTGCCCCGCCAGCGTGTACCGATAGCGCGGGCGGGGTTACCATTCCGCTATCACTTATTAAAAAAAATGTCTCTGCTATTGCTGACATCCACAAGCCTACTCAAAGTTTCCATGGATCGAATCATCTGCTCTTTGTCTTTTCAGAATTATAAAAATCAAAGTAAGGAATAACCATTCAATCTTCTATCTTTATGATTTTTAGACAATTAGGTGAAAAATATACTGGTACCTTCACACAAATCTCCCAAGCGAGATGCGCGTCCTTGTTCATAACGTGGCACCGGCACAGGCATGCCAAGTATGTGAAGGAGCCGCGGATACTCTCATCCTGAATGCCTAGGAGACATTCTTCTGCTTCGCGATAGAAACCCGTTGCTACTTTGGCCTAATATATAAAAACAAACAATTATGTCAACAAGTATACTCGGAATTAGGTATGTAAGAACTGCTTGTTTTTTTTTATGATTTCTAGAATGACAAAGCTAACAGCCCATTTAATAATCGTCGCTTATAAACATAAACATATACGGTATATATATGGTGCCCATGGCACCCTTCATACGTTGCAATTTCTGAGGACTATAGTGACTATAGTGACTATAGGCCTTCGTATCCTGTATTGTCACTACCATATCCCACTCTCTAAACTGAAAAACAGAATTTTCCACAACTTTTATGGTGCGAACCTGTGCCTATCTCTACGTGAAGTTTCTAAAATCTGTGCTCGATTACGTCATGTAAAGAAGGTTTGCATAAACTGTCACGTTGGGGGGGAATGAGATAGTTAGTAATTGGGCCCTCATTGCTAGCAATTTACTATCAGGTTGCGGCTCCCCCTGGAAGCTATCGTGGCTAATTCTTGTCGAATTTGTTACGATGAGCCAATTGACCTTTATTTACCCTCATCCATCATCTTTCACTGGTGCCCTGCTCGCGTATACTGTTAGCGCTGGGAGGATTACCACTCCATTATCAGTGTTTTGCTCTTTTTAGGGCAAAGCAAAAAGCTGAGTTGTGGCCATTTTGCATTACTGTGGCACACGCATGAAGAAAAATTTTTTATTATGCATTCTGATTTTGTTTTTGGTTTTTTTTTTAATCTTTTGTACATGTATAGTTTTTTATCTTTTTTCACTTTGCTTTTGTATCTTTTGCTGTTTGTGTGCTGTAAGTGATGCAAATAAATTATCTATCTATCTATCTATTATCATAAAAAAAACTGATTTATTAAATTAAACAAACCTGTGCATAATTGAAGTTGAACGTATCGTCGTTAACGAAGAAACTCTTGATGGAGTTGAGGTAGACGAGCACCTCCTCAAACTGCGACGCGAGGAAGTACGAGGACGCCATGCACTGGCGGCCAGGTATCGTGTCACATTCCGACGCGGAACTACCCACCAGGTGGAAGCTCTGCTGTGCCAGTTTCATCTGTTCTTCCTGATAGTGACAATACAGAGAGAATAGAGATTTTTTTATACCACTGAGGTGGCAAACAAGCTTACGGCCTACCTAAGTAAGTAAGTAAGTAAGTGGTTACCGTAGCCTATGATTACCTGCAATACCAGAAGTATTACGCGTGCATTGCCGACCCTGAAGAAACCTCTTTACCCTTTTTTGAAGAACCTCATGCTGTAGGCCCTTGGGAAAATCACGGCAGGAAGTTTATTCCACAACCTGAGTGTTCGTGGGAGGAAACATCTCTATATGAGGATGAACTCTCTGTCGACGGCGAGCCGTATGCTCAGCTAACTGACCCCATTGCCCAGATTTATTACGGAAAGAATTGTAGACGACAAATTTCTTAACCACTTTTGTATAATACTTACGGAAGTTGCCCAAGGTAGTCATATCTAAAGGTATTTAAAAAAGTGCTTGGCAGAATTATTTTACCACCATAACCATAGCACTATGATAGCATTACCGTCTTGGAGGCGAATAAATTTTTATAAAAGGGGATGTTCGTCACTTTTGCTAGCAATAAACCCTATCAGGTCGACTTCCGCGGGCCCTCCCTGGAAACCATTGTAGTTAATTCTCGATGAATTAATCAAGATAGGTTAACTGACCTATATTCTTTCTCACTTTCCTTATTGATACCCCACCAGCGTATATGGCAGGCGGCGTTACCGTTTTATTATCATTAATACTCACATCCCCGGTGTCGTTGTAGAGACGCACGGCGACGACGGCCCTCAGTATGTAGTGGAGCGGTGAAGTGGGCTGTAGTGGTTCGAGCAGTGCTCGAGCTTCCAGAGGTTCCCGTGTCCGCAGCCTGTAGCCGGCTAAGTTGAGGCGTGCCTCGGGCACCACGTCCACCATTTCGGGCAACACCTAAAAATTTTTATTTCTATTAATAATATTAAACAGCTGTTAATAGGACGAAGTTTAACTTATCAGAAGTCAGCACCATTATGTGTTCGAATTCCGTTCTGGTCAGTTCTTTTTCCTATCATCTTAATTTTTGGCATTCGAATTATACGTTAGTTTTTGTGATAATGTAGTGCTATTTGATGGTGTCAAGAGTTTGAGGTTAGACTATCGAACTACATACTGGATACATAGCTACTTTATATTTTATATTGTAGTTGACCTATTTCAGCAAATTTTTTCCCAAAAAATGCAATGATAATTTAAAGTGTGCGACTACTTTTTAATTTTTGGCATTGCTCACCTTCAAAGCTCCTTCTCCATTCCTGAACACGACTAGATTGTGTTTGACCAAGTCCTGACCGAATGTGTGCTGTTCAGACGATATTTGTTTCAGTTCGTTTTCTGCTGCTTTGCCATTGTACAATCTGGAAATAAGCAACATAGGTTGATAGGTCTCGTTCATCTATGTTACATTAAATCTTGGCTTATAGAGTTCGTGGCCTGGCATCGGCTATAGTGCTATAATTAAGAGGTCCAACACTGTGGAGTTTTAGTGCGAAAAAATCGCACAGTAACTGCTTGTTCTCATGAATGCGCTTTTTCATAAATCTAAAGCATGTTATAATAGAACTTAACGAAAATATAAACAAACAAACAATTGTCGACCGAGACAGTCCACTGATTCTAGTAACTGCAAATATTTCTTGATTAATCGATTGAATGTTTCGATTTGTTATTCGATTGTTAATGTAGCAAATTCAACTATTGAAATATACCTGAACAAGTTGCACGCCTTCAAGTTGCCAGCGACGGTGGAAGTGGGGTGTTGTGCGAGGTACACCCCGAGCACCTCCTGCGACACGTCGTAGTAATCTAGCTTGTAGTAGCACAGTGCTACGTACACGTTCAGGGCCATGTATGTACTGGAAATAGTCATTTAGCTGGAAAATGTTACAGTAAGGCAATGGACACATGTCCCGTACAGCCGTAAGCAAAGACTGCGGTTTTCATACTGCGTAATACTTTGTCAGTTACGTATCTCTGTGGGTAGCTCACCGCGGGGTGGAATAACGCGATTTTCAAGTTTGGATTATTTCACATGTCACAAGTGAAATTACATAGGACATGCCAAATCATACGTGACTGTCATCATCAACATCATCATATCGGCTATTAATTGTCCACTGCTGAATAGGTCTTCTTCATAGAAGAGGAATTTTGCTCACTTCACCACGCTTGGCAGGCGAGTTGGCAAGCGTAGTTTTTTTTTATGAGTGAAGATGGAATGGTAACCCCGCCTGCGCTATCGGTACACGCCGACGGGGCACCAGTAAAAGGTGACAGGTGAGGATGATGGTATGTCAGTTGGCCCATAATGACCAATTGAAAAAAAAATTTACCACTATGGTTTCCAGGGCAAACCGCGTGGAGGTCGATTCCCCCCTGGCAACCGTAGTTAGCCTTTGGTGATTTTTTAAGACCCTGTTGCCCACCCCTTGACCATTAAGTTCTCTTAGTAGCCTCTAACGACACACATGGGAAAAAGAAGGGGTGGCCCAATCTATGGCGGGACCACAGGGCTAATACGTGACTGTGTTGTTTGTAAATGGTGGAATCTTTGCATACCTACGCACACACGGTGGTGAGTGGCTTGTGTCAACTACATTTTTTAAAATTAACCTCGATCTAAATCAGTGATTTAACCATTGGTATATTTAAGATTATTTTTCAAGGAGGGGAGTGGGAGGCTGCCTCCTTACAAAAGATACGGTTTGACCCCCCCTCCCCCAAATACACCATGGACCCAACTTATTGGTACACAGTCATTGGCTACGTCTAATCTACGATTATCACAACCAAAATAATTTATTTACTTATTACAAAAACTAATTGAAAAAAATATTTAATAATACTTTAATTATATAGTCTGATTTACTAGTTCGAATAATGTTCTACCTACTTTTCAATGGGCGAATGATGTAACTACTTTGTCTAATTAATTATAGCGAGTTAATTTCTATTAATATAAATAAACTTATGATAATCATTACCCTGAAGTGTGACATAAAATTTTAATCCAATCCATGTCGTTTCGTTCATATCTTTTGTATCTGTAATAGTTGAATAAAGTCTAGGTATATTTTAACTAAAATAACTTCATAAATTCTCTTGCGTTTTTACGTCCAACTTACTGGACCTATTTGAATAAAATAGCTTGCATTAGCGTTGGTAATCTATCTACATAACCAGTGATTATTTGAACCTCTTCAAATACTAATGAAAATAAAATAAATATTTGTGTTGTGCTGGGATCGAACCCTTGAGCATCAATGGAGAAAAAGGGATTGTCAGTAATGGGGTCTAGCAGCCCCCATTGTTAGCAATATACCCTGTCAGGTCGACCTCTACGCGGTTCCCTCTGGAAACCATCGTGGTAAATTCTTGAATTAATCACGATGGGCTAACTGACCTGCAGTCATTCTCACCTAACATCCTTCACTGGTGTCCCGCCAGTGTATACTAATAGCACAAGCGGGGCTGCCATTTCATTATCACCCTTTTAACCCATGATCATCGGAAGGTGAGACGGTGTAGTTAACTGCAAGAAGCAAGTTTATTTTCGAAGTATACATTACCGTCTATCCAATAAGAGTTTCTTGTAAACGTCTATAGCTTCTTGGTAGTGGGCGCGCAGGTAATGAACCGAGGCCAGGCTGAGCTGGTCTTCGGGTACGTCGCGAAGGGCTGCGTGGGCGCGCATCAGGGAATCCTCGTCGCCCAGCTTGTGTGACAGGTGGAATTGCAGCCGCGTCTGATAGAAAACAAACTTTGATTATATAGATAGAGTGTAGAGTATATCCACAGAAACAGGTTAATATTTTTATCAACGATGCATGAGTAGGGCTACCATAACACAGCAAAGTCTTCTTCAAACTCTAGTTTAAACTTCAAAAACTAGTTTTGGCGTGAAAAAGTACCAAACATCCCTACAAACCAAATAGAATTTATTTTACCTTCAATGCACATTTCGGTGCTTCTTCTACCGCTTGCTGGGACTCCTTATACATACCTGCAAAAAATATTGTTTTATCGAGAAGTCGATTGTGATTTTGAGCATTTGGTGTAAATATCGTATCAAACATGCAATAATAAGTATCACACAATGACACCAATTGCCTGGTCCTCATGCTAAAATACTTCGTGCTTAGATTATATAGAATGTCTCCATGCAAATGCTTTGAGAAATGCGGGTCAACTTTTTCATACAATTTTGCGTGATTCTTTTATATCTTCTATATTTATTTTATCTTATAATTTCTGCAACTTTTTAATGCGTAAATACTTATTTTATTTAATTAATAATACGTAAAAATACATTGCATGCGTAAGTATATAGAATACTGTTAAAATAAAAAAAGGAGTCAGCTATTTGTCAAATTAGCTGACTCGTTTTTTTAAAACAAAAAGTTAATTCGTTTTTGAGGCTCGAAACTCTATTCTATATAATCTAAGGCTTTATGAGAAACCAGGCAACGAACATTTAGGGACATAACCCAGAACACACAGACCCCAGCCTATTTAGAAAAGTTCGTTTAAATTGACCTGTAGCAATAAACTGTATTGCGGAGCGATTTCGGCGTAGAATGGGCTACCCTTTTTTCCCGTGGGTGTTGTAAGAGGCGACTAAGAGAACTTAAGGGTCAAAGGACGGGCAGCAGCGTCCCTCTTGAAACATCACCAAAGTTTAACTGCAGTTAGCCCGTCTGCCAAGCGTGGCGGCTTCTGGCAAAACTCCTCATAAGGGGAAGCCTATGTTCAGCAGTGGACAGTCAATGGCAAAAAAATTGGCATCAAATATTGATGATGAATAAATTGTAAACATTGGGAATGACAAATGAAGTGAAACGAACTTTGAAAACTAAAATGAGTTCATAAGGATAGTAGGACATTAACACCAGTTTACTACGCTGCCACCGTAACGAAATGGTCCAGTCATTGATTTTATTTGTTACAGGATCTTACTAATATAATAAAATTGTAACTGGATGATCTGTCTGTACATGGAAGATACTTAAAAAAGTGATGTAATAAGCAATAGAAACCAAAGCAATAATTTTTAGAAATTTTGTCTGTCAGTATGTTCATTCTGGCATCGCGCAAAAACTATTGCATCAAATTGAATGCAGTCTCTACCCATATGTTCCTGAAGATCTAAGTTAACAACCAGTGTATATTTTGTTTTGATATGTTGTATAGAAGTGGTGTATTTGGAAATAAGAAAACTAATGTTATCATTAGTTTTTTTTTTTGTTTTTGAAATCCATGCCTATGAAGTCGCCACCAAAAACCTAGTACTAAATATAAATTATTCTCGCATCCGTTAGTGAAAATCCAGTATGACATTATAGAATATCACTATTGGTCGGAATACCACATCATTTTTATCATTATAAAAATTTTACCTAAGTAAAAATAGCACACGGCTAGGTCCATAGCTATGTTGTCCGCGACCCTTGAGTCCAAGTTGCCGAGGCCCTTGACCCGCTCGTAGGTCTCCAGCGCTTGCCTATATTCCCCCAAGTGGAACCAGCACCACGCCGCCCACACCTCCGCCCATATCTCTGTGTTGCCTTCGTGTTTGAGAAACTAGAATAATATTAAATATTTACAAAAAATTTTCTATTAACAGAATTTGACTTTATCAAAATAAAACATTTATTTGTATAATCAATATAGAAGTATATAAATCCTTTCGATTGAAAAAAATAACAATTAAAATCTGTTTACAAACCACTATACGATTTTGAGAAGTTTGGACGAAGAGTCAATGTTCATGTCTGAATTTCCGAATAACTAGAATTCATGAGGAAAAAGTAAAACTATTAAGGTGTGATCAGGATACATCCTTTGTAGGTTTGCTCCTCCTCGTGATTTGGACACGAGGATCGAAAGAAACCTACAAAGGATTTACCATGCTTTTATAATACTCGTATACTTTTCAGTTTTATATTTTTCTCCATGCTTATTACCCAATGTCAATTATAGTTTTTTTTATTAGGTTGTATAATTTCAGAGCTCTGTATTTTATTTAATTGTAATTTAAACACAAGAATCCAAGAATCTGAATTAACTTCAATTTTATATTTATGATTATTTTTAAAAATTAAAATCTTTATTATTAAGGTCCCAGCTTTCCTGTGTGTGTCATAAGAGACAAGTAAGGGTACTTAATGGTCAAGCAGCAGCGTCCCTCTTAAAACATTATCAAAGCCTAACTCCGGTTGCCAACTTACCTGTCAATCATATCAACTACTGACAAAATCTATCATATGGTGGAGGACTATGTACAGTAGTGGCCAGTTAACGCCTGGAATGATAATTATGTCCTATGACCATTTCGTTGTGTAACTTTTTTACAAGATAAATATATATATATATATATATATATATATATATATATATATATATATATATATATATATATATATATATATATATATATATATATATAATAGAATATATTAATAAAATTACCTCGAGCATGGTGAGTGCTCCAACATAATCCCTCTTCAGTATGAAATCTTCCAGCTCGGGGAAGTTCTTTTTAGCAGAGCTACTGCCAGTACTGCCACGGCTGTCCGTCGCCGGTTTTGAACGCGACAGAATCTAAATAAAAGATAAATATAAACTTAATCTAAACTAAGAAGTAGCAAGGGGGATTGTGGACATAGAAGCATAGGCGACGGTTAGCAGTTTTCATAATATGTGGTGGGTGGCATAAGGTGGGTAATGTTGGTTGATCATTTCAAAATACTTAAAAAAATTACTTTAGGACATAGGTATAATGAGTATTTAATAGAGGAATGCCTAATGGTAAAAAAATACATTTTTAGGGTTCCTTATCAAAATCATACAAAGAAATCCTATTCATTATATTTTGAATAATGATAATTACTGTAATTCTAGATGTCTGGTCATAATATGGCAAGTATGGTGATGAGATTCTAATAAAAAGAGGATTAGTTATCTCAAAAGATTAAAAGAATCTAATGTATATAAAGGTATCTAGTGTACAATAATAATATAAAAAATGCTTACCATAGTTATTAAAAATAATTAAAAAAATATTGCAATTTTCCTAAAATATTATATGCAGCTCTAGACTTCTGTTTACTAAAAACGCGTTACCATGGAAACGAAACATTGCGCGGGAAATACGGGTCATTTGAAAAGTAAACAATTTTTTTTAGTTGCCTAGTTACAAACAAAAAGGGATTTGCTATTGTACATTGATTTATAAAGTTACTCATTATATTATTAGTTTTGTTGATTGAGAGGCAAAAACGACAATATGACAGAATCGGCACGGTCAGAATCTTCGAGACAATGTATTTGCATTGAGGATAGCACGTCGTCTTCGTCTCCGCTCAATATAGAATGCGTGTGTCCGAGAGACGAGCATGATATTGTACTTCATGAGGAGACGTGTGTGTTGTATAAGAACGAAAAATTAATTTTCCCTCATGTGAGTATCTGTATGCTTTCTAATAGGAATATTGTATGATTGTTTTCACAATCAACGGATATTTTCAAAATCCCAAAACTGCGAGAGTGGGATCAAGCTGGCGGCATGAGATAAAATTTCTAAAATACTTTATTTTTAGTTCAGATTAGTTTTAATGTAAGATTGTACGAATATCATTATTTTATTTATTATTAATAACATCGTCATTATCATCTTACTTTTATCCAAATTATACAAATTTTGGGGTCGACTTAATATGTTTTTATCTATACTACTCAAGCTTTTGAACTCAAGCTTTAAGTTTTACGACCGGCTGCCTGCGTGACTTCAATCCTTCTTCGTTTATTATTAACAACAGTAATTATACGGTTCTTGCACTTCATCCAGCAACTCCTTCTAACACCTTTAAGATCGTCACTCCATCTCCAGGGAGGTTGTCTTAAATTACGATTGCCTGCACGAGGCCATCACTTGAGAATTTCTCCATTGACTATCGATTTGGCTAAATAATTTGGCTGCATAATTAAAAAAAAATTATGCAGGAACCTGAAACATGTGAATGCGAGTCACCTTCCCTCGAAGACGGTATCTGCAAATGCTGCGCATGCCCTGTCGATCAGTGCAAGAAATCGGAAAGGGAAACCTTTGATCAGTATGTATAAAATTATTGTTTGTGTTCAAACCAGCTCTCCTGTGGGTTTTTTCATGGACCCTTAAAAGAAGGGCGCCTTTGTATTTTTAGACATATTTTTGCGCATTTGATTTAACTTCGTTTGTATTGATGGTTGTCCAAAGTCTTTTCTGGTAAAAATTATATATACTGTTAGTACAGATGGTACATTTAATTTTTACCTCATAAAAACCATAAATAATCCTAGTCATATTCGATAATCAGATCGGAAAATGGATTATTAGTAATATTAGATCGACATAACGTGGTTTTAACTAAATAACGAAATGCTAATAGACCTGCTTTCATTCTCATCTATCATCCCTCACTGGTTCCCGTCAGCGTGTAGTACAGACGGGTTGCTATTCCATTTATCGTCCATTAAAAAAAATCATATTAAATATTTCAACAGATGGCGTAGTAATCGTGATATGGGCGCCATGCCCGCCGTACTCGAGTCCACACACCCGCTCATGCAGAAGTTTCAGGACACCTTGAAACGATTTCTTGAGAAGGAGAATGCTATTGCTGAAGAGGAAATTCTTAATTTGGTAGATAACCCAAAATGTAGTCTGTTTTAAGAAATAAAAAAGTTTGTATTAGAATCTGAGTTCAGATTTCGTTTCAGGTCATTCAACAAGAATACCATTTTTTTTTTAATAATAAATGATTTATACCGTTGTTTCTCAACCAAGAGTTCGGGACCCTTTGTGGGTTATTAAAGGAGGTCGTAGTCTAATTAAAAATAATAAGACCTTGAAAGATTTGTTTATTAATGGAGTGAATTCTAGTATAGTGTTATAGAATTAAATAGTGCAGAAGTTATAAAACGTATAAATAAACTATTAATTAAAATATTAAAATTATTTTATAATGACGGGGTCGCAACTTTTTACTTAACTTTTTGGCATTTTTCGTCCGTCTTAACATAAAAATGGTTGAAAATCAATGATTTATACTATCACCTCCAAACTTATATTTTATTATTTGCGCCTGTGTTTCAGCGCGACGAACTGAAATTGAGCAAACAAGCGTACGAAAAAGATCTAGAAGCTATATACCGCAGTGACCACGACACCAATGCACAAAGGGTATGTAGACAAATCTGAGGGTTGCGCTATGACCCTCGCACACAAGAATCTTCTATTTTTATGATATGATAATTAATTGCATTTTCTTGAAGTTAGTTAAAATAGTCTAAAAGATGTGTAAGTTCAACGCCTTCCTTATCTTTGGTCAAATACTATGTTACCTAATAAGTAGTTAAAAGAAGATAGTAATCAAGCTAGTAATCCGTTTGATGGGGATGCGATGGTCCCATCGCAGGAGGGAAAGGAATTATTAGTAATGGGTTCTAACAGCCCCATTTCTAGCAGTATAGACTATCAGGTCGTTTTCCTAGTGGGTCCTTTCTTTCCCATGGGTGTTGTAAGAGGCGACTAAGGGCACTTAATAGTCGGAGAGATGGGCAGAAACGTTTAAACATCACCAAAACCTAACTGCGGTTGCCAATCTACCTGCCAAGCGTGGCAACTATTGGCAAAAACCTTTGAAAATGACAATAGGCCAACCCGAAACCTATTCAGTAATTTCACTACCCTATTTTTATCCCATTCTTCAAACTAGAACACGGTATACATTATTGTTTGCGAGCAAATTAAAGACTTTACTTTTCGTTGTATAGGTTCTGATAGAAGAATATGAAGCCACATTGGGACAGAGAACCAAAGAACGTGAAAATGCTGAGCAGCGAGCGCGAGAGGCCAACGAGAGGTACAAGAAAGTTACTGAGAAGTTGGAACAAGATATTATTTCTGGTAATTTGTGCTGATTTTTATTTGCACTTGTCACACGTTTAGAACGAGTCATAAAGCTAGAGGTGTAGGTATGTAAGAATAGATATACTGGGCATTCGGTTCTCTCTGTGTAGACAAAAATAATTTACCTACCTGCCCTTTCCTTTCCCATTGATGTCGTAAAAGGCGACTAAGGGAGGAATAGGCAGCAGCGTCCCTCTTAAAACTTCTCTAAAGCGTAACTGCGGTTGCCTTTCCGCCTGTTAAACGGGACATAAGCAAATCCTCCAATGGGTAGGCTTATATTCAGCAGTGGACTTTTAAGGGCTGATTCGATGATGATGATGATGATATGCTACCTAGATAGTACCTAATTAACTTCACGAAATTTTCTAAATTATCTTGAGTCTGGTTGTTCTGGGTTATGCTCTCAAATGTTCTTTGCTACCATCCTCATAACGTATAATATTATAGCTCGAGGAACAGAATGATTGGTTTGGTTATCCACACCAATCATTCTGGTCCTCATAATTAAACTTGTTCTTGTACTTTACTGTTTTTCTTTTAATTATGTTTCAATCTTTGTTACTTAATCAAACTTAGATGATTGAATCAGTAGTCAATGTTGGTACTAATTTAATTTAATTAGAAAGAGAAGCAACAGAAGAATTAGAAGCTCTCACCGCTCTATGTCGACAACTGGAAGAATGGCGCGATGAAACCGAATCGGACCTTACGGTCAGCCAGCGTATATCCGACAAGATGAGGACAGAGAAGAGGACCCTGGCTGACGAGAAGCGGCAGTTGGTATGTGATGAGATTTGTTTGTGTGTGTAGATAAAATCAAGACGTACCGAGTAAGATAGAACATAAAACAAATACTGTATTATGTTCAGATAAATATAGCGTCTGACAGAAAAGATAAGTTTTTGAAAATAGGTCAAAAATGATCTTATTTTTATAAATTCCTCACATTTACCAACTTACATTGGTATATACAATCCTAAGATGTACTGATAAAACTAAAGATTTACCAATGTGCGGGCTTTTAAAATAATATATATATATATATATATATATATATATATATGGGATAATTTAGAAAGCAAACGCATAGTAACTAAGGACTTGTATATATATATACTTGGTAATTGATTTCTTCTGCTCATCTCACCTCATATAAGGATCATTGAAGTTATCGATACGTCTATGACTGCAATAATATATAGTGAACGTATAATATGAAATTCTCTTTGCAAGTCATATTTCATCTCGAGAAAGTTAATCCAAAGGCCTCTATATTCGCGTACTTAATTCTTGCTTAAGAGTAATGATTTGATAAATGCTACTATATTTTCAGGACATGATTATTTTGGGTTTAAGCAACGAAGTCTGGAAACTCGAGTCTAAACTGGAGTTATTCCAGAAACAGCTCGAGATAAAGAACAATGAAATGGAGAAAGTAAATGATAAGGTATGTGCATTTGCCTAAAACACCATGTTTGTCAAGATATAGATGAGCAGCAAGCAGCTTCAGTAGAAAGCTCACACACTCGTTAATTCCTTGTAATATTTTATTCGTCATTTATCTTGTATGAGGGTGGGGTACCTCATAATGCATGGGGTCTGTAAATGTAATCAAGAACGTTTCTTTTTCACCACTTATTGGCTGTTAGAGTCTGTGTCCGGATCACTGTCACTTCAAATTTTTCATGACTTAAAATGGTAAACAAGCTGACGACACCATGATCGAAAGTGGTAACTGTCGCTTACACATATCATATAATATATTGTAATGCCCATGGTACCTCCCATGCATTGCCATACTCGAAGACCAAACTATGGTGTTATATCTCTGTATCCTGTAATTACACCTTACAGAAATTTCAGACTATGTTAAACCATTTTAGTTCTATTTTTTTTCACCCATAAGGGTATCTAATCATTTTATATTTTATAGGTATATGCTACTATACCGATTACTGATTATCTTTCCATCTATGTGATAAATAAAAAAATAAATGATTAATTTTCGATCGTCTCAGGTAACTGCGTACGCTGCAGAACTAGAGGACTTGGAACTGGATAAACGTAGGCTAGTGAGCCTGTGGAACTCTGTGTTAGTTAACATACAGCAACGGGACAAAGTGTACGACTCTGTAAGAGACGACTACAGGCAAGCAACAATATTACAAGTGTTTTAATGTAATAACTACTGGTTTAACTTACATGTAATTAGATCGAAAAAGCTTGACTAGATTCGGAATCAATTCGTGATCCTTAGTCTTGAGTGATTGTAATGCGAGCACCAGCCTATAAAAATGTAATGTGTGCTTACTTTTAACAATAATATTACAAGTAGTTTCTAGTTTGGCCCAACCAACATTGAATTTATACCTCATTCTAAGAAACTCAAATATAGTAAAGAAAAAATATAGTACACAGTGCAAGATAAGGAAAAAAAGTTTATACCAAACCGCTAGTTTAACAGTAAAACAAAGTTGTCTTTGTAGAATGTATAGATTAATTTCCTCGTTTACTCGTAGCCAGGGAAGATCCGTACACATGTGTGTTGTTCTAGAACTTTGCAAGAGAACTATCGAACTTTGATGAACAAACTCGAAGTGACGAAGAAAGTGATGATGGAAGAGATGAATAAGAGCAAAGAGATAGCAATGAACAAGGAGAAGCTTGGTTACGAGCTTGAACATGCCACTAAACTATGTAAGTCATTTAATATAAATCTATACGGTTGTCGGATGAGATAGTAGTTTTTAAGTCTCTATAATAATTACTATTACGTCCATGAATATTATGTCCAATACTTTTTTTTTTAATTTGAACCCCTCCAACATTGTTCTTTAATAATTTCAGTCCAGGAAGGAAGCGCTTCCTTTCTGACATGAGACTAATTTATTTCTTCTGTGCTCTATATTTTTTTTTAATTTTAAGGGAATATGTATACAATTACCTACATGTTGTTAACTATCTAGTGCTGAACATGAGGCACTCCCTATTCGGGGGTTCTGCCAGTAGTGGCCACGCTTGATAGGCGGGTTGGCAACCGCAGTTAGACTTTGTTGATGTTTTAAGAGGGACGCTGCTGCCCATCCCTCTGCCATTAAATTCCCTTGGTCGCCTCTTACAACACCAATATGAAAGGAAAGGGTAGACCATTGTATGTCGAAACCACACGAACCAAATATATAACATACTGGTACTTGTCTATACCTTTAAAAGTTTATGGAAAGAAAGAACATATTCACACACATCTCCAATATAATCAATAATAAGTTTATTTTTAGTTGACAATGAAGATATAAAGAGAGTTAATTTCGAAACACAAATCGCGGAGCTTCAAGAGGCCATTGAAATGACAGAGAGAGATCAGGAAATGATAAAATCAGTGAGTTACATTAATTCACTTAGTATTTAACTTTATTTTAAACTTTTTATCTTTCCCCGTGACATGACATGATAATGAGTTAAAACTATTACATTATTTCATCAGGTTACCACTTATTTTAATCTCCAAGATTTTGTTATTAGAGGCAGTATCATAGCTTTGTTCTCCTTTTTATTAATTGAATGAAAATGAATTGGTAATCTCATCTGCATTATTGGTTTACGCTAACGGGATATCAGTGATGGATGATAGCTGAGGATAGAGGTAAGATCTGTTGACGAACTCTCTAAAAGGGGTAGGAGATTGTTAGTATTCTTATTATTGAGAGACGGGTTTTTTCAGGCAGAAAAAGCTTTAACACTGCTACCGTTCCATATTTTTTTGTACTCGCCCCTCGCTCTTTTAAAGGTCGCTGCTAATTCCTATCAGTGATAGGAATTTTGGATTTTGTAGCGATTGTTATATCTTTATCGTCTATACTTTACCAAATCGATGGATGCTTCGTGGTTAATTCCTAGTGTAGAGATTTCATTATCACCTATCGTTACTCATTGGTACGTCAGCGTATATCGATAGCACAGGCGAAGTTACTAATATTTTGGAATAGTAATATTAGTATTTATACCTTAAAATCATCATCATCATCTTCCTACCCTTATCCCAATTATTATTTGTGGTCGGCGTAATATGGTTTTATCCATATTACTTAAGGATTTGGCTTATAATTTTACGACCGGCCGCCTGCCTGACGTCAACCCTCTTTGGGAATGCATTTGTTGATGGTTCCCGCCATCTACGGTTTGGAGGAGAGGATTGAGGAAAAAAGGAAGGGAACGTTGGAAATGCGTAAATGAGAGGAATAAGGGACTTATGTAGAGAAGGAAATCAATAAAATACCGCACAAAAAAAAATACAAAGTACCTTATGATATAGAGAAATAAAAAGTGATGTTACACATGTTAATTGCAGGAGACTCAGACAATGCGAAACATATTGAAGAGTACAGAGAAGGACTACGATCGCAAAATGGAACACAAATTGAAATTAGAGAACGAGATCCTGGGAAACCTGCAGGAGTGCCTGCTCAACGACAAAGCGGTCGAATCCATGGCCAATGGGATTAAGAAAATGCGGGAGATGTCTAGAAAACAGGTGAGGAGGACATTCAATTTAAACAAAATTTTCTTTTTAACTTTTTAAACAAATTTAGAAAAGGAGATTTTCAATTAGATTATATTTTTGTGATAAACTATTTTCATAATTATTTTTTGTTTTTCGTTGTTCAACCTCTGGTAAAACAAAAGGAAGGAAACCGTTGGAAGGTTACTATTGTTTATGTTATGTTGAATTAGTTTATGCAGCAAACATCAGTTATGTAGGCACTTAAGATGGAAATAAACGCAATTATATATTTTCTCAGACATGTTTTTTTTTAAAGTATTCTGAACACTAGGCATCATATATTTATTTTCGCCACAAATAGGTATTAAAGTACATTAAAAAAAATGTAAAAAAAAATTATGAAATATACAATTTATGAATCTGGATGTTAAAAGGAATAAGATCGTCTTCCACAAAAAAAAACTTACTTCAATTGTGGCAAAATCAATTATTTGAATACTAAACTGAATTTGTTACAATTTCTATTGGACCATAATATCATAGACCATATCTAAAAATTAAAAATAATAAATAAATAAAAACTAATAATATTAAATTAGATGAAAAATTTTTTTTCAAATCGGCAGAGTTATGAGGTAACAAACAAAAAAAAACAATCGAATTGAGAACCTCCTTCTTTTCGAAGTCGGTTGAAAATCCTATATTTTCCTATATTTATTTATTTAATTTCTTGCAGGAAATAGCATTAACAACTATGGAGAACCAGCATGCGAGCGTGATGCTAGATATCGAGGTATACCGGAATCGGCAGGCGCATAATAACAAAATTCTAGAAGAGAATTTGGACAAAGTGAAAGCCAGAGAGAAGGAAATCGACCAGTTGCAAGAAGAGTATGACCAGAAGGCGCTCGTCATGACCAGAAAGCAACGGGAGTTGGATATCATCACCAAGAAGTATCAGGCGCTCAAAGAGATTTTCGATGTACGGTATATATTTGTAAACACTTGTGCTTACAAATTATAGAAATATCATTAAAATACGAACTTTTGTTGCATCACACTCAGTCGAACATTTAGTGGAACAAATGTTTAATTCAAGTTTCTAATCAAGAGCCTACAGCCATCGCTTGAACTTATTTGGTATGCTACCGTATACATATGTCTACTGTGAATTAAAATACCGTATTTTAATTCACAGTAGACATAATCGAAAATTTAAATTGTTACAGATTTTATTGTTTTGAATTATCAAAATTACAGTACCCTGTAATTTTATTGGCATACTCCATCCTTGAAATCGAAATACAGCTATGCAATTACAGCTGTCTCACGATAGAAATACGGGTGGGACAGAGGTACTTAACCAGACAAATTTTGTACAAAGTTTTGGAGATAAATATAAATGGCCACATACTTTATTTTAATTCTTTCATCCACGGAAGCTTACTTTTCAATACTTCAGCTGAAATCACCTCAAGAACGACGAATAGAAGAACTGGAGCAACAGATAAAAGCTCTCCGGGAGCGTACGGAAAGCATGCAGCACGAGTGGCTGCGGCTGCAGGGCCACGTGGTCAAGTTGACGTCGCAGCATCACAAGATCGTCGGCGACATCAATCTCATAAACAAACGTGGGTTATTTTTATTGTGTGCAGTCAAGACGGTGTAAAGCGTTTTTTTTTTTCAATGGATGATAATGAAATGGTAACTCCTGCGCTATCGGTATACAATGGTGAGGCACCAGTGAGGGATGATAGGTGAGAATGAAAAGGCAGGTCAGTTAGTCCACCGTGATGAATGGTTTTCAAGGTGGATCACATGGAAGTTGACATAACAAGGTATGTGTATTGGTAGCAATGGGACTAGTAGTCCTTCCCTCCTATCAAATGGGCCGTTAGCTGGTTTGACATTTGAAATTGTACAAGAAAATATGTACATAACATTTCAGAGATACAAATCTGTGAGCAGAAGACCATGCGTATTCAAGCCGAGTGTGAGAATGTGTTGCAAGAGCGTGGTCGGGTAGAAAGATCGCTGCGGACGTTGCGCGGGCAGCTGGAAGTATTAGAACGCGCGCGTAAGGACGCTGGAGACCGCAACCGCGGCGCACAGCGTGGAAATCAGGCGATAACGCTCGAGTACGCCGCCAACCTCAAGGTTAACAGTTTTCTAATATTATCTATTATTTAAATTTATTATTTCTAATGTTTCTCTTAATATTTGTAGCAAATATTACTTGTGAATACTGGAGTAAGTCTATGTTCAGCAACGGACAGATAACGGCTGAAATCAAGCTGTAACCAACACTTTCTGCAGATTGATCGACAAACTGTAAAGTCTTGTCTGTGTACAAAATTTCAAAATTACAGGACGCGGAATCCGAAATAATCCAATTGGAAGAAGATATAGAAACAATGGACAAAGAAAAAGTTAATCTCACTCAAGATCTGGATCGCGTTCAAAGAGAGGCACTGATTTGGCAGAGGAAGGTAAGGGAATAAGACTATTGGTGATTCCGATAACTAATGAGATCTACTGTTAGGTATATATACATATGTAAAGACTAATACTAGTATTTATTATAAGTTAAAACCTTTGAAACTTTGTTTTTTTAAGGAAAGGAAATGGTTTCTTTACTGCACGTATAACAAGAACAAGATGTCGGATCTTTCTATTTTGTTCAATTATATTTTTAGATTTTTTTAAAGATTCGTTGTCTACATGTATAAGGGCTTAGAATGAGGCTGGTATATCTAATTTCATTGCGTTAATATTTCAGGGTATATTAGCCGTGGATCTCAAAAAGAATATTCAGAATGCTAAATCAGCAGCAGGTGAAATTGGTCAAATGAAAAACGAAATACATAGAATGGAGGTTAGTATTTTTTTTTTTTGTGAGTATAGTAACTCTACCTGCGCTATATAATATATTCTGGCAAGGCACCAGTTAGGGATGATAGGTGAGGATCGAAGCAGACCACTTAACCCGTCGTGAAAGCGTCGTTATCATTCCATTATCATCTCATATCTGACGCCTAATCGAATCTGGCGACGAAAATATACTATGACTCTAAATAATGGAGACGAAGCCCTGATGATATTAACTTTTGCAAGGTTCGTCGTGAACAGCTCAGACGAACAGGAGAAAAGTTGTCCGAGGACCTCGCGTTATACGTAACCCGTAGAGAAACTGCAATGGAGAAGACGAGAGCTGCGGCCGCTGTGGAGAAAGCCCACGGGACTGGCGGCGCCACGTCGCAGTCGACCTATCGTCACAAACTGAGGCTCGCCAAAGCTGACGTAGCTAGGGTCACCAAGGTGAGGATAAGTATTTGTATTTTACATTAACATAAAACGAGAGCGTCGTGGTCTAGTCTTTACGCCGTTGGTATAAAGACTAAACGTAGTGAGTTTAATGCTGTCTCTAAAAAAATTTGTACGTCAATTGAGTGTGAATGAAATACTGCAATGGAGAAGATGAGAGCGGCGTTGGGGGAAAGCTCTTATCTTACGCCATATGATGTAATTTGTCACGTATATCTACATGCACACAAAACAGAAATAAGAAAATCCTTTTTTGAAATCGTTAGAAAGTCCTACTTGCAAACCATCGATGTTTATTCCTGGTGAATTCGTTATGATAGGCCTAATGATCTACTTGATTTATCATATCAGTCGTTACTTATTTACTGCTAAAAATAGGTCAACTTATATTTTTACAGTGTCCAAAAAAATGAATGAAATATTACTTCCTTAGTTCATGTATATGTTTAAATGTTACGGGGTATCGTTAAAATCCTTACATTGTACAGAGTAACACTGGCTATATTTTATCGAAAATAGTTTTCGACAGGGTGTCAAGTAAAATGTACTTGATTATCGCCAACTCTAGGACTTAGCAGAAGCCAAAGCGCACATGGAGCAGCTACGGCAAGAGCAAGAGAGGCTGGAGCGAGAGGTGTCGGAGACGAGCGCCACCAACGCGCAGCTCGAGGAACACGTTGCGACGTTGCTGCGCGAGTGTCGCGACACCGAGCGACAAAAGCAATGGGTGAGTATTGTAATTAAGAACTACACCTCTACTAGTAACGAACTCTCAGTTTTATTGGAAATTCTTTTTTTTTATACAACTTAGAATGGCAAACAAGCTAATGGCCCACCTGATGGAAAGTGGTAACCGTCGCCTATAGACATAAGCAGTACCATGGGCATAACAGAATTTTCTGTTTCGCCCATGATACCCCCCATTCGTTGCCATTCCTAAGGACTCAGGTGCTTCACGGTAGAAACACGAAGGGACAGAGGTACCCAAGCAATCGACTTTTGTACAAAGGTAATGGTAAATAGATATATATGATATTATTAATGTATTGACTGATGTCTAAGATACGCTTTATGTGTTGCCATTGCTAAATATTAAGATGTTATACCCTAATATTTTGTAATTTCACTGCCATCTATACCTATAATCGAAACACAACCTGCTTCCCAGCAAGGATACTAGCGGAGCAGAGTTATCCATGTAGACAACTTTTTAATAACACGGATTGGAAACCGCAGTTAGGCTTTTAAAGGTGTTTTAACGAGGAACGCTGCTGTCCATCCTTTTACCATTAAGTTCCCTTAGTTACCGCTTACGGCACTCAAAGGAAAGAATTTTATGGCGAGACCACACGGCCAATATATATATATATATATATATATATATATATATATATATATATATATATATATATATATATATATATATATATCATCACATTAAGGGGCATATATATATATATATATATATGCCCCTTAATGTGATGTGATAAAGAAAAAATAAATATTACCTTTCAGCTGCTAGAACGTGTGGTCCGCAGCCAGCGACTAGGAAACGAGCTGGCGACTGCCATAAGACGCCAGTCGGTCCGCGTAAAGAAGCCTAAAAGCGCAGTACTGGCAGAGTATTCCCAGGCATTGGCTCTTAATGAACGCATCAGGTATATAGTGGAGACTCTAGCTAAAGAGTACCCTCACATGGCCGAGAAGTTGGAAGCTATATCCAACACCCTCAATATACGCAGTCCAAGCAACTCTCCCAGGTTGACAGAAGATGGAGCCTGTGACCTTGAGGATGAATCGGAGTACGTCGCTGAGAAGCCGCTATGTCCTTAGCTTATTTTAGGTTATTGAAGCTCGAGTATCAAGGATCCTATTAGCTAGTTATTTCCATGGTGTTTGATTGTGATTGAGTCAATAAATATAATAAAAAAAATATGACCTGAGGATAGTGCTCTCTGTGAATATAAACGAACAAGTGTCAAGTACTGAAGTACTTGCCACCAGTTTATTTATACCTAGGTATAAACGAAGGATGTGGCCTTTCATCTGAGATCTACGGATCTGGTGGTCTACCATGAAATGAAATTCCGAAATTTCGGGCTCAATTTCGTGTTTTTGTTCGTACCAAAATCGACCCAGTAAATAGAGCTTAATATTTCGTTTATCATAAATCCTATCCTAATAGTCCAGAGGAATGATATTTAAACATTTTTAATAATTTTAAACAGCATGTGTTATGTAATTTTAACATCAAATTTCTGTTTCGTTCGTCCTCGAAATTTCGGAAAATATTTCATGGTAGGCCCTCTGGTTTACCTAGTGACGGCTTCATATGCCCTACATAGCTCGAAATTCACTTTTATATTCTCTTTGAATTATCCAAAGAGAATATAAAAGTGAATTTGAAGATTTGTGTTTGTATTCAATCTTAGAACCCCCGGACTGCAGTCAAGCGTTGTTTTTGTGACCTGTCATGGCATCTTATCAAAGCATTAATAGTGTTATGTTCAATAGAGACTTCTTGCCTCGTTTGGATGGTCATGTACCAATACAATTGTATATCTAGATTGTATTTTGATTTTCATCTTACTAACGTAATAAAATTGTAACCAAGTAATGTCTGTACATGGGAGATACTTAACCCTTCTTTGCATACTGGTGGAAATTTCCATCATAACATTGAATGTCCAAAAACTATATAAAAGAACAATTTCACTTTAAGTTGATCGTGTCTAGATACCTTTTTAATGTTCATTGCAGAAAAAAAAAACCATAGCTGTCAAATTTATTTTTTTAACCATTTTTCCTCTAATTTTGAACATGATTTATTTCACTAATAAAAAAATCATGCAAAGAAGGGATAACAAAAAAAAAATGAGTGCTCTTAAATAAATAATAATAAAAGCAAATAGCAGCCAAAACGATAAATTTAGAAATTTTGTCTGTATGTTTGTTTTGGCATCATACCAAAAATACTGCACATAAATTGGATGCAGTTTTTACGGTTGTGTTCTTGAAGGTGTAATTTAAAAACTTTTATATGTTTAATAGTGAAACGCCATCTGGTGATCTATGTCTTTAGTTATCCTTCTTTTGAAATCTACAAGTGCGAAGTAGCGGACAAAAGGCTGGTCATTTATGTTTGCTGAATGACGTGACAGTACGGTATGATAGTGTTTTTAACATTTTAATTACTAAATCTATAGTACAACGCATACACATGTGAAACCTCAAGGTCGTTGATCTCCTGGAGTCTTAATGGCTCGACCGATCGTCATGTAATTTGACATACATCTTAGATTATATAGATAGTTTCTATAGAAATGTTTTGAGAAAAATGCGTCAACATTTTTATATACGAGTAATTTTGCTTGTTTATCAAGTGGAGTCATGAGTGACTCCTTTGTAACTTCTATTAGTTTATCTTATAAATTCTGCGCCATTTTAATACGTAAACACTCGTTTTATTTATTAAATAATAAGAAAGATACATTTTATGCGTAAATATATAGAATACTAAATTGAAAAAAACTTGACCAGTTTTTGAGGCTCGATGCTCTATCTATATAATGTAAGACAATTATGTATTTGGAATGGAGAGAACATAGGAAGTTTTTATTTCAATCAAGCAAAGTCGGGTAAAAGAAAATTTGTAATACACGCGTTATACAAAGGGAGATTCTGTCCGTGAAAATGTATCCACTCTATGCCTAAGATCCCGCTGAGACTCCTGCTGACTTTTATCTGCAAAAGTCGGCAACGAAATCTTAGCAAAGCTTTATTAATTAAAGGTTAAAATACTGTGCCCATAGGAGTGTTTAATCATAGTTATATTAATTATATATATTCAATTTAACAATCATATTATGTGTGGGTTTATATTTTTGTGAGAAATAAAAATATTTGGTAACATAAAATACATTTTATTTTAAACTTAATAGATTTTTTAAAACATAACAGTTTCATTATTTTTTTACTAACATATATCAAACTGCAAAAAGCGACATCTGTTTCTTTCTTTCGGGCGAATGTAATACAATATATGAAATACAATATATATATATATTGTATTTCATATATATATGAAACCACAAGTTTCATATAATGTGTATCTGCATATTTCCATGTGTTTAATCTCAAGTTTCATTCTCCTATTTCACTAAAAAGACGTCACCATACGGAAAGAAGGGAGAGGAGAAATTAAAAACAATTGATCCTCTATAAACGGCCATAAATCCGATATTGTATTGGTAAAGTTCAGTAACCTTTATGGTCCCATAATGAAGATACACTCTGGAATTGTATTGTAGTGTGAATACATACATAGTTTCTTATGTAGTAATATTTGACCTTATCGAGAGCAAACCGAGACCAGCACTACAGTGTGAATTTGTCCTAAATCACTTTGTGCAACTCACACTAGCAATACAAGGGAACTGTCAGCTCGTTTACTTCTCTAACATTACAAAAAGAATTTTACAATGCAGATAATTTAGTTCAATTTTAAAAAAAATTGCTGACACTGTTTAGAATAAACTGTATTTGAATTGAAAGTGACGATGTACATTTTTTAAAATATATTAGTCTAAACAAAATGAGCCAATTGTTTAAACAAATGTTCTTTAAGAGTTACTAAGACTCTAGTTGGGATAGTTGTTAAAGAGAATAGAATTTGTCTTTTTTGTATCTACTTGATTTTCACCTGTTTAGAGGTGATATCAAAATAAATAAGTGACCCTTGTTTTGGCTACTGTACATATTAATAGTTCCCGGTTGTAGTTATATTTAAAATAACAATATTTTAGTTACTATGAAATGCAATGATTTTATAATTAACAAAAACCAAAAGAACTTGATCCTTATGCTTAGTAGATGGACTCATAATCTACGTATAATATACATTATAACATAGTATATTTTTTTATGTTTACTCTCAATTGACATATTTAGTAACCAATATTGACAGATATTTTCATCGAAACTAATAACTTACAAATAAGTAAAACAATCTTTCTATTCCAACGGTTTGTTCACTGTACATGCATACATATGTAATTTGGGTAAGAAACATCAAAATATACTAAATATAATAAGTTGGAAGTTGCATTAAATTAAAAGTACCCGTAACCGGCGAGCGTGTATGAAATGATTGATGAATGTAGAAGAAGCGAAAGATACTTGTTTGAATTGAAGCATTTGGCGTTCCATTGTTTCTGCCTACCCTAATGGGAGAGAGGTGTGACAGATATGTATATATGTATCCATGTAACAAGCTCGAGTAAAAAAATAATTATAATAAAAATAATACCAAGTAATGACCCGATAATGACTCCATTGACATTTGGTTATATGAACACAGCGTCTAAGATGGCCACATTTTCCACTCACTTTGCGGGACCTCTCGTCTCTCTATCAGAATTGTTGTGATAGAATCGAATACCGATTGGTTTTCTTCTTGAAGTCTTGAGGAGCTGGCATCAATTTACGACGAGATGACGTCACCGAGACGAGTAGACGTCGCTATACAATAAGTTAGTATCACTATTCGACGAGCAGGCTTCGCTAGGCGGCAAGTAGATGGCGCTCGTGTGCGGTGTGCTCGTGTCGCTTGCGGTGGTCGGAGCGGCCGAACTTAACGCCGCAGTACTTGCACGGGTAGCGTTTTTCCTTTGTGTGGCTCACCATGTGAGCTCGTAAGTACCTGTTCATAAATATTTTATTTATATTTTCATTTATTTTTTTAAATGTATTTATACTAACTCTAACTGAAATGAGCCAAGGTTAGAATTATGTGAATTAAAAAAAAAAAACAACTAAACAGTATTGTTTATAAAATATTAAACTCATTTCATTTAATCCTGTGTTATGTCTGCTTACGCTAATCTCCGGAACTTATAAACCTATTTTAATAAAATTTAAACACTAAATAGAAAAGTTTAGAATGATTGCTCGTTAAGTTGGTGCCGATAGCTTCTATTCTAATAAAATGGGCCCGATAAGTGGCATAAGTGGACAATATAACGACGCGTTTGTCGAATTTTTCCAAAATATAATCTTTTACGAGATTTTCAACCGAATTCAAAAGAAAGGAGGTTCTCAATTCGGTTGTATTTTGAAAATACTATTTTTTATGTTTAATGTTACTTCATAATCCTGTCAGTTATAAATCAATTTGGAAAATTCTATTTTATCTGAACTCATGTCTATAGGCGACGATTACCACTTTCCATCAGGTGGGCCGTCTGCTTGTTTGACATTCTAGGTAGCATAAAAAAAATGTTTGTTCCCGCTTAAAAAATAATATGTTAAAATTATAACGACGCATATGATGAGAGGTGTTTGAAAAAATATATTAGTAACCTTAATAAGACCAATAGATGACAAAACTGTTGTAAATAGCAGGATGCAGTAATAAAACATTTATTTGTGACACAAAATAATAAGTTTAGTGAAAAAATACGAGACATGTCTTATAAAAATCTGACATAGAACAAACTTAAAAATAATACATTGTTCTAAAAAACCTCAGTGTCAACAGCCAGTATTAAAACTCCAACAAAAACAATCATTTTTAGTAATTGAAGACTTCTTTTGAATTTTTTTATATTGAACATATTCTGAATTAATATTATAAAGTATTTACCATTTATTTTATTTTTTTATTTTAAATAAAATAAAATATAATAAAGTATTTACCCCGATCTGCAGAATGTCATATCACAGTGCGTACATGCGAACAATTTAATATCTGTATGTATAAGTCTATGGTTCTTCAGGATCGTTGTGGACGAGAAACATTTGCCGCAATCAGGACACTCGTATGGTTTCTCTTTTGTATGACTTCTGTTAAAAAAAAAAAACAATAATAACTTACCAATATTATAAGTTTGTAAAAAGGTATGGTTTAGATGTTTGTTGATTAATGCTATTATTATATCAGTTGATTGCTTGGGTACCTCTGTCCCATTCGTGTTTCTACCGTGAAACAGTTGTGTTTGCATAGCTGTGTTTGAAGGGTGGGATATGGCGTGAATTTACTGGGTACAGAGGAATAACACCTGAGTCCTCAGGAATGGCAACGCATGGGGGGTATCATGGGCGAAACAGTATACTCTGTTACATCCATGGTACTGCTCATGTCTATAGGCGACGGTTAACACTTTCCATCAGGTGGGCCGTCAGCTTGTTTGCCATTCTAAGTTGTATAAAAAAAATTGCCACGCTTGGAAGGTGGGTTGATGTTTTAAGAGGGGCGTTGCTCGCTTGACTATTAAGTTCCTTTAGTCGCCTCTTACGACACCCATAGGAAAAGAAAGGCGGCCCATTCTATGCCGGGGCCGCAAGGCGTCTCAACGATATCATTAATCTTTATTAGACGGATTTTAAAGTATTTGATAGACAAATTTGATTAAAAAGTACCTTAATATCCAAATTAACACATAGGATACTTTTTGTCCCAAATCATGTGAGCAAAGAGATTTATTTTATTTTAAAAATTACATTCTACAATAGAATGATCACCCAGATTTGTCAGCTACCCAAACTGCGTGATTTATATACTCGCTGAGTCTGTGTACAGTTACACCACATAAAAGATACTGTTAGATGGTAAACTGTTTTAACAAAACCAATCACATAACGTTTGAGGTGCCATCTACCGGTAATATAATTAAATACTAATTCATGACTCCAAACCGACCTCAGTTTGGTAGTTTTAATTTTTTCCATTGCTCTTTATCCTTTTATTTAGTTTATAAAATACATAATGTTTCAATTAAGTATTAGATTACCTTAAATGTATTTGTAAATGATATTTCTTGAAGAAGCTCTTGGAACAAAATTGACACAAGTGAGATTTTTCCTTCTCGTGGACTTGTCGCCTGAAAATTTAACGAACTATATAATTATATAACTATTTATTTATATAATTTTATATATATAATTATAGAACTGATATAATTTATGAATTTATATCAATAATTGAAGTAGAATGAATAAATTTTAAAATAGTAAAATTTTTTTTAGCTATTAAACGCTATATTATCAGCTAGGTTATATATTATTACATAGGTTATATATTATTATTTTTAAATTAGAGATCTTTACGAAAATTACAATAATGTAACCTAAGTATCAAATATACGACTATTAAAACCAATCATCATCAACGCAGTCATTACATGTTCACTGCGGAACATAGGCCCGGTCCATAGACTGCCATAAGGAATAGTCCTGAGCTACCTGCATTTATTAAAACCAATGTAAAATACTATCTTCCTATTTATCTACTTATATGAAGCGGGGTCGAATCGCTAGTTTGGAATAAATTCGGAATTAGGATAGTTTATTGCATCTTCTGTAAAATTTTGTTCACGTTAGTTAGGAACTACTAACCTAAAAATAATATTTAAATAAATATATGTGTACTTGTAATATACATATGTTAACAGAGATTTTCCGGAGTCTTCTCAGCACATAAAAACTTTTAGAACCCAAGCAGTAGCAGTAAATAAAAAAAAAATTGATGATTTAAAGGTGCTTATTAATAAGTCCATTTGAATAAAGGTGATTTCAATTTAAAGAAGAGTGGTCGTAAAACTAAAAATCATAATCTTGGGTAATATGAATAAAACATATAATAACCACCTTAAAATTCATATAATTGGGATAAGACGACCGTGTGGTCCTGGCATAGAATAAGCCACCCCTTTCTTACTCCTGTCGTAACTAACTAAGGGAGGGTGAGGGATGGGCAGTAGCATTCCTCTTAAACATTTCTAAAGCCTGCCTGCGGTTGCCAAATGTGGCAACTACTAGTAAACCCCCAAGGGGGAGGCTTATGTTCAGCAGTGGGCAGTTACAGGGCTGATATGATGATGATGGGTTACAGGTAGGAAGATAATGATGACGTTAGTAAGGTGCTATCGGCAGTAAAATATCGTCATTAGAATTTACCTGTGCTGTAACATGACCATCTTTGTACGAAATGATTTCTCACAGAGGTCACAGCTGAACGGCCGGTCCTTTGTATGCGTGGCCATGTGAACATCCAGCGCCGACTGAGATATGAAACGGCGGCCGCAGGAGACGCACTCGTGTTGCAGCGCCGCCGAATTGTGCATCACCAATTGGTGGGATCTTACATTTACTACGACTGGAAATAACAGCAAATAATTATTAAACTATTGAATTAAAAAAAAAAATAGTCTAAATGACAACTTCGATATTCACTACACTTATTAGTTATTATCTCAATTGTTAGTTAGGTCCGTTTAAAAATAAATATTGCTTAATTTTACTGGCAGTCCGCATTACTAACAATCCCCTCCCACAATATACCTTGTCAGGTATATGCATGACATGTATCTCCATGTGATGCTCTCAGGAAACCATTGTGGTAAATTGCAAATTTGTCACGATGGGTGAACTAATTTGACTTCCTTCTCACCTTTCATCTTTCACTGGGGTATCAGTGAATAGCGTAAGCCGGTTTACCCTTCCATTCATCTGATGTATATTTAAAAAGATGTTTATAATAATCTATGGCAAGAAAGAAATAATAAATTTATGGTAGAACGAAGTTAATTTTGGTTGTTGGTTAATTGTTATATTGTTAAGTGGATTTGTAAAACAAGTTAAAAATTATTATAAACTTACATTTGTTACAGATAGTACATCTTTGTTTGATCCCAAGGTGCTTTATCTTATTATGTTTGTATCTAGCGCTATGCGATGAGAATGTCTTATCGCACAATTTGCATTTTATTCTTTTACGTTCAGCCGCCGGTTGGTGCAGGTGTAAATGATCCTTTAGGTTGCGGACTGTTTTGCCACACTCCTCGCAGACTTGAAGTTTGCCTTCTTGTCCTTTTAATTTCTTAAACTTTTTTTTATTTCTTTTGAATGGGTCTGTGAAAATTTGTAAATACATAGACTACCAAAGTCTATCTAACTAATTATAAAGAGGAAAGATAATCAATCTTTCCTTGTCTGTAATGGATAAACTCAAAGGTAATTAATTGATTTTAAAAATTCTTTTACGTAATGAAAACTATATTATCAGCACATAACGTTGACAACAGTCAGTATGTGTTATTGAACAACATGGACAGAATTTCAATTTATAAAAAATTATATTCCTATCTGTCTGTTTCAAGCTGAGGTCGCTAATACAAAGTATACCTTAATATATAAAAATCATCATCATCATATCAGCTATTAAATGTTCACTGTAGAACATATAACTTCCCCGATAAAGAGGTTTTGCCAGTAGTTGCCACACTTGGCAGGTGGGTTGGTAACCGCAGTTACACTTTAGGTAATGTTTTAAGAGGAACGCTGCTACCTATCCCTCTACCATTAAGTATCCTTCATCACCTCTAACAACACGGAAAAGGAAGAGTCCTTTCCCGTGGGTGTCATAAGAGTATTGCCTATTTTTTGCGGGGACCACACGGTGGCTCATTATGCTAGCCATCAATTACTTTAACCATACCTATAAGCAAGAGCATTACAAAATATGTACACTATGATGTCCATGGTACTCCTCATTAGGCATGGGTAAAATGGATATTATTTGATATGGGTAATGATCATGGCTAATATCTAATATCTATATATTGGGTTCTTCTGGACATTGATAGCTGAAGAAAGGCTCTTGAATGGTGATTGCATATAGGCAAACACAGCGTCAGATGACTTCAAATGCATAAGAGGGAGTTGGCAACCACAGTTAGGCTTTGACATTATTTTAAGAGGGACTGTGCTGTCCATCAAATTCCATTAATCACCTCTTATCATACCCAGAGGAATAACACTTTAGACCTCAGGAATGACAACGCATGTAGGGTATTATGGGTGAAACAATATACTCTGTTATGTCCATGGTACTGCTCATGTCTATCAGGGATGGTTACCACTTTGCATCAGGTGGGCTGTCAGCTTGTTTACCATTCTAAGCTGCATAAAAAAATTACTTATTGCATTGCCATTCCTTTAGACTAAGATATTAAGTCTTCCAGTAATTATATTGTCATATTTTATATGGCAATATAATTCTTCTCCCTTCTTCCAATCTAAAAGACAGTTGTGGACGCCGTGTGATAGCACATATAGTGGAACAGTAATACTCAAAAAGATGACTGAGTTTATATCATATACATTTGAAATTATTTTAATAAATAAAGCAACTAATAGTTACCATTTTCTTTAGTTTCTTCTGCAATATGTTCATATTTAATTTTTTTAATAACACTCAAATATTCATCATCTGATGGAAGGTCTTTTAAATTATTATCATCTTTTGAAAACAACTCATCTTTTACTTCATCACTCTTATGGTCATCAAGAAATTCATCACCACTTAGAGATGCAATCTCACTTTTTATATCATCTCTTAAGAAAATTTCATTTTTTATCTCCGAGTCTATGTTGGCTCTTAAATATGTATCACTTCTTAAAGCTAATGTTTTAAATTTATAAAAAGACAGTATTTTTTTATAACACTTTGAACATAATTTTGTACTCATTTTTGAGTCTTGTATGATCTGTAAATGGAATTGACACGTTAAAAAGTAGGTGAGTAGGTTTAATTTAATATGTTTAGTGTACTATATAAATACTAACTTGAATTCCAAAACAAAACAGTATTATATGTGCATAATTTCTTATTTGTCCATTATCGTCCGTACTTAACTCGGTTATATCTTTATCAATCGCACTGGCTAGACAAATTCTACAAACTTCCATAATTACCGAAGATAAACAAGAAAATATTGAAATGGAAATATGATCCGTATCAATCAACTTTACATTTGTGTTTCTGAATTATTCCTTACTAGGAAAGTAAAGTACTTTTCCTAATTTACTACTGTAAATTCAAAATTTTCAAATACTTCTACAATAATAAGATTGGATGTAAATTTTAATTTCAGCATTTTTATCATAAATTATAAACAAAAGGAACAGAATTAAAGTAGAATTCGCAGGAAACAAAAACAAATCTTTAAATGTCAGTTTTGGTTGTCATTGTCAAAATATCAAAGGACTACAGGTAATGGGTCGATTCTGAATTGCTACTTCTCTAAACCTATCCCTAAAATAAAAATTTGGTATCTTAGGGAAATAATATAGTTAGTTAATTAACTAATTTCGTCAAAGATTTAAGCCAAAATCAATGTAATTTTAGTTTATGATGGCCCATAAAATAGTAATTTTGCGAAATTATTAATTTAAAATATTAGGTTAGAACAATGACGCCTCAGAATTAGCTTAGGGTTGATTATTACCCAGATGTGGGTTTTGATTATTACTAAAATATTATTTTGTAGTTTTTTAGAGTATTATCTGTGGTTTTGCCATGCGCTACAAAAGTAGCACATGGCAGATTCTGTAGCTCTCTCTCATCCTGTTTATATACTTCTATATAATTTATAATTACTAAAACTGATTCGTTCAAACCCATTTTATTTTTTTACCAAAATTACACGGACAGTAATTTTTTTACTGATACTTCACTTTATACTGTTACCTACTAAATAGATAAAAAATAGTACCTATTCTTTCTTGGTTTTTTTTAAAGGGTGAAAATGGCATAACCCCGTCTGCGCTATCGATATACACTGGTGGGGCACCAGTGAGAGGTGATAGGTAAGGATGAAAAGGCAGGTCAGTTAGCCCATCGTGACGAATTCGACGATAAATTAGTCACGATAGTTTCCAAGAGGAACCGAGTGGAGGGCGATCTGATAGGGTATATTAACAATGCTTTTCCCCCCATTCTTGATTTAGTACATCATAAATTTAACTAATCTGTAAACGGTCAGCTGGTTTGTCTGGCTGGTTCAACACCCATAAAAAAAAAGTACATTATACTAAGTTTATGAATAGAAAGGCGAAAATACTATCTTTTCGTCCAAGTAGTAATGATGCATGTATGGAGAGTATCATTGTCCTCCATAGATGCATGTCGATGCGAATTGCAATTGATAAGTAGTACGAGAGAGAATTCCCTTTTGCACAAGGCCAGTTTTAATATGTGGCGTATTGAGCAAGCGTCGACAGTGACTTAGAACTTGACGGAACAGTTGCTAATGCATCCTTTTATTGGTAGTTGACTTTTGGCGCCTAGAGGTATTTACAGTTCTTATCCGTGCCCTTATAAGGTTCCACTCTTTTAATTTTTCAAACAAATAAATTGTAAGCAACAAAATCGAAGTATATTCCAATAAATATTATAGTTATGAATTTTACGATTATAATATCCACTTTGGGAGTCCTAAAATGTAAATGAAAATAAAATAATAACAACATTATCATTAATAATAGCTTTTATTTTTGCAAGAATGTTGGATACAAATTGTAAGTTTCGTATCAAATATGTATTAAAAATGCCACAATAGATAGAGAAAAATGTACAGTAGTCAAAAGAGCAGACGTGGATGTCAGGAGAGATCCAACCGCGCATCCTACAGTATAACAACATACAGTACCCCAAAAGCTTTTGTCCTTAAAATGAAACGGGCAGGCACATTCAACTTATAACTAGAAATTAAAATATAACGTTTATATATAACTTCAATCCCCTTATATCACAAAATGTGATGTTGATAAGTGTGTTACAAATATTATAATGTCATTTTATGTAAAAAATAATAGCTGCCAATCTAATTAGATGTAGCGTGATACAAGGAATAAAATATGTCAACGAAGTTGGCTGAACACAATAACCCATCTCAAAAAAGTACATCGAGACTACGAGATTACACCGTGAATATGAAATTGTAAATTAAAAAATTAATTTGTTGGTCACGGATTAGTAAACAACTATGAATATAAAACTTTATAACATTTGTCACGAATTATACAATAAGGTATGAAGAATAAAAAAAATTGTATCGTATAGCTGGAACAGGTCAACTTGTAAGAACTTTCATATTTTCCAACTCACTTACACTCAAATTGAAATCCTCGCCAAACCACGAAGATTAAAAAGAGATGCTAATACAACAAGCTGTTCTCCATCCTGCTCGAATTCAATTCTATAATCACACTGCAATCTCAAAGCTAGCTTATTTCTAACATATGATGGTTAGTGTATCCGTCGTTGCACTGTACAAAACTAAAATACGAAACAGTAAAATATAAAATTAAAAAAGAAACATTATTAAATGGCTAAAAAAATATTGCATAATCTTTTCACATTGATTCATTAATTGTTATTATAATTTATTAAAAATAATATTTACTGAATATACAATTCAAATTAAAACTTACGACAAGCGCAAGAACGTTACGCGCCTTAAAAAAAAAATTGCCATTGCAAATTAATTAAGCGAATTTTAAATTATAATTTACTCAATAAAAAATATACTCTAGTCAATTGCTAATTGTATTGACAATAATGTTCTATAACTAGTCTAGATGTTCTTATAGTTACCTAAATACAATTCTCTTCGTAATAATAATAATAATAAAAAGAAATAAATAGGCACATCACGTTCACTCCGAATGTTTGAAATAGCAACTTAACCATATTAACACGCTAAATTGGTAGATTATTTTTCACGTTGTTCACTTAAATAAAAAAATACTATTAAAAACAATTCTACAATCATATTGCAGGATTGTTATTACAACAAATGTTGTTATGGCGCTGGTGGTCCAGATTTTGTACTCAAATAAACATCAACTTGTGATAGGAATTACATAAGTTTCTTTTTTTTTTTAATATATATTTAAGTACGTCTACGTCTGATTATAATAAAATTATGTATAGTTTCTGTAGACAGAATAGATAGATAACATAATAATTGTATGTTATGGAAAAACAAAATTCGCTATTATTAGCAACATGCACGCATATTAAGCAATTTTATTTTAACAAAGAGTTTAGATCAAACAATTTGTTGGTACATGTGACTTATTTATTAATTCTGAGTATAGGGATATTCACTTACAGCAGAAAACGTAGTCACCATGCACTCTAAACATGGCAGTACTTTTAGCTGTCTTAGCGTTGACGAAAATTAACAATATGTAATATTAAAACCGTAAAAACGAAATATATATATATACTCTTACTACAAACATGTCACGCTTGTATTACTTCACTAAATACCGGAATTCGATGTGAAATATCGGTGGACAGGGATCGAATACCGGTTTAAAATTTCGCATTCAATCTACAAACCGATCATTACTTGTAAACTTATGATTTTCACCATTTCTATTCTGACAATGAAATTACGACGATGTCGATCGGTGAAAGCTAAAACAGATGGCGCCACCGCACAATGATCCTTCATACATTCATATTAGTTTAAATACAAAATACATTTTGTCTGGGAATATAATTTTGACAGTTGTCAACCCTATCAGCGGTGGTGATCGGTTTTAGATATGTGGTGTGAAGACGGGCAAGGTGGAGCCCTAGTGCGCATCGGCGGCTGCGGGCGGCACCGGTACAGAGAGCGGCGAGCGCTGCCGGTCAAACATCTCGAGGATCAGCTTCGGGTCGGTCCCGGCCGGCACTGTCACGGTGCCCGTCTGTGTGTACAAGCCTTATGAGTACCACTGCACGTTCTTCTCCCTGGCAACGCGTGGCGGCCGCGCGTGTTTAGGCTGCGCTATTAAATTGACACCGTCTCTAATTTATTTATTCATTTCCTTTTCCGGTCACCATGGATGAACGATGAGATCGTTACACATATACGTACACGAGCGGACGCCACAACATTGCACAGTTTTTCGTATAATTATATGTTAGTACACGGACTGAATTAGTAAATATTATACAGATGTCAACTCTGGTTCTGGAAGAAATTTGCTATGTTTGATTTAATAGATAGAATGAGCATAATGGAAAAGTAAAATACTTGATAGTAATTAATAAGAGCAGAGCATGCAATATTATGCTTTATTTATATTAAGGTAGGGTATATATTAAAGCAAAGTGTGGGGTACCTCGATACGGGTGATGACTCCTTCCTCGCGACTGTGCTCTAGGACTACAAACAAAAACACAAAGCGCCCGTCAAACATATAAACGAACAAACATTAAACATAAACATATAATAATGGCATATAAAGCAAGATTCATAAAACAGGGTTACTGGATATTTATGCGTTTTGATTTATATACACTTCTTAGCATTATCTGATAAAAAAAAGAAATAAAAAAAAAAAATTAAAACTATTAGTAACTAATAACCCTGCATATTTAATTATTCCAAATATAGTCCGATATGTTTGCTAAAAGGAATAAAATTTTATATAATGAATAAGAATAAATATAGTATATAAGAGATAGAGAGATTTGACAGCTTCATGTTTCTATAACACATATTAGCTTTAAATTACGGTATTATATGTTTAAAATGGGGATATATAAAATTTCGTTTCAATACATTTTGTCTTTTAAAAACCGAATGATTTTTTTTTCACACTTGCACTCGGATATTATATTAGGTATATAGTTAATAATTTACTAATTATAGAGAAGACTATATTAGCTTATAAAATTTCAATTTTATGTATTGATGGCGAATAAAATTACATCAAAATATATATTATTTATTTTGATGTAATTTTAATAACCGTTATGGAGCAGAAAACGCATAGTCCGCTTTTAGTACCACATTTTTTGAAAATTAAAGTTTAAATAAATAAATAATATTATCATAAATTAGCAAACAAATCGGCTTATATTTGATTTATACTAATGTATATTCATCTGCTTTATAAAAAATAATTCACTTAAAATGTACGACATTAAAAAACCTTTATAATTAAACAATTTTCTTATAAATAAGTTATTGTAAATATAAAAATGTACATTGTAAGAGAAGTTTAGAAAAATTTTGAATTGTATAAAATAAATCATTCAATAACAAGCCATTTCAAAGCAAATTGCTTTCATGCAATAAATTCATATTCCGAAGCTAAAGTGTTTTGGTACAATAGTCTGTCATTAGATAACTATCATAATAAATTCTGATTGGGAAAAGAAACATTCTGGAAATTAGAGTACCGTTCTTAAAATATATTTTTCTTATTAATCACATCTAGCAAGCAATGTTGTTTCTTCGAAAAAGTAATAAAAATAAATAAAACATAATTATAATTGTAAATATATATAAAGATGTACTATGAATAAGGAGAAATGCATTAATAAATAAAATTTCTAATTAATAGGTTTTCTGCATTCTTTTTTTTTATTATAACTCTATAGTGCTGTATAGGGGCACTGAAACTGTGGCAAAAATTTAGCTCGTAATTGGGTTATTGGAATTAATAAAAAAAAAAGTCAGCATCAGATAAAAATAGCTACATATATCATTACCAACGCAATATAATCTGTCTATATTTGGCATAACTTGTAAACAATTTTAAGTGTCTTTTAACTGTAATATAGAAATTTAAAAATAATGGACAAACAAAACATATTACTATATATAATATACAATATTGAAATATAAAAATAAATGATTATTTTTATCTATATAATTGTAATTCCAGGGTCTTAAAAATCTTAAAGCATTTATTATCTGTTGCTGAGTAGCATTGGTGTATTTAAAATTATTTTGAAGAGAGGAGAGGGATGACACCTTAAAAGGCGTATATGGGACTTTAATCTTTGCGCATAGTTGAAAGCTTCGCTCGAATCGAGACTATTCTGGGTCACTCCAAAACATGGTCCACCCGCCCCTCGACCTTTTAAATACACCTATAGTATTAATGGTGTGGTGACAGTACTATCTGTGTCGAGTACTTACTGTTCTCGGTGGTAGCGTTTGTGGAAGTAGTAGTGGTGGTGGTGGTCGTGTTGCCGTCGCCGCTGCTGTCGTTGATCGTCGTCCTGGTTGTCGTTTTCACCACCATAGAGCTCGTGTTCACTTGCGAGTTCTAATTTTAAATAATAGAACATAAGTTAGTCTAAGGCGAGACTTTGCCAACCTCTGTGCGTTCTAATACTAGCATAGCGGATTGTGTTCTTATGGAATTGTTTGAAATGATACCCACAGTAATCTTTTATCATCGCATCTCTCGCCATCGACAGGGAATTTCATCCTTATACGCTAGAACCTAAACAGTAGTGCAAAATGCAGTTTCAGAGAAGTTTTCTCTCGCGAATTTTTAAGCTGTAGAAGGAGCTCCTGTCGAGATTTTCTCTAGAGACCCTGTCCATTTCTTAACCATTGAGTTCCCTTAATTGCCTCTTACGACACCCATTGTAAAGGAAGGGTGATCTATTCTGTGTCACCATAGGGCAATTATAAATCTTTATAATTAATTACATAAAAAACACAGTTTAAAAAAAACACCACATGGCAAGGAAAATTATCATATTTCATTCAAATGTTTGCGTTAATAACTCTGTCTTATAAACTATTAAATAGTTAGTTAGTTAGTACCTGCAAGTTGATGTTGAGCTCTGGTGGTTGTTGTTCAGCGTTGGTGTGGTCCCGGACCGAGTCGACGGTGATGTCGCCCGACGCGGCCGTCACGTCGTGGATCGTTTCCGCCGTCTCCTCCTGCTGTTACCCACCAAGCACATAACTTTTAGAAGTCTTTAAACAGACTTGAAACGATAAAGTTAGTGTTATCGCACTAAATTTAATATGGCTGCCACTTTTACATTACTAACACAATTAGATAAAAAAAAATAGATTTAAAAAAATATTTATAAAAACAAGTTTTAAGTATAATGTAACTTGCTTTCTTGTGGATATGGTTATTTTAAAATGATATTATTTATTTTATTGTCTTACTCTTTAAGCTCTTTCATTGGATTCCCTTAATAATAGGGTTGACAAAACATACACCATCTGCCATTTTGTAATGGCGGCCATTTTGAAAATATTACAACACTGAGTAAAGCAAATTGTTACCAAAACTATTTATATGTAAATTTCAACAAAATCGGTCAGGAGATACTTACTGGTTTGAAATGAAGTATTCAATAAATCAATTTAACATTTGACTTAAATTACATTGCAAGTTCTATTTTTAAACTTTATTATATTAAAGAAAAAAATAATCTATATATATTTATACACATGCTGTATAATGCTCACCCTGTGTTCTCCATTAGTGAGTGGGGTCCCTTCAGTAGTCCCCCGCAGTGCGGCCGCCCACGGTGACAATATCACTTGACATTGAGCAATCGTCACCTGATTGGAATGTCACAAAATACATTACTTATAGCTTATATTCAAACGGCTTCAAATCAAAAAGAAGTCTCATTTCAGTTGTATTTATTATTTAAACTTTAACCCTTAAATACCTGAAGTTTCAAATTTGATACCGGGGCTATAAATCGCATTGGGCGCCTCTACAATCGATTTTATTTTAATATTTGGCTGTTTAAGGTAAGAAAGGTTGTTGATTAGGCGAGGACTTTTTTATGCAACTTAGAATGTCAAACAAGCTGACGTCCCACCTGATGGAAAGTGGTAACCGTCGCCCATAGACATGAGCAGTACCATGGACATAACAGAGTATACTGTTTCACCCATGTACCCTGTAAATTCACGCCATATCCCACCCTTCAAGCCGAAACATAGCAATGCAAACACAACTGCTTCACGGTAGAAACATGAATGAGACAGAGGTGCCCAAGCAAACGACTTTTGTACAAAGTCTGCCTCTGGTAATAGCTGGTAAAATAAAAACAATATTATTTATACTCTTAAACCATAGTATAAATAATCAGTACATAACTACTATTACACTAACCTTCGTAGCGGAGAGTGTAATTCGCTGCAGTTCTGACGACGAGTGTAAGTAGAGAGCTTCGCCTCTCTTTGAGAAGCACATACTTGAAATACCACTGGAAACACAGAAGAAATTGTTTTGAAACATATGGTAGTACAGAATTTATAAGGCCCGGCATTATTTTAACCTGTTTTATAGGATTCAACCAGCATTAGCAATGTAAGCGCAAAAAATGAATTTATTTACGACATTACATTAGAAACTTTTAAATTTATCAGCGTTTCTCTACAATATTATGCATGTATTATATATGTAAACCTTCCTTTTGAATCACTCTATTAAAAAAAAACCGCTTTCAAATTCGTTGCGTAGTTTTAAAGATTTAAGGATACATAGAGACGGACAGACAGCGACAGCGACTTTGTTTTATACTATGTAGTGATAATGAATGAATGAAAACTATTGTTCTTTTCAAAGAATAACACAGATTATAAAGAATATGTAAACAAACACAGTTGAATCTTATACATGTAACAATTTATTGTGCATGAAACAAATAATGTTAATAAATTTATTTATTTGTTAACAATTGTGAACGTATTATTTATGTATAATTGTACTATCAGTAATTAAAATCATAATTAATAATAATAATTAATAATATTAATAATTATTAAATAAATAAGGAGGTTAGCCGTTCTGGCGTAAATATATTGAGTGTGTGTGTGCGTGTGTGCGTGTGTGTGGGTGCGTGTGTGCGTGTGTGCGTGAGCGTGTGTGCGTGTGTGTGTGTACTTACTTGATGTCCTCCTTGCGGACGGCGGCGGCGTTGAGCTGGCGGCGCAGCTCGGGGCTGAGCACGAGGCAGTCGCCCAGGTTGGTGAGGCACAGCAGGCACCACTCGCGGTGCGCGCCGCTCGTGAAGCACGCGAACGCCGTCCGCCGCACCTAACACCAGAGGGCACCGTTAATAATCATTCATTAGCTATCCGGCTTTGCACTGGTTATTGTACAATAAAGCGTTACAAACGAACGAATGTTTCTGCCATCAAAATGCAACATTTTAGTGAATCTTATTATATGATGTATCATTTTCGTAGAATCTTCTAAATCCAGTAGGTAATTAAATCAAGTAAAAACAAATCCATACCCTGGCTCCCTCGTGCGCGGTGAGCTTGTACTTGTGATGGGGCCTGAGCGAGGGCAGCGTGAACACCTTGAACTGCTCCTCTGAGGTGATCACCACGCGGTGCGCGCCCGCCTCCGGCAGCGCCGCCACGCCACGCTCCACCTGCACCACACGCCGCCAAGGTTTAGACAGGGGAACGGGGGAGTAGGAGCTTGTCAGTAACGGGGATAAAGTATGATAGAGCACGAATCGTAACGAATTAAATGAACCCTAGGAATGAACGTGTTTCATTGTGACTCACGATGGACCAATTGTCCGGACTTCATCCTCGCCTATCAACCATTGATGGTACAATGTCATTGTATACAGATAACGTAGAGTTACCTACCATTGTCGACCACAAAAAAAAAAAAAAACAATTCAAACTAGGTGTCCACGTCACAAGTCACTACGATGTTACGACATACTATTCAATGATATGACAACATGGGTTTAAAATGAGATAATGGACAAGAGGTCTTTCCAGAGTCGGCAACGCGCGCGTAATACCTTTAGTATTGCAGGCGTTCATAGGTTATGGTAAGCACTTACAATCAAGTGGGTCGTATTCTCGTTTGTGAAATCAGTGGTATAAAAAAACATAGGTATGGTGGACCTTAGTGTATTTAGTGATGTTCATACTTCATGTCACTACTTTTCATCAGCGACGGCCATTCTAAAGAGTAAAAGTAAGCAATTTTTATTACTACAAAACATATTTAATGGAGATGGTGTGGATGTATGAATTAGACACTCTAATAAATGTATGACTTCAGTTGATATCTCTTTAACACGTGTATATGAGGCTTGGTGGCATTTGTAACAACACTGATTGCAAGCAAATTCAACAATGAACTAAATAAATATTAATAATACGTAAGCGAGCGTAAGCATATTAAGGCCCGCGGTTTTATTCATTAATTAAACATGTTCAAATCACGTAATAAAACCAATAGAGTTGATTCTGTGGCGTAATTCTGTAAACCTACCTCTAAAATTAAAATTTCAATTGGATATCACAGCGAAATCTATATTTTATTTTTCTAATTCTTTCTAATGTCTTTTTATTTTTTATTTAACTCTTTATTGTACCAGAAACTTAAAAATAAACAATTCAAGTGAAATAAATTATAATTATAAATTAATTAATAATTGAGAATAAAGTTTCTGTGATATTAAATTTTAATTTTAAAGATAAAAAATTATAGTAACTCTAAGAGCTTCAGAATCGACTCCAGTATCCATTTTTGCAAGTGTAAGACATTATCTTTTTATAAATATAGAAAAAAGACGTTTGCTTGTGTATGATTATATAATCATTACAATTCAAGAGAACTACATTGTTTTGGAAATTTATGTTTATATATATATATATATATATATATATATATATATATATATATATATATATATATATATAGGCATCGTGTGTGTGTATGTATGTATAACGAGAATTTTACGAACTTACGGTCACCTATCGTACTAACTATAATGAAGACTTTTGGATAACGTCAAAATAATTGACGGAAATGATAAACATAGTATTGTTTCTATCTATACTTATAATAAATCTGTAGAGAGGTCAATTCTGTACATAAAATATATTTCCAAAATAACTATCAGGGGGTGATTAGTGATCGATACTGATGCCAAAAATGCAATCAGTAAAATTTTTGTCTGTCTGTCTGCATGTTCGTTATAGAAACAAAAACTACTCGACGGATTTTAACGAAACTTGGTACAATTATTCTTCATACTCCTGGGCAGGTTATAGTATACTTTTCATCACGCTACGATCAATAGGAGCAGAACAGTGAAGGGAAATGTTGGGAAAACGGGAGAAGTTACTGGATTTGTAAGCTTCCGTCGAGTGTGCAGCCTTAATGGCCACTTTTTAAAATATAAAAATGTCCACCCGTGCAAAGCCGGGACGGGCCACCAGTTTATAATAAGTTTACTATTGTAATCTTATGGAGGAAACAATAAAGTGTAGCTATCTATTTAATATATTTATTATTATCAGAAATCTTTTATTTTTAATTTAGATTATAATACCATATTTATTTATTTTATTATGGGTATGTTTTATGGCGGTGTGTTCATAAAGTTCCAGTTATACACGTATACAGACATCAATACAAACTTTTCTAAACTAAGAGTCTGGGTGTTTTGGGCTATTATATTATGAGATGGATTGCTAAGAGCCGAAGAGTTGATATATCAATCGATATGAACTAAACACAACATTGATGTAACATGAGTTTAATGATGTATCCTATCACCAATTAAAAGTTTTTACAACTTAGAATGGCAAACAAGCTGACGGCCCTGACCTGATGGAAAGTGGTAACCGTCGCCTATAGACATGAGCAGTAGCATAAACATAACAGAGTATACTGTTTCGCCCATGCATTGCCATTCCTGAGGACTCAGGTGTTATTCCTCTGTACCCAGTAAATTCACGCCATATTCCACTCTTCAAACCGAAACACAGCCATGCAAACACAACTGCTTTACGGTTGAAACACGAATGGGACAGAGGTACCCAAGCAATCGACTTTTGTACAAAGTCTCCCTCTGGTATTCCAAGTATTATATATTTGTATATAACTGAAATCAATAAATGCTCCGTGTTGCAGTGAATAACTACAAGTACATGATATAAAACATAAATTATCGATATATTATGACAAAAAGCATATTTCAAAACATAGATTAATAATAGTACCGGCATTCTTTTTCTACGTTTTAAAAAGTATAACTTTCGTGCCCATTTTATTACTGGCCAGTCTGTGCTGATATTTATATTTTTTTAATAATTAGTATTATAATTATAGGCATAGATAGATAACATACAGTTATACTTTTATAAGCCTCAACAAGCCTAGCTACGAGCGTGATATATTCTCACCTCTGTACTCTCTTCAGTTTGTTGAACCACTTCGGGCTCAGACGGCTTTGTTAACAAGAAAATTTATTTTATGATTTCAAATAAAACGCACACAATTGGTTGATACAAAAGGAGGCGCTTTCCACATAACGTCTGAATAACTATTTATAACAAATTATTTAAAAGATGTGATGTGTTTTTGTATTACATAAAAAACTATCTTCTACTATATTTACTAAAACTATATCTGCTTATCTGTTATATATATATATATATATATATATATATATATATATATATATATATATATATATATATATATATATATATATATATATGACAAAGTTTCCAAGACGTGTATATACGACTTGGAAAGATAACTAAGCCTGTCGGTTCACTTTATAGGAACAGTTTAGGTGCGACGTAATTCTACTGGCATTGGGCGTATGCGATGCCCATGCCACTTCTCATACGTCCTATTATCAAGGTGTGTTCCTCTGATATACTTTGGAATTTGATTGTCAAAATGATATAAACTTACCAGTTGTTATTGGTAAATTTATGTTGACCTTGTAAGTTAGTATTTACTATTGTATTTCATACGTATATTTCTGTATGGAACTTTATTTAGTGCAAAATGCTGTTAACCTTATTTTAAATATTTCATTGTATTTTATGATACAAAACTATATTATTTCGTATAGTATAAGAATATATAATAAATCTTTAAAATATGGACTTGCAAATCTAATTTAGAATAGTCGCCTTAGACAAGTGTAAAAAAATCTGTCGATATATATATGTTTTCAGTATGGCGTGTAAAGGATAGGACAACAGCGACAATGTCCAACAATTTTCTTTTCTTTTTCACACGCTGACAATCACTTGTCAAGGAGGCCAGTTATATATTAGAATTCCTTGCAATTTTCTATATTAAAATAATTTTAACAGCACGTCCGTTATACAAGATGTGAGGTTAAACTCCGGTCACTATTTTTTTTAACACACAATAAATATTACTGTAAAAATATAAAAATGTTTCTGTAACAATTAGCAAGTGTCTTATTAACCCTTCTTTGCATAGTGGTGGAAATTGCCATCATAATTTGAATGCCCAAAAATTATATAAAAGAACAAGTTTACTTTAATACCTTTTTAATGTCCATTGCAGAAAAAAAAACATAGCTGTCTAATTTATTTTTTTAACCATTTTCTATTTCGCCAATAAAAAAAAAAAAAAACATGCAAACAAGGGTTAAATATATACAATATGTAATTATGATGGAGAGTGAGAGAGATAGCAGAGATGAGACAATAATTATTATACCTCTAATGGATCAGGTAGCGGCGCTGACGCGGCGTCCAACACTGTGATGCCTATGACTGGGGCTCTGTGTTTTAATTGGATCTCTTTCGCTAGTATACAAGTAACCTGAAACAAAAGAAGACCAGTAGGAACAAATAATAATGATTTTTCGTGAGTATTGTTTATTTAGCATAGTACTGTTTGTTTCATGTTTAGTTTAAAGTTTAGTTTAAAGTTATTTCATATAAAAAAAGAAAAAATATATGCGTACGACTATAATACCAAATGAAAAGGGGGAAAGGGATTGTTAGTAATGGAGACTGAGAATCCCATTGCTAGTAATATACCTAACCAAGTCGACCTCTTCGCGGTTCCCCCTGCACACTATCATGGTTAATTCCTGATGAATTCATCATGATGGGCTAACTGGCCTGTTTTCATTCTCATCTATCACCCTTCACTGGTACTCCGCCAGCGTATCCCGTTAGCGCAGACGGGGTTACCATACCATTTTCACCCATCAAAAATAAACCTAATGAAATAGTAAGAGGCATTTATCATTGCGGTGAACCTAACACTAGTTATGTTTACATTTCACCGAGCACATTAGGTTCAACTTTGTAAAAGCGAGCTTACCGCCGTCGCTCGAATTTGATTTATAATTGGTATTTTCTGTCACCGGAGAGTTAATAGGCATGGGCGTAGTCAGCTTCTGGTCCAGGAGGGCAGCAAGTCAGATTTGTTACACGAGCAGTACCATGGACATAACAGAGTATACTGTTTCGCCCATGATACTCCCCATGCGTTGCCATTCCTGAGAACTCAGGTGTTATTCTTCTGTACCCTGTAAATTCACGCCATATCCCACCCTTCAAACCGAAACACAGCCATGCAAACACAACTGCTTCACGGTAGAAACAAGAATGGGACAGAGGTACCCAAGCAATCGACTTTTGTACAAAGTCTCCCTCTGGTAAAGTCAGATTTGTGGCAATAGTGACTGCTTGTTTAATAAAATTAAAAGTTAATGCATTGTAAGGCATACAATTTTAAGGCGGGGAGGCGACAACTCTCCTCCTGTCTGGTCCACTCTGTGTATGCCCATGTAAATCGAAAATGTCAGTTAATACTACATTTTTTTTATTGGATGAAAATGGTATGGTAACTCCGCCTGCGCTAACGGGATACGCTGGCGGAGCACCAGTGAAGGGTGATAGATGAGAATGAAAACAGACCAGTTAGCCCATCATGATGAATTCATCTGGAATTAACCATGATAGTTTCCAGGGGGAACCGCGAGGAGGTCGGCCTGACCTGGTTGGATATATTGCTAGTAATGAGATTTCCAGTCACCATTACTAACAATCCCTTTCCCCCCGTTAATACTACATTAAAAATTACAGTTGTGAACATAATTAGGATTAGTAGCGAGTATATTTTTTTTTATAAATCTATAATTACCGGTTCCTCTTTCCTTTTGTTGTTGTTGGGTACGTTTAAGGTGAACGCGTGCACCGTGCCGCAGTGAGTGCCCGCCCATAGCGTCGGCGTAGATGTTTGTGCTATAAAGGTATAAAAAAAGCTAAAATAATAAATTAAATATTTATTTTTTGCAGTTCTTGTATTTTTTTTTTAATGAGTGATAATGGAATGGTAACCCCACCCGCGCTAACGGTATACACCGGCGAAGAATGATAGGTGAGAATGAAGCAGGTCAGTTAGCCCATAGTGACGAATTCAATAAGAATTGTTCACGATGGTTTCCAGGGGGAACCACGTGGAGGTCGACCTAATAGGGTAAATTGCTAACAATGGGGCTGTCAAACTTCATTGCTAACAATCCCTTTCCGCCCGCAGTTGTTGTATTGAAATCATAATAATAGTATCTTTACACATATTTACAAAGATCTTACAGTCAAGAATGAGTGAGGATTGCTGAGAAAGATGAATGCTATCTAGTCAGCACATTAATATATAGATAGCTAGAATACAGATTCTAGCGAAATATGTTAAGAATCCAACATTGGACTTTAGGCCTAAATGTATTCTGTCGCAATCTACTTTGTCAGGTTGATATTCATGCAGATCTCTTTAAAAATCATTGCTCTTAATCCTTGATGAATTTCACGATGGCCCAACTGATCCGACTTTATCCTCACCTATCTTTCCTAACTGGTATACCGCTAGAGTACACCAATAAGACAAAGGAGTTTAGCATTATCTTAAATTAAAAAAAAAAAAAAACTTTTTATAAAAATGCCTCGTTTTCATAAGAAAATTATAATATAAGAATTCACCATGTAAATGTTGTCTCGACTAGAGTTAATATCTATATAATAAAAACGACTCGCTAAATGTGTTGCTAACCGCAAAACTCGAGAACGTCTCAAAAGATCATCAAATTTTTTTTAATATCTGTTGAAGTTTTAGGAAAATTCTTATGAAGAGAAATTTGGAAAAAAAAGTACATAATCATCATCCTATACAAACTGTTCCATCCAAGCTATAAATTCAATTCTTTAGCTTTTGTCAGAACAATGTCTGTGTGGTCGGATAGTTAATAATTTATTCCATAGGTCTATGTTTAATTATTTCCTTATGTAAACTTGTTGCTCGACTTACATACAAATATTAAGCGATTAATTATTGGCATGCCTTACTGACCATTGACAAGGAATGTGCGTGCGAAGTACAGGCAGCGCACGACGGGGGCGTTAGCGTCGTCCGTGGAGCGCGCCTCCACCGCGCGTTCTACAGGCTTTATATCCGCGTCCGTTTCTGAGGCCGCTTTGTCTGTGGGCTTCTTGGGAGGCGGCTGTCGGATAGAATTTTTTTTAACTTACAATGGTGATGTTGACAATCCACCTTATTTAAAGTGGAAACTGTCATCCATTTATCTAGATCTTAGAGTATAAATAGCATTAGGGAATAGACATGGATATAGGGGTTTCAGAGGTGTTTTCTCCCACGAACACTCAGGTTATGCCGAGGTTTTCCCTAGAGACTACAGCATGGGGTTCTTCAAAAGGGGGGTAAAGAGGTTTCTTCAGGGTCGGCAACGCGCGCGTAATACCTATGGTATTGCAGGTGTTCATAGGCTACGGTAATCGCTTACCATCAGGTGAGCCGTATGCTTGTTTGCCACCTCAGTGGCATAAAAAAGATCATAGAATATATTCACACTGGTACCCCTTTCTTGGCAGCTTTGTTTTTGTGTCATGTTGCATGATGTCTGACAGTGTTTCTTGCCTTAAAATCTGACAGATTAAGGTTTGCCTCAGTGCGTAAGTATAGTTATCCTTCCTTGTAAATAAATCAATATTTAAATAATGTTGTTTATTACAAACAACATGACAGTCACGTACTTGTGTGGGTGATGTGGGGTTCGATGTGGTTTGACGTCTTTGTGACCTGCCTTTCCTTAATCGTCTGAACGACTCTCGCAATGACTTTTTGAACGACTTCCGTCTTGAAATTGGCGTGTCACCAGCACCGGAATCTGTGGATCATAAAAATACAAATAATAATAATATTCAATTAATCACAAAAATTCTTTTATTCTATTTTCCTGTTCATTTTATGTGCAGTAATTATTATAAAAGAAGATATCATGTTTTTTTTTATTTGGTAAATACAACACATGATTTTAGTATGTATGCATATCAATCATTAGCAGTACCGCATTCGAATATTCTGATACTTCCCTAAGGTTGACTGGGAGAGAATGCTTTTAGCATTAAGTCTGTCTTGTACACGACAGAAACGTACTAATTAATAAATGATTTGTCAGAGGGAGACTTTGTACAAAAGTCTTTTCTTTGTACAAAAGCTTGGGTACCTCTGTCCCATTCGTGTTTCTACGGTGAAGCAGTTGTGTTTGCATGGCTGTGTTTCGGTTTGAAAAGTGGGATATGGCGTGAATTTACAGGGTACAGAGGAATAACACCTGAGTCCTCAGGAATAGCAACGCATGGGGGGTATCATGGGTGAAACAGTATACTCTGTTATGTCTATGGTATTGCTTATGTCTATAGGCGACGGTTACCACTTTCCATCAGGTGGGATGTCAGCTTGTTTGTCATTCTAAGTCGTATAAAAAAAAAAGATTGAAATAATGATAATAACTATAAGTGTACATAATTATAAATATGCAAGATATAAAACGTGTCAACACAACATGACTGAAGATGTAATTTAATTATATAATAATTATATTATAAACGTGTGTGAAGCTATTAAACCTAAAAAATGGTTTGGTTATTGCGTTATGTCTGGCATGTTTTTCTGGGTGGGTTGTGAGTGTGTGCGGTATGGTGATGTTGTATTGAATTTGTATGCACAGGTGGGCTGTACCCAGTACGTGTGTTTGAGTGGGTAATAGCGATATCTATGTGTACGCATCACATGTGGTGGCAATGTGTATGTGTACGCTCGCCGCCGTCTGTGTAAGTGTGCGGAGCGTGTAGAGTGTGGGTTGTACCCAGTACGTGTGTTTGAGTGGGTAATAGCGATATGTATGTGTACGCATCAAATGTGGTGGCAATGAGTAAGTGTACGCACGCTGCGGTCTATGTAAGTGTGCGGAGCGCGTAGAGGGTGGGTTGTACCCAGCACGTGTGTTTGAATGGGTAATAGCGATATGTAAGTGTGCGGAGCTTGTAGAGGCTGCAGTACGCACCGTGGTGGTTGAGCGTGCACTTGTGCAGCAGCGGCGCGGCGGTGAGCGCGTCGAATAGCGCGAGTCCGTGCGCGGTGCCGGCCGCCACCACGCCCCACTCCCACTGCGCCGCCAGCGCCGTCACGGCCGCCGGCGGCGACACCTGCGCCACCGACGTCGCCTGCCCACACACCACTACGTCACTTCACATTCTTAGCTTAGCGCCGCACAGTGTGCCCGAACTTCCGCCGACAGTAAATCGGCTACGCCGCATTGTGGCATAGGTATAATATTTTTAACACCTTTACGCCGGGGCCGACTTAAATGTTTTTTGCTGCGAGGCGGCGCTCTAATTGATGCTAATACAATGCACAAGCGAATACGTACCACCTGTGGTACGCGCCGCCAGAAAAGACAGTCTAGCGCGGGCCATCGGAGGTCCGCGCCGGCGTGAACGTGTTAAGCATGTTTATTGAAGATATCGTATAACAATCACTTCTATATAACCATTTAAACAAACACTACGATGTTAAATAATTGAGACGGTATTTAAGTCATCTCCAATTGTGGCAAAACCAGTTATTTTAATTTAAAAACTAAACTACTACATCGATTGTGACAAAATTTCTATGGGACCAATCTAAGTATATACCTTTTGAATAAAAAAAATATATATATTTTTTCCAATCTATTTACAACTGATAAAGTCATGATATAATAACTACAAAAAAAGATCTATTCAGCTACTGTATAACTGCTATGTACGTATGCATTAGTGTATTTATTTTCCAGGAGATGCTAGGCCCCTTAAAAATGCATATGTACTCTCAGACTATATTTTTGAAGCTTTGCTTGCATCCTGGAGTAGAAACTAGCCAATTATGAGGTGGGTATGGTCCCCTAAATACTAGTATAATCGTCAATCGTCCGTAACGGAAGATCGCATTTCCATTAAAATAATTTATTATACATAATGGATCGTTCATACGAAATATTAGCCCATTTTCATCAATAAGTATGTCGCAATATGTATTGCAACAAATGATATAGGTAACAATAAAACATTGAACGAACTCACTTGATAGCCTTGTGGGAATGTTAGTGGACCGGAACGTAACGTCAACTGGTCGTGACCCTTCCAAACGAAGCCGTCGCGATCTGACACGATATTCGCCGACATGGTCTGAAGAAACAAGTTTTATAATATATAAAAATATAAACAGAAGATACGTAAAGAAAATTTTTAATTATTTTTTTATGACATCGTTCAAACGATCCCATAGTATTGTCATGTTTAAAATTAAAAAAAAAAAAGGTAAAACAATGTAAGTACATACTTATTCAAGTAGCAAATAATTGAAAGAAACAAAAATGGGATGGTGTCGACTCAGTTTAACAAAGATAGTCTACCGATAATATTAGACGTGTTTGCTTTGAACTTACTGGAGTTTTGTTGAAAGATCAAAGAGTGCTTATGTTCAGAGACTTAAGATATAGATGTTATTTCTATGTGTTATTGTACTGATGCTTTCCTGGGTGACGTATTAGGAGACTGTAACGCTCATCTAGTTCATGAAACAAATTTCATTTTTATTCACTTCGATAAACAAAAGACGGTTGTAATTTTGTATATACATATTGTATATATAATGTATAGAACACGTACCTTAACTTCTGCAGTGCTGGAGGCGTTCTTTAGTGTTGCTATAACTATGTGCCCAGCGGCGCCGCCAATGGTCAACATCCCAGAGAGAGGACAAAGTATCACCTGCACATAAATATAATTTTTGTGTTTATTTTATACATTTTGATCTGTCACATTATACTACAATATATGAGTTGCAAGCGAATTCATAGATGGAATCGACATCACTTGAGTCTGCGAGATAGAATGAGATAGCAACGTCGGATGTGTCATTCCAACACATGGATTCGTTTACGATAACGATTCTATCGATAGATTCGCTTGCCATTTGTCTAGGAGGAGCTGTAGTATATACGATATTAACATAGCATTAACATAGTTGTATCAGGATTATTTATTTATGTGTAAAAATAGTTATAAGTGTAGACATAAAATAAATAAATGAATGTACAAAATTCACAGGCAAAAGGTGACGGCACGGTGATGCACTTACCCGTTTGATGGCGAGGCGCGGATCGTCACTGTAGGGATCGAAGGTGCCGACCCGCCGGAACGGAGGCCACTCCTCCTCGTCGTTTTGACTGTCATTGTTCTCACCGATCTCCTCGCCACTGCGCAATCATATAAGGTTCGTTAGTCAAAAGATATACACAGTAACTAATAAGAATGGTGATGTCGGTAGGTGTCGCCCTAGACGGTCATATGTCGACCACATAGACGACGTGTTGAAGAAGGATCAAATTAAAAGTACCCGTAACCGACGAGCGTGTATGAAAAGATTGATGAATGTGGAAGAAGCGAAAGAGGTTTGTTCGAATCGAAGCATTTGGCATTCTTTTGTTTCTACCTACCCTAATGGAAATAGGCGTGACAGATATGTATACATGCATGTATGTATGTAATAATAATAATAATTTACTGTAACGTAAACAGTGTCATTTTTTTTTTTTTTTACAACACAGGGGGCAAACGAGCATGCGGCTCACCTGATGGTAAGTGACTACCGCCGCCCATGATCACCCACAACACCAGCGGCATTGCAGGTGTGCTGCCGGCCTTTTAAAAAGGAATATACTCTTTTCTTGAAGGTTATGTTGTCGTATCGGTTCGGAAATACTGCTGCTGGAAGTTGATTCCAAAGAATGGTTGTGCGTGGAAGAAAGTGCCTTGAAAAACGCACGGTGGAAGACCGCCACTCGTCCAGATGATTGGGATGAAACTTTAGTTTGTGGCGGGTTGTACGGTGGTGAAAATCAGCAGCAGGTATCAATCCGAACAATTCCTCAGAACACTCCCCATGATAAATTCGGTAGAAGATGCACAGAGACGCAACATCTCTGCGCAGTTTCAATGGGTCAAGTCGGACAGTAAGGCGTTGACTATCGATAATTCGAGCCGCCCGACTTTGAATACGGTCTAACGGAAGGAGTTGGTACTGTGGCGCTCCTGCCCACAGGTGAGAACAGTATTCCATATGCGGCCTGACTTGGGCTTTATATAATTTCAGGCGGTGTTCTGGCATGAAATATCGTCTCACCCTATTGAGCACTCCTAACTTTTTGGAAGCTATCTTAGCCTTCTCCTCCAGATGACCGCAAAACTGGACGTCGCAAGATATATCAACGCCCAGAATTCCTAGACTTGACTTTTTATCAAGGGAAGTGCCCTGAAAGTGAGGAGATACGACAAACGGCGTCTTTTTTGCGGTAAACGCGCAGACTTGTCATACAGACTGACTTGTCATATAGAATGTATATGTTTAATGTTGTTTACAAACAAACATACAATATTATTTGTGGTTTTTGAACAAGTACGAAGTATACTGTATCTCCCGAGCTACCTTCCCAGGGTACATATTTAACTAATATAAAATACTATAATACTACTTAATCTAATAGTAGTAAAATTCACAATTTAGAATACACGAAGCCTAAGTTAGGTTTCGTGTTCTGAAATCTAAGTTTTCTAAAAAGTTTTCCGTTTTATCATCTAATTCTCTTGTAACTCTAATACACGTCCAATTGGCCAAGCTCCTCAGCGAGTACACTCGGCAAATTCAACGACGCCATTTACACGTTTGTCATTGTTTCATTCTATCGGCCATCACATGAAGATGGATGTTGAGGTAGTCGCCACCGCTACGATTTACAATATGCACTGAACACTCATTACGCCCAATGCTCTTTGATATGGCGGGCCGTCGATGAACGTTGGCCTTTGTGACCAACGTTCCTGTCAACGTTTCTTCCGTTTCTTTTCTGTCAACACAACTTTCTGTGCTACAAATACGCAAATAGGCCCGATATACATCCGCCGAGTGCACTTGCCAAGTGTGTTCGACCAACGAGTGATACCCTTTAGACTTAGAATAAAATCATACTTTTAAAATATAGTGGTGATTCCATAGTGATTAGAGATAGAGTGATTTCCATTGATAAAATATCACAACAGGCAACTCAGAGAAGAAAGCACAATACATCAGTGCATAAGATAAAAGACTGCAGTATGCTTTTTGATGCAATCGAATAGGAATAAATCGAAATCAGATCGAATAGTCATTAAATATAAGATCAATTTGATCCTAATTCGATTGAGCTAAAACTAAGTGAGTCGTATCAAGCCAATGTGGTAAGATTAAGTCGAATATTTTTATGGATAAGGAGAAATTATTTATTTTATTAACATCTCACTATTGAGGAAGGGCTCAAAATTGTTAAAGTTGCTATTTTTAGAGACAGAATTTAGAAAATAATATAAATGAATATAAAGTTAATTTAATATTCCATTTACTGGAAATAGCATCTCTGAAATAAAGTATCCCAACATTCTTATGAACTTTCGGATTTAGTATTATATTATCACTAAAGCACACATAAATACAAATTGAATTATATTTGAATAAATAGAATAAAATATACTTTTTGATCGATTTCGAAATCGTTTTCAGGGACTTAAGATTGCGAACAGGCACTTAAAGAATATACAAGCATTAGTTACAATTTTAAAGACAATTACTTTTAAAAATTGACATAAAAATAGAACACATATAATATAAAAAAGCACTGAAAAAAGACCAAAGCAACTGTAAATAATGTATAAAATACGAAAGCATGCATTTGTTAATTGCATTCGTGCTGTTATATGAAACATTACCTGGTGGTAGACCTTTTCAGTCCGCTTCGTAACGTAGCAAGCGGCAAGCGGGGACAAAACCATTATCGCATGTTAGAGCAAGCTCGGGCTAAACACCAAGTAGCTTGGACACTTATCCATTTTTATTTATTTTAGAGAGTGTAATTTAAATAGTGACAAACTGCGTTGACGTAAAGTTAACTTCGTTGTCTATCTATTCGTTCGTTCGTCGTATATTTTCGCAGACGGAACGTCCTAATGTAATCAGAGCTGGGCAAAATACACGTTTGGTTTCAATTAAAATACAATTGTGTGTATTTAAAATGTGTGTATAGTATTTTAACTATTTTTTATTTAAAATACAAAACACAGTATGTAAGTGAATAGATTTTTTTACAACACGGGGCAAACGCCGCCCATGATCACCCACAACACCAACGGCACTGCAGGTGTGCTGCCGGCCTTTTAATAAGAAATATGCTCTTTTCTTGAAGATTATGATGTCGTATCGGTTCGAAAATACTGCTGCTGGAAGTTGATTACAGAGAGTGGTTGTGCGTGGAAGAAAGTGCCTTGAAAAACGCACGGTGGAAGATCGCCACTCGTCCAGATGGATGGGATGAAACTTTAGTTTATGGCGGGTTGTACAGTGGTGTAAATCAGCAGCAGGTATCAATCCGAACAATTCCAGAATTAGTAAAAGAAAAATTTCCTTCCATGAACTATTATGAACCAGCGCTATTTTCTGCAGAACGCACTCATTAATTAGATCGCTAAATGACAGCTAAATGTATTTATATTAATATGTATTTTGAAAAGTATTTGAAATACAAACTCCAAAATACCTCAGAACCAGGTATTTTAAATACAAATTACTAATTACATATTTAGGAAGTAATAAAATATAAATACCAAATAAGTGTTTATATTTCAATTATGCATTTTAATTACGAGTAGTTCAAATTTAAATGTGGCAATGATCATTCATGACGGCAAAAGAGGGTGAATTTAGGAAATAAAACATTATCAAATAGGACAGAAGAGGTTCGAGTTGTGTATTTGAATATTGCTAGTTTAGTATACATATATAAACTTATAGTAAAATTTCAGTTGGTAATCTGTTATATCTTGGCATAAAGAAACGATACCAATTGTTATAGTAATGGATATGTGAACAAGCACCCGTAGCGTGATTAATAGCGCTCGCTTAAGTATGAGCAGATTTTTGAAATAGCATTAGCAAAAGGCATCTTCAAAAGGGAGATAAAGAGATTTCTTCAGGGTCGGCAAGGCGCGCGTAATACCACTGGTATTGCATTTACGGTAACCACTTACCATCAGGTGGGCCATATGCTTGTTTGCCACCTCAGTGATATAAAAAAAAACCTTCATGGATTTTCATAGTATTGTTTAAATTTATGTAGCACTTTTATCATAATCAAATATGTATCAGAATGAAAAAATGTTAAAAGATTAAAGAGACAACTGAATTGGTAACGCTGTCGGACTAATAACAATAATAAAAAAAAAAACTATAAAGAAATACACATAAAGTTATCAAAACCAGATGTCACTACATTCATATGAATTATTTGGAAGAATGATTATATTGTAATTAAATATAATATAACTAGTAGACCCCGAAACTTGTAGCAATTCACTCGTTACACACGAATCTATCGCCAAAATCGTTATCGCTAGTGGGTCTTTGAAACAGAATGAGATGGCAACGTGCGCTGTCTTACTCTTTCTTATGTGAGTATTAACCGAAATGTTTCTTTTGATGGATTCGTTTGTGTAGCCCATATTTGGTGATAGGGGGAAGTTTGAATTAGACATATCTATATAGAGATAAGAAAAAAACAATAATTCATTTAAATATTCCAGCCGAAACAATCAAATCCGAATTATTTGTAAGCCAATGAACGCCAATATGCCAATAAGGCATATACTTCACAAGATGGGTCTATCTTCGGACACATTGTACAGACTGTGCGGGGAGAAATCGGAATCCATGGAACACTTGATGTGCAACTGCGATTCGTTAGCAAGTATGCGTATCAGTCTACTGGGAACGGCTTATCCAGAACCAGGGGACTACAGATATCTTAAACCGCGGGATATCGTTAGGGTAACACATAGGATCTATGAAATGATGGTATAAGGCAGGGGGAAGCACAAAAGATCCGTATGGGCCGATGTGCATCGGCTTAGCTGACCCCATATGCGAAAAATAAGATAAGATAAGCCAATGAATTAAATTTATAATTTTTCCATGAATAGTCCTATACTGAGTTATAAGTTTTGACATATTATGGGTTCAGTAAAATAAATTATTATTTATATTTATAAGTTACATTTACGCAATAACTAACGAACTCTTAGTTTTATTGGAAATTCGCGCGGAGCTGAAATTTTACAAGTTATAAGCAATTTTCAATAAAAAAAAAAAAAACTAATTCAAAACCTTAGAAGGACCTCAATATTTTTTTTTAAATAGCTCACAAAAACCAACCGAAAGTAGTAAATTGTACCTAACATGATATAAAATATGGTCGTTGGTTGCGGATGGTGGCGCTAATTGGTGGTGTTGGTGGCGTTGGTGGTGGCGAGGTACCTGAAGAGCGGCGCGGTGGTGTACGCGTAGAGCGGCGTCATGGCGACGCCGGTGACGTCCCAGAAGCGCACGGAGCCGTCCTCGTGGCCGGTGAGCAGCAGCTGCCGCGCGCCCGCCTCCGCCGACTCGGCGTTGCCGCCCGATATCGGCCACGCGCTCTCCGAGTACACGTTCTCCGTTTGCGCCTCGCCTGGTTTGGCATTTGATGCGTTTAGATTAAAATTTTCCGCAAATATATTTCATAGAAACGTAATTGCCGTCAGGTTACGCGCATGCCGATTACACTTTAAAAATGCATTTAACCCTTAAATACTTGAAATTTCTAATTTGATACCGGGGTTATAAATCGCATTGGGCGCCTACAATCGATTTTATTTTAATATTTGACTGTTTACATGTTACCAAATGTTTTTTTCAAAATAAATATATAAAAATATCGTTTTAATTTTATACTATTTTTCCCCATTGGTAAACACAGTAAAGTGTACACTTATATATTTTTTAATTTGATTTAAAAAATCAGGCTTTTAAGGGTTAACCAAAGACACCAAAGCCCATATCCTCGTCCTCAGATTCAGACTCTTCTTTCTTGGATTATTTACCCCAATATAATTTACATTAATTCTATTATAATATACTAGCTTTAGCCCGAGACTTCGTCCGATTAAAGGCTGATATAATAAATGTCAATGTAAAAAATAATCATTCATTAATATTTAAAATTGATAGTACAAATACAGATAATGTAGACATTACCCGTTTTTATATAAATCATGCTTAACAAGACATGTACTGACCGGCCGCTACTATGTTGTCGTACACGTTGGATGCGACGTTGTCGACCAGCTGCGCGGTGGTGACGGCGGACGCGTGGATCGACACTAGGTACGGGGGCCGCAGCGGCCGCCACTTACTGTCGCATAGGTCTATCACTACCAATTCCTCTTCCGCCAGCACCACCTGGTTTACAAACAAGTTAGGTATTTTACAAAATTAATTATATTATATAATAAAAAAATAGAATATGGCCTGGGATAGAGCTGGCTGGAAGAAGATGCATGAATTAGTTGCACAGACAAGAGGAAACTCTTAAATGAAAAAAAAAAAATAAAATAAAAAAAACAAAAATGCGAGATTTTACATTAAGAGATGTTGTTGGCCATATGGTCTCAGCATAGAATAGGCCACTCCTTCCCTTCCCGTGGGTGTCGTAAGAGGCGACTAAGGGAAGGCGAGGGATGGGCAGCAGCGTCCCTCTTAAAACATCTCTAAAGCCTAACTGCGCTTGCCAATCCGTCTACTAAGTGTGGCAACTACTGGAAAAACCCCCTAAGAGGAAGGCTTATGTTCAGCAGTGAACAGTTAAAGGCTGGTATAATGATAATGATGATGAGTACATCATTAGTTTCTAAAACAGCACCGTAAATTTACAGATGATTAATGGTTACATCATTAATAAATAAATCGCCAGGAAATAACCACGAGTTTCTAGGGGGACTGCGTGCAGGTCGTCCAGACAGGGTATATTGTTAGCAGGTCAAATCAAAGGTGAATAGTTGTTTTAGCTAAGCGCGTTTTGTTTTAAATCCCTCACTTTACGTCAAGTGTGATTTTTATTAATTATTATATATATTTACACATATATTCATACATTATTTATATATGTATATAACATCCAAATTATAGGCATTGTGCACGTGACACCCCTAGCGTTGCAGACGTCCATAGGCTACAGTAATCGTTTACCATCAGAAGGGTTATACGCCTGTATGCCACCTTTATGGTGAAAACAAATAAAAAGGTTGTTGTGGGGAGATGACTCACCAATGCGGCGGCGACTTGGTTGACCGACTGTAGCTGTATGAGGGCCGGCGTGTCGGGCCGCGCCTCCTGCAGCGGGGTCCCGTCCGGCGGCACCGGGCTCGTTGTGAAGAAGTCGATCACCTGCACAAATGTGAAACATTCTCACACTTTAGAACATTACCAAACAAGCAGTCACAATATTTCTGTTTTAATTGCGAAATAAAATATCAATCTTAATAATATAATAAAATTGTCATAACCAATAAATACAATAATTTTTATGTTTTGTTATCTGTCAGTCTGTCTGTATGTTTGTTCCGGCATCACGCCGAATTTTTACTTTACTTTAATAAAATTACTGCAACAAATTGAATGTAATGTAATATAATGTAAATTGGACTCTCTTTTCCGCGCTTAGCCTCCCATTTGGGCCATTGTGCCTTGTGACTGTGGGTGATGGTTACCACTTTCTACCAATTGGGCTATCATCTTGATTGCCATTCTATGTTGCATAATTTAATCTAATTTTTAGGACTAATCTGTAGTCGGTTTAATGTCGGAGTTATGAGATGGCAAACATAAAAAATATAACACAATTTGAAAACCACCTTCTTTTTTGAAGTTGGCAAAGGCCCTTGCGATAAATATCTTAATATGAAGTGTACTTACACGACTAGTGAAATCGAACGCGACATGTTTTTCCCCTTGTTGTACTGTGACTGTGTATTTGTCTGAATACGAAGCCCTCGGCATGCCACCTGTAACAAAAACATATTTTTATTTATATACATAGCCCTCAAAATTTTTTATTTACATTTGTTAAACTTGTGCATTTTTCCCTCTTGGAATAAGTAGACCACAAAACACTATTGGCTATAATTAGATATGCAATACAGGGTAATAAGTTATACAAGTGGAGGTTAAATATGCATTTGTGTTTGATATAGAACAATATACATATGAGGTTTGTCCGGAAAGTACGTATAAAAGTTTTTTAAAAATTTTATTTTACAATTATTCAGGTAAATCAATTTTATCCCCTTCAAAGTACTCCCCCTGTGACATAATGCACTTGTGCCAACGCCGTTTCCACTGTGAGAAGGTTCCTTGAAAGTCCTCTGGTTGTAGGTTTCTCAGCTGCCCCGTCGTAGCTTTTTTTATCTCATTTATGTCCCCCAAATGCCGCCCCCGAAGTACCAATTTGGTTTTTGGGAACAAGAAGAAGTCACACGGGGCCAAATCCGGCGAATAGGGGGGTGTTCGGTCACCGTAATGGAATTTTTACTCAAAAACTCACGGACAACAAGAGAGGTGTGGGCAGGGGCATTGTCGTGGTGAAGAATCCAACGCCCCTCTCGCGCCAATTCTGGACGAACTCGTGCCACACGAGCTTTGAGGCGTCTGAGCACATCGACGTAGAATTTTCCATCAACTGTCTGGCCTGGAGGTTCGAATTCTTTCCACGTTTTCGTCGGAATGTGAAGTGGAAGGACGTCCTGAACGTGGGTCATCTTGAACGCTTTCTCGGCCCTCTCTGAATCTTTTTAGCCACTTGTGGACGGTTGGTTCCTTCACAGCATCATCCCCATAAACTGTTCTGAGATCGGCAAAAATTTCACGGCCATTCTTGCCGAGTTTCGAGAGAAACTTGATTACGACGCGCTGCTCTTCAACGGAAGCGGGCTCCATGCCGACGGGGTTTCGTTAAGAGGTAACTTCACAGATGGCGTGACAAGCCAGTTCGCACCGCACGGCGGTCAGACCAGAACTGAAGCATTGTTAGGGACATAAGGAAGGGGTCCTGCGCTTACCTGGCCTCCCCACTCCTCTTTCTCGCATTCCAGAACACTTTTATACGAACTTTCCGGACAGACCTCGTATTCCCCGTAACAAAATACATAAAAAAAAAATCCAAGTTTTTGTATTCAAAATTGTTTGTAAAACATCATATTTATTATTTCTACAATATTTTTTGATGTTTTAAACTTTTGATCACAGGCTTCATCTTTCATTAGGAATATTATATGCATTATAGGAAAAATAAAAAAGTTTTCGACCCTTTAGGGATCTGCATGGAAGTCGACGTGACAGCAATATACCCTATATTGTTACAATGGGACTGGTAGTACCAGTAGGTAAATTACAACCAGGATAGTTAGTAATATGGATTTGCAATCCCATTGCTAGCAATATACTCCTATCAGGTCGATCTCTACGCGTTTCTCTCTGGAAACCACAATGAATCACTGTTGATGGATTCATCAGAATGGAACAATTAACCTGTTTTGGTCTTCACCTATCATGCTTTATTGGTTTCCCGCCAGTGTATACCGATAGCGCAGGCAGAGATACCATTCCATTATTATATAAAAAAAAAAAAAAAAATTGAGCGAAGGTAACTCACCAGCGTATATGAGTATCTCGTCGCCGTTGACGCTGGTCCTGTTCAGAATCTTCGTGATGGCCTTGCACGGGTACGGTCCGTACGGTGTGATCGGCTCCTTGATCGGTCGCTCGCTCGCCGCGCCGCTCACCTCCCACGTCACGTACGAGCCGTCATTGTGCGACGACGTGAAGTGTTCGCCTGCAATTATTTTGGTAGATTATTTAAAATAAATAAATCTATAATCGACATGTAATTTATGTTTCATTTGTAATATTATATAAATTTGTAATTTATGCAAAAATGTAGTTTTGATCATGCTGTGTACGCATATTTTTGGAGGGTTAGCCTGAACAAAACATTATTGTACTGTATAAATTAATGTAACCATGTTAATTCTCTGTAATGTGTACCTATTGAAATAAAATAAAATAAAAAATAATTGACGTGTGGTCCCGGCATAAAATGACCACTCCTTCCTTTCCCGTGAGCGAAATTTGTTACAAATCTAAACATTTAATAAATCAATCGTTTTTGACTTTTACTACTATCGTCAACAGACTGTTTTATGGTCGTAGCAATTATTCGTTTGTTTACATTTTTATTAAGTTGTACTGAAACATTTTATTCATGATTATATTTGTTTATATTTATTATTTATATGCAATTAAAGATTGTATCCCACAAAAAATCCAATTTCAATTGTAACATATACTGTGTACAATTGTAAAAAAAAGTATGTTATTTTGATTTAAAAACTAAATTACTGAACTGATTTTGATAAAATTTTGATGGGACCAACCTGTATCTCTTTTTAGAGAAAAGAGAATTTCTAAAATCGGTTTTTACCTGACAGAGTTATGAGGTAACAAATATACAAAAAGAAAAACACAATCGAATTAAGAACCTTTTTGAAGTTGGTTGAAAAAAATTAATGAACTCACCGTCGTCATTCCAGCACAAGCTCTCCAACTGTTGATTGGATACGCAGGTGTATGTGGGCTGCGACGCGACGCGGTCCCATAACACGACCAATCCCCTGTTGTACCCGATCAAGAGCCGGGTCGGCACTTTCGGGTGTTCGCACATCGATTCCACCGCGCCGGGGTTCACTTTGAAGTCCTCTGGACAGCTGCAAAATTAAATTGGTCCAAATGTCATATTTCCTTACATATTGATTTACAAATAATTTATTTTAATGAAAATTGTTTGACAATGTGTTAAATCGCGTTATTTGCACATTTATGACATGATACATGACATTTTTTGTCCTAAATCTTATAATACAGTTTCAATTTTTCAAGTCAATTTCAAGAATTCAATTATGTATTTTTATAAAGTAGATTCATACGATACTTTGTAAGTTCTCTATTGGATTATAAATGAACCTCACGTAATAACAAGTTAACAAAGTAAGGTTAATTAAATATTTGTTAAAGATTCTAATTATTTATTATTAAAATATACTTGCTGTGGATGTATGTTAATAATTATATATACTTACTTTTGCATAACTAAATCCTGATATATAACATCCTCACTTAATGAGAACGTGTTCAAGTCCAATGTGTATATGTTCCCGCCTTCTGTGCCAATAAGTAAATTTTTGCCTGACGCCTCCACGCAGGTTGCCGATATTTTTTTATTTTTGCCTTCAAATGTGTGTGTTCTTAGTTCCACTAGGGATTTCTCGTTGATCTCCCATAAGTGGAGACTGTTGTCGTCACATAGTGAGATTAGGCGGCCCGTGCCTGGAAATAAGAGAATAGGCTCAAGTAAGTTTTTGTATATTGCAGTGTACACCTGACGATAGGTGGCCCATATATGTTGCAACATCAAGAACATCATTCGAATATTGCAGATTCTTACGAGATGACAAAATTGTCATTTCGTAAGAATATATCTCATGGATGTATCTAAACATAGCTAATGGAGCTATATGTATAAAAGCCTATTTACCTAAAGTACGAGGTTTGTCCGGAAAGTACGTATAAAAGTTTTTTAAAAATTTTATTTTACAATTATTCAGGTAAATCAATTTTATCCCCTTCAAAGTACTCCCCCTGTGACATAATGCACTTGTGCCAACGCCGTTTCCACTGTGAGAAGGCTCCTTGAAAGTCCTCTGGTTGTAGGTTTCTCAGCTGCCCCGTCGTAGCTTTTTTTATCTCATTTATGTCCCCCAAATGCCGCCCCCGAAGTACCAATTTGGTTTTTGGGAACAAGAAGAAGTCACACGGGGCCAAATCCGGCGAATAGGGGGGGGTGTTCGGTCACCGTAATGGAATTTTTACTCAAAAACTCACGGACAACAAGAGAGGTGTGGGCAGGGGCATTGTCGTGGTGAAGAATCCAACGCCCCTCTCGCGCCAATTCTGGACGAACTCGTGCCACACGAGCTTTGAGGCGTCTGAGCACATCGACGTAGAATTTTCCATCAACTGTCTGGCCTGGAGGGACGAATTCTTGATGGACAATCCCCCGAACATCGAAAAAAACAATCAACATTGTCTTGACATTTGAGCGGGATTTTCCTTCACAGCATCATCCCCATAAACTGTTCTGAGATCGGCAAAAATTTCACGGCCATTCTTGCCGAGTTTCGAGAGAAACTTGATTACGACGCGCTGCTCTTCAACGGAAGCGGGCTCCATGCCGACGGGGTTTCGTTAAGAGGTAACTTCACAGATGGCGTGACAAGCCAGTTCGCACCGCACGGCGGTCAGACCAGAACTGAAGCATTGTTAGGGACATAAGGAAGGGGTCCTGCGCTTACCTGGCCTCCCCACTCCTCTTTCTCGCATTCCAGAACACTTTTATACGAACTTTCCGGACAGACCTCGTATATCTATTTTAATGACCCAGGAGCACATTCTTTTTTTTTTTTTTTTTTTTTTTTATAGAACTTAGAATGGCAAACAAGCTGACGGCCCACCTGATGGAAAGTGGTAACCGTCGCCTATAGACATGAGCAGTACCATGGACATAACAAAGTATACTGTTTCGCCCATGATACCCCCCATGCGTTGCCATTCCTGAGGACTCAGGTGTTATTCCTCTGTACCCAGTAAATTCACGCCATATCCCACCCTTCAAACCGAAACACAGCTATGCAAACACAACTGCTTCACGGTTGAAACACGAATGGGACAGAGGTACCCAAGCAATCGACTTTTGTACAAAGTCTCCCTCTGGTAAATTCTTGGCCATTAGGAAAAGATAGATAGATATATCATTTATTTACATTACTTATAGTACACACATAATAGATATAGATACATACGCAAAAAATACACATACAAAAAAAAGGGAAATACATAAAAGTAACATAATATTTCATTTCGTGAGTGTACCACAGTAACACAAAATGGTCACAACTCAGTTTATTGCTTTGCTTTTAAAAAGGCAAAAGACTGATATTCTGTTGTCGCCAAAAAAAATACCAAATGACCTCTTCTAGATTGATTCGGGCCCCGGTCTCCAATTTTGTGTCATTAGACGTTGAAAGATAAATACACTGACAATTTACCTGGAATGAAGAGTATTTGTATGACGGGTGAGTCTGGATTTGTGTGTTGTCCATAGAACTCGACTCCCGGCCGACCGTACACTTTGAGGGCGCCGGTCGCCGTGCCCAGGGCGGCCAGTCTGAGGAGCGGGTCCCATGCAAGCGCTGATGCTCTGTGTGGGAAGCCATGCTGTACTGTCTGTGAACAACAAGACAAAAATTATAAACAACTATATTCTATGTTGCCGTGTACGTACCGGCAATAGAATAGGCCACCCTTTCCTTTCTCGTGGGTGTCTTAAGAACCGACTAAGGGAACTTATGGTGGAAGGATGGGCCCATGATACCCCTCATTTTCGTGCAATTCCTAAAGACGCAGGTGTTATTGCTCTGTACTCAGTAAATTCACGCCATATCCCACCCTTCAAACCGAAACACAGCCATGCAAACACAACTGCTTTACGGTTGAAACACGAATGGGACAGAGATACCCAAACAATCGACTTACAAAGTCTTCCTCTGGTTAGGATTTAACACTAAGTATTTCTATCAGTTGTCTAATGTTGTAATATATGGGGCTGTGTTGAGGCCATAGTGTAGTGGTAAGTACAATTTTTTTGTTTGCTCTTTCAAATAAACATATTCAAAGGACAAATTCTTGAAAATGTTAATGAGTTGGTATGATAATGATGATTAATTTTGTATCCATAGTCATAAGTGTATGAATGTTATCCATTCCTTAAAACTGGTATTAGTATTCATCAAAATAGGATCTCAAAAATATTTTTCTCTTAGAAAAAAAAAATAATATCACCATTAAATAAACATACATTAAATCTCGAAATAAAGAATAATGTACATCTATATCGACGGCACTACTTAATAATACATTGTATGGTAGAGTGCCGCTGATACAAGTACTGATAGTAATGAAACTTGCTTAAATTAAAGCATTAAACATTTCTACTCTTTACCGTTACATATTGTATAACAAACACAAATTATTTTTTATTCTTTTTTCAAATAAAATATAGAGTTATAAACATTCGCAGATATGAACGCATGGGTAGATAACCTATACAGTTTTCATATTTCTCCATTTATATTCTGCGTGCCACCTCTTAACACCGAACGTTACAAATGATAAAGTACATCTTTTTGTAGTCGACTCGCCACCTGACGACGGCAAATACAAAGCAGTGACGAAATACAAACATACAAAAAGTTCCCTTGCCGTGAGTCAACCTATCAGATACTGTTTTTGTGATGCGCCGATTAGTCTAATTTTATTTTACGCTACTGAAATACTACAAGAGCGGTGAGTAACGGAGTAAAAATTTTTACCCGATTGCGAGGAAACCAAAAATAGGTTAATAATAATAATATTTATTTCGGACCAAAATATTATACATAACGTGTCAGTAAAAAAGACTAAAAACCTTAGTAAAAAGATAATATTCAATTAGTTCACATTTTTTTTATGCAACTTTGAATGGCAAACAAGCTGACGGTCCACCTGATGGAAAGTGGTAACCGTCGCCTATAGACGTGAGCAGTACCATGGACATAACAGTGTATACTGTTTCGCCCATGATACATGATGATGAATGCGTTGTCATTCCTGAGGACTCAGGTGTTATTTCTCTGTACCCAGTAAATTCACATGTCTTTATCTCCATAACGTTTATAATATAGCGTTACAATTTCTCTGGAGTGGACAGTCCTGTTTCTCCGCAATTAATTATACTCATCGCCAGTATATCAACCGCTAACTGTCTGCTGCTGAACTTAGGCCTCCTCCATAAGGGAGAATATGCCAGTAGCTGACATGCTTGACAACCGCAGTTAGGTTTTTAGTGATGTTTTGAGAAGAACGCTACTGCCCATTCCTCCAATAGTAAGTTCCGTCAGTCGCCTCTTATGAAATCCACGGGAAATAAAGGGATGGCCCATTCTGTCAGAGCCACTCTGCAAATCAATTACATAAGGAGACTGCTATACAAGATTCAAAAACGTGTTACAAACTTAAAGTTTTCCATTAAAAAAATTCTGAAAGAAGTTCTAAGTTCGAAGTTCGTATGGCTGTGGTTTCAGTTTGAATTTTAGAATATGTTAGTAAAAATATAAGGTATACCGGGATAACATCTTAGTCCTTAGGAATGGCAACGCATGATGTGTACAACCACGGGCTATTCGAGATTATAGACAGTTGCCACTTTATACCAGGTGGGCTGGCAATTTATTTGCACTTAGAAGTAACTTAAAAAAAATGCAAAAACCTATAATAGAAGGGTCTGATCTTTTCCATGAAAATACATCAAATATTTTATGGAAGATAGGAAGAACGTAGTAACTGCGACATTATCGTAAGATACCGTAGTACTTGGTTCAATTTCTTCCCTGCCGAACGTCTCAATGCTATAAAGTATGTAACTTAAAGCGGCAAACTTCTCAATTTAATCCAAGACCGAGTAGCAAGAGTGGTTGAACGCGAGTCCCTTATTAACATTGCATACAAAAGTTCATAAATAAAATTGTTATTTTAAATCTAGCTGCTTCGCTACCGCAGTGTGCCATTACGTTCAACGTAAAAAAAGCACTATATAGTTGTCTGTTTACATTGAAGCACGTGTATATTTAAATCTTAACTCAACACGTGTTTCTACACAAATATTTAAATATTGTTACGTTCACTTCGCGTCATTTTTGGTACCGTAACACATTTATAATTGAAAAGAAAGCAGAGTTATTGTTTATATCTCTTATCGCCCACACTTGAACACAAACTTTATTTGATTACGTTATTTCTTCTTTGAATTATTTTAGAATTAACTTTTACCCGTGACTTTGTCCGCGTAACCGATATATGTTTACTGACTGTAAGTACGTGTATACCAAACATACTTTCGTATTTATAATATTAGTAGGGATTATTGTTGTCCGGCTGCCCAAGAATATATATTTTAGGATTTTTTTCAATGGATAAAAATATAATGGTATTAAGTTGTTGGGTAATCAGCGCAGGATGATAATTACAAATTAAATTAATCGATACAACGACCTGATATGACATACGGGGGGGTGGGGGGACAACAACAAGATATTAGCACTAGCAAATCTACCAAGTAATAAGAAATCAAATACCTCGACCTGGAAAATTAAAAGGGCTAAAACTTTCGAGCTTAGCTTAGTGGACGAGTTAACCAATCCATAACGGTTTTCAAAGGTACACGTGTCGAGTCGAAGATACATACGCGATGGACAACAGATCATTACGAGGTATTTAGGTCGACGTGAAAGCATCTCACTATGCATACAATGAATGTAACCAAAAAGCGTTCCATGACCACTCAGTCGAACGTAACAGGCTTGGTGGATCCATGTTACGACAGATCTGTTTCAAGTGTTGAGGTCACAACAGCAATAAACTATTCTGAACCATATCAAGCTTCAAATAAAGAATACTTTTCTAATGCGCAGAATGTTTTAGTTCGTGGTTCACCGCCCTACACTATGAAATAATGGCATGAATTCCATGAAGGAATTAGCGTGACTGATGGTCTATTTTTAGAGACTATTTAAAACTTATAAATTTATAGAATATAGATAATATTAATTAATTTACGATAAAGCAATCTTATATAGATTTTATGATTAGATATTTTAATAAGTATAGATAACTAAACTTCGGGTACTTAAAAATCTAACTTAGAACAAAATTATAATGTAATACCTATCGTCACCCGATGCATTGACACCGGGAGAACAATGAATGCGATCCAAACCATGTAATAATGAAAAAAGGCGTTCCTTATAGTTTGGAATTCATTCGACATCAAGCACAAATATTTGAAAGTACAATAGCGATTTGTTTGTACAAATTGTAAGAAGTAAGCTCAAAATTAGAGATGTAACATGGAATCCTCTAGAACATAAATATATTCAAATGGTGTAATGAATTCAGAACAGAAGAAGAATAAACTTATTATTCAAATTATCTGTCATTATCTAAAAGAAGAAATCTAGAAGAAAGAATATGGAGTGTATCGTTATTTTTCCTTCGTGTATTTTCTGTTTGTTTTGGGATGGTAGGCTATCATAGTTTGGAGGTAAGAACGAACATCGTCCTAAAGATTTATGTACTAGTAAGTCTAAAAGGAACACAACATATACAGGTGCGAATCCTATAGGATCTAACTGTCGGAAGGTTACAGTTTTCGATCTATAATACATACATATACTAAACAAAAATTAAAACTATTTGAAAATATTTTCAACTAGCATTTAGTCGAGACTACGTTCGCGTGAGCGAGATATGTTGAGTGAACGAGATACAAAGTAGCTTATATCCTACTCTATCTCATATGATATATGCACATCGAATTCCATATTGATTAAGCTGTTAAGACGCTAACAGGCAAGCTAACTCACTTTCACATTTCTAATATTAGTAAGGGTATCTCTTGTCCTATTCTTATTTTCAATATTATAGCCATGAAAAAAGTTCGAAGTGGGTGTCATGATGGATCATTCTCGATGTAACTTATGAACGGCGTGTAATAATGTATGGCTAAGTTAGCATAGGGACGTATGATCGATGGTCTAACGGGCAAAGCGAGTTAGTTAAGATGAATAACATTTGCCTATAGACGCCGGTGCATGTGCACCGAACACGCTCAGTGCACTGAGAGGTCTACTGAACCGGTTCCATGGCACCGTTATGGGGGTCTGTTTATAGAGGAAGTTACAATATAAAATTTTGAACTCTCCGCTCAAAGTGTTAGAATGTAATTTGTGTTTTGCTTTATTTTATTGCGTTTATAATTTCATAGTTTTGTAAATTGAGAGGTGATAATTTTTAAAAGGTTTAAAATGTTTCTTTCAATAATAAAAAGAGTGGCATGTGGCAAATTAAAAATATCCTATATTTAAAGTGGTATAAAATATGTTGACTGCTTAGATTTTGCTATCCTGTTATATTGTGATCCTGTTAAAATTGTGTCGTGGTACGGTAAAAACAATAATTGCCCCCATAACCTTTCATGGCAGTGTTAGCCACTAGCCCCTTGCTCGTTGCTTCGTACGCAAGAATTTTAAAAGTAGAAAAAACAATGAAATAGGCCAGTTTTAAATGTAGTATTAAGATAAAATAGAACAGATTTTAAATTAGACCTTTAGGAACCCCAACTGTAAAAACAG